TATATATCCGTGTGTGACACGAAGCACATTTTTCCGTAGTGGTCAATCAAGAAAGAACTGATTTGTTTCAGTTGCTCAGAATAGTGCCAGAACGTTACTTGCTGTAATGAATTGCTGATAGAAAATGATCACTTCAACTTAAAATGAGCTATGAAGAACGGTGATATTTGCAGATATGATTTGTAAACACTGAAGGCAAGAACGCATCTAATGTCTGCAATAATTTCATAGCTGCAGGTTCTTCATATAGCTTGCAAGACGATAAGGGAGTGAATAAATGTGCATTTCGGTCGGAATTACAATCGTTGTTGACGAACGTGTGCTTGTAAAGATTTTCTCAACAGCTTGCTACTTTTGAACGATAACGATTGAACGTGGTTCATTCGCAACTGAGGATTTCTTTCTATACATGTTGTTTGGAGCATATTACCCATTCACGTTCTGCATCCGTATTGTCGAGTTCCACATCTACACTGAACACTCATTTTGCCGTTTGCAAAACGGTTCTCAGCGGAAGCTTTTCAAGAATTCATAAAAGTAATAAACATCGAAAATGAAGTTTTGATAAATTCATGGATATTGATTTCTTCACTTATGTTCAACCATCTCTTTATGCTGATATTGATGACTCCCTTAATTGTAATCATTTATGCCAACAAGCCTGGTTGGCACAGATTGCGATTGATACTGACTGTTCATTCGAATTCGTCAATCGAATTCATAACGTTGGCATCAGCTTTTGCGATACTATAACTTTTTTAGTTTTCGCAGAACCAAGAATTCACTCGCAATAAGTATGATATCTCCACAAGCTGTTGGCTCAGAAAATGTTTTTTTTAAGCTGCGAGACTTGAGTAATCTAGTAACTTTAGACGCAAAGTGCTGGGCGTTTGGTTTTAAGAATAAGATTCCACTATTCTCATAATTTATTTCCAACCAATGAAATCGTCTCCAACCATTGTCACTCAAAAAAAAGACACTTCACTCACTTTCAAGTGACTGAAGAACTGATTAGAAACACTAACATGAGTTGCATTTGCAAGCACACCGTATCAACAACTTCAGAAAGTATACGTGTGCGTGCTTAGCATTGCTTATTTATGATAATTTGGCTGTAAAATCGGGTTCTAAGCACGTTTCCACCAGATTCAACACTCTGGTTAGTTTCCTAATTTCAGTTCAAACGCAAAATGATCAAGCAGTGATTTCGGGTGAAAGTAACAAATAAAGATCGATTTCGCTATTCTTCAAGCTGGCATGCAGTAGAGTCGTGCAGTGAGATTCGGCTGTTACTTTTCAATTACCTAAAATCAAACTGATTACTGATTACAGTAAGTGTTGATAGTAGTCAGTCGTTAAATATTTGATCTGTTGGCTATCTGCTACTCAGCTATTTGATTCAGTTCAAGATTTTCTTCAGTGTCAATTAACGTTCAATGTTTTAAACATCGACGCACACCAATTGTCCACGTATTGCTTGAACAGAATCACATATAAGCCCTATCAGTCTTATTTATTGGGTTGGTGCATAAGTTCGTGCGCTTTATCTGAGTTTTCTAAAATTTCGTTTTCAAACCACAGAAGCTAACCATTCAATCAATAATATATTCTCCTTCGATTTTCACGACTTTATGCCATCGTTTCACCAGGTTGTCGATTCCACGACGATAGAATTCCGCTGGCTTCGAGGCGAAGAAGTCGTCTAGCCACGTTTTGACGGCATGGTCTCTGTCGAAGGGTACACCGCTGAGACTTTTCGAGAGGGAGCGGAAAAGGTGGTAGTCAGATGAAGCGAGGTTTGGCGAATACGGTGGGTGAGGCAAAATTTCCCATCCAAGTTCCTCGATCGTTTTTCTGGTCAGTTTTGCCGTGTGGGGCGCGCGTTGCCATACTGCAGGATGACCTTGTTCACGATATCTAGCCATTTGTCCTGAATAGCCCGGTTGAGCCGGTTCAGTTGCTCGCAGTACAGTGCAGCATTGACTGCTTCGTCGTTCTGAAGCAGTTTGATGCGGATTCAGATGGATGAGAACATTCAGACGCCTCTCGTCAAGATCCAACATGCGACCGGAACGTCGCCCGCCCTCCACGTCGAAGTCGCCCTTTGTAACCCTCGCAAACCATTTCCGGGCTGTTCCTACCAACATTGCATCATCTCCGTATACGGCACAAATGTCACAAGCAACCGTTCAGCCTTGATTGAATGCACAAAATAGCACTTGTCGAAAATGCGTTTTTTCGTCCACCTGACACTTCATTTCATCATGCTGAAGATCTGGACGAAACAAAACTGCAGTAGGTCGTCTAACGCAGTTACGAAGAGCAGAAAATCCGCTATCGATTGGTGTATAACACTCCTCCGGAAAAGTGAACTTTTACCGCAATAATTTAATTTGAATAAAAGCGCACGAACTTATGCACCAACCCAATAATTTAACTGCCTACAAACAACTTCAAAAGGTGACAAGTTTATCTCAGTACTCAACGTTCAAATAAAAGGTTCACAAAAATGATTCACAAAAATATCACTTAACAGGGGGAAAGGTAGTCCACTTTGTAAACTTTTCGACTTACATTAAGATGTACCAGAAGTTTATTCACAAATAAACCCTAATATTCCCTCTAATTGGATGCTTTTTTAGTATTTTTATTTTATAAGCCGATAACGAGAAATTTTTTGAATTGGAGTCGTAATACCTGCAAAAAAGAGCTACTAGTGCCGAATCAGAAGAAACATGAAAATAAGATCAGCAAACTTGGCCAGGAAGAAAAGAAAATTTCATGAGAAAGACCGTAATGAATGTTGTTGTGATTGAAAAACACTGGATGCAATTCATCGAACGGGAATGCGACTCCAGAATTGCAGCTGCAATGCTGGAACGGAACTAAAAGTGTTTCTTCGAGAAATACAAATGTCAACTGATCATTGATTGCTTGGCTTTAAAATTGGCATCTTACCTCCTAAAGTAGTTTTTTTTTTCTTTCGTGTAAGCTTTATTTTTCTGAAAGCTTCAATTTTAATTGTAATGTCGAATTAATTCGATAAATTTGTCACCGGTTAATGAAACATGCAACTGTAGTATTAAAGAAATACTCGATGAGATATTATAGTTTAAAATAAACGTTCATATTTCTAGATGGAACTATTCACTGAATTCTTACCGCTCAATTTGATTCCACACAAGTATTGAAAGTACTTGAATGCTCATCTGTTTTTTGCATAATCTCATGACAGTAACAAGGAAGATGAGTCATGTTCCACCATGGGTGGTCCACAGATCAACTCTCTGCATAACGCCATATGTTACCTGCTCATTGGAGAAGTTGCAAGTTGCAACAAACAATGTTTGATCGCTATAAATCATCGAAGAACGTGGTGGATGCGAATTAGAATACTACAACTAGAATGTGAGAATGATGTCTAATAAATATTGCTCACATCAGGCACGAGGTGTTTGGTAAATATTTGTTCTGCGACGTGTTCGTACAAAAGAAATCAGTAGTCAGTCAGTCACTCATTTTGAGCCGAAGACTCATCATGTTATGACTGAAGTGATCAAATGAACATTTCTTGACAGTGTTTAAAACCACTATCATTTCATTTCATAGCAACAAACAGCTCTATGATCTATAAACAGCGGTGAAATATAAAGAGCAAATGAAAGTGCCAAGCAAGAAGTTTGTAATCAATGTCATGCTCTTGAAGTGAGTTGATCACTTCATGAAATGTCACATCTTATTCTGCGGGTATCAAAATGAAGAAGTGAAAGTCTTTTGCACAAGCAAAGATACAATTTTTCTGCTCAAAAAGGATAATGCTCTGCTCAAAAGAAAAGGTGGGGCCATTGTGGTTCATGTGATAAGGGTGTGCGGTTGTTCAACTATTTGGGATTGGTTTTCAAAAATATTGTGTACTGTCATTATGTTGCGATTGATTGTGTACATCTTGCTCTGTACTACTTTGGGTTCGTTTTTCAGAATTGATTTGTTGACGTTTCAATTAAGATTTATTCTATCAAAATAGTCATCTGCTTCTCATAATGAGAGCACTTAAGAATGATAGGTCATAAATGAAGTTTTTTTTTGGATGGTAATAATTGTTCAGTTTATAGTGCACGCATCAAGAGGCTGCCGTAATGAAACTGAATTTGATTGTGGTTATGACGAAGGTAACGTTCACAAATGCATCCCGATTGAATGGATGTGCGATAATCTTGTTGACTGTCGTCTCAACGCACGTGTATGTTCTATTTTTTAAATTTGCTTCGGTTATTTTTTTGCTTCATTAATTAATGGAAAATATTTGATGAGCGGTCACCTGTAAGAGAATGTATGATGAGGTGCAAAGAAATTCCTATCTGTAGGATGAGTCAAGTTGTCGATACATACATTATTGTCCACGCGACACATTGGCATGTCGTAACGGGGAGTGCTTGGATGCAATATTCAAATGTAACGGTTTTGATGATTGTGGTGATGGTACTGACGAGCGAGGTTGTACCGAGTTTTATCTTAATGGTCACATTAGTGCCCCAGTGCGATGTCCACCGAACCAGTTCAGGTGCAATCGAGGGCCGTGTATCACAGACTATGCTAAATGTGACGGAATGAAAGTATGCGATTGTATTTCTATGATTTGCTCAGATTGAGCTAGTTTGCGATTCTGCNGCTTCAATATTATTATCGGCGAGGTGAATGCTAATGGAAATAGCGTTCATCAAAATGTTGTAATAATGAGTGCTTTTTGCAGAAGTCTTTTGAAATCGATTATGGGGTTCACTGAAATTCTCTTAGTGTTGCAGGATTGTCCAGAAGGTGACGATGAGGAAAACTGTGGACCAACCACAAATGTGACAATGTCGTGTTCTGAAAATCAGTTTATGTGTGACAATTCGTGTTTACCGCTTCAATGGAAATGTGATGGACAGAAAGACTGCGACGACGGTACCGATGAAATCGAGGTATTTTTCATTGTTCATTGCCTGCGCTCTGAAATGTACTCATTTGATTAACTGACGCTTGTTTCTAGGAGGAGTGTGGTTTACTGCATGAGGAGGAAGATGAACTGCTGAATTTACCAACTCGTGAAGAATATCATCAAATATCGTTACGTAACAGTTTCTGCTCACCGTCAGAATATCTCTGTGAACCAGGTCTCTACGCTTGTTCTTGTCACTGACATTAAGCAAAACCTTTCCGTTGATTAACTACTGAAAGGCATCATCGATATGTCAAGTATCTTTCATTCAATGCACAATTTTCAGGTAAATGTATTCCCAGAGAAAAACTCTGTGACAACCATAAAGATTGTCCGAACGGCGACGATGAAGGCCATCGATGTGGAGAATGTGCATCATACGGCTGCTCATATTCATGCGTTGATAATCCAGATGGTAGTTTCGTAAGCTGATATATTCGAAAACTATGATGTGACTCGTTATTCAGGAGCACAGTGCTTGTGTGCAGAAGGTGAAGAGCTGGCAGGTGATGGTCGTACGTGTACGGATGTAAATGAGTGCGATACACATGCAGCTGAGGTTTGCTCACATAAGTGTGTCAACACGCACGGCTCGTTCAGGTGCGAGTGCTTTGACGGATTCGATCTAAGCTCTGATGCACGCTCATGTCGTGCCAAACCAGATCCATACTCGTCCATCCTCTTCAGTCTTGGCAGTGAGGTAAACATTTAACTATTTCTTTCCTTTCGTTATCATATTCCAGATGGTCCTCTTGGTTGATTTGGTACAATCAAATCGTCAGTCTATCGGATCATTGACTGAATCGAAATCGCACCCTTATTTAGGTACGACATATGCCTCTATCATCACTAGGCTCAACGACCAGCTACGGTATCTATCAACATAACGATCAAATGGGAACGATTGTACGTTCAATAGTGTTTGCTCGATCAAGCAATCAACTGCTGATGGCAGTTTCAAATGCCGATCACGAAGGACATATTCATTCTTCAGTGAACGGCTTACAGAAGTGCTTAATTGGGGATGTGAATGGCATTGCAAATTTGGCGTTTGATTGGATCGCTCAAAATATTTATTACACTTCACAACGTCAGTTTGTTAATTGTTTTTCATTTCACTGAGAATCACAACTGCCGTTTCCTGCAAAAGTATTCGCCTGAATTGCCAGTAAATGATGCCTATTTGAAACAAATGCGCTGAGAAAGCAATCGAGTCAGTTGCCAGACTAAAAAATTTTAGATCCATCGAATGCGACTGGTGTTGGTGTGTGTAGCTTGAACGGTCGTTTCTGTTCTTTACTGGTCAAAGGTATCGTTAATAATGAGTATTATCGAAGACAGGCTTACCGTGGTTTAGTGGTAAATCCCCTGCGTGGTATGATGTATTGGATTGATATCCCAGGTTCATTTGACTCTCCAAAAATTATGACTGCTGATATGTCCGGAAACAATGTATGTTTATTTTTTGTTAATTTTCCGTTAGGAAAGGGATATTGGCTGCGCCAAAAGAAAAGTTTATTTGTTTAAGGTACGAGCACTTGTTAGCACGAAGCTTGAACATCCTCAGGGGTTGGCTATGGATTACATAAAACAGAGGCTATATTTTGCTGATATAGAGCTGAGGCTTATCGAAAGGGTTGACGTTAATTCCCTTGAAAGGTTTGATTTGAACTTAGTATTGCGGAACTTCATTAAAACTTGCAACGCTCTCATGAATTTACAGTTCTTCAGTTTGAAAATTGTAGAGTAACAATAACGTCAAGAGGTGTGCATCATCCGTACGAATTGGCATTCTTTGATGACTACATTTATTGGACTGATTGGAGCACTGAAGCGCTGGTAGCAACCCGGGTAAATGAGCAGGAGACTCCTCATGTGGTTCATTCTCTTGAACAAATGCCGTATGGCATTGCTGTTAATCATAGTGCTTACTGGGTAGGCCAGTTATTTTTTCGGTTTGCTCACTTTTGGAAAAATTTCGAGCTTTTATATCCAGTGTTCATTTACTCTGAAAATGCAGCAAGCCTCAGTTTTAATTAAAGTCAGTTTACTCGTTTCCATATGCAACAATGAATATTTTATGGAAATCATCATTTTCAGAATATGACTATGAGGAACCCTTGTGAAGATATACAGTGTGATCACTTGTGTGTATTGTCGGTAGGTGTTAAAGGTGATGTCGTCGGACGTTGCATGTGCCCAAATCTTTATAAAAACAGCGAAGAATACGGCTGCATTCCAATGAACTCTACAGAAATACAACAGCTTGGTGGTGCTCGTAATGTATGTCGCACTTTGTTTTGTCTGGCAATGAATTGAAATGGAGTGATATTGTAGCATTGATTACTAATTCAAGGTACCGTCACTGTGTACGACAATGATGGTTGAATATTGTGAGAAGGGCATTGGTTGCATGAATGGAGGAACTTGCGTCAAACAGATCAACAGTCATGGACACGTCGAAGCTATTTCGTGCAAGTTTGCGTTTCTTTCTTGAAAACTTTTACTTGCTTTTGGCTTCCGTCGGTGGGTCAGCTGCTTGTTTGAAATTCAAGTAAAACTGTTCAGTTTTACTGTATTTTTTGCAGTTGCGTGAATGGTTTCAATGGTCAGTACTGTGAATTAGGCAGTGCATGGACAGATGATGAACTAGAGATTGATGATAGCTCATTCTTGTCTATTTTATTCTTGCTAGTGCTTCTGATCTTGATCGCCATCAGCGCTTATCTAGCCTCCGAAAAGTGTCCTGTTGTTCGGTAAGTCTCATGACCGTTTGTATCACCAAAAAAGGCGGTTAACTGTGTTTAAATTTCAAATGTTTTCATTCTATCTATCGCTATGACTTGCTAAAATACTTGACAGGGTGTTCAAATCGAAAGACTATTGAACTGTTTGGAATGAGGAATTTGTAAATAGTTAATTTTGTGGTTCTTGTTATTATGCCACATTTGCTCTTCCGTTCTATCTCAGACATTTGGCCTAGTGAAATGTTCAATTATTGAAGTCGTGGAGTTGATTCACTGCTAGCAATGCGACTTGTTCGATTAATCAATCCATCTGAGGAAGATACTGAGCGAATCATCAAACCTAAGTCAATGGTTTATGAATCAGACGGCTTCAGCAACCCATCTTATGAAGTTCCTGAGAAGGACAAAATCCCTTTGTCATCGGGTGCAGCTCCCACTTATAATACTCTTCCGGTTATTATTTTTTGAATGATATACTCTTCAGATTCGTTCTTCTCATATTTATTTCCTCTGATAATCAAATCGAATCTGTTCAATACCTTGCATAATATATTTATAAGCATTCGGAATTCATCTTCATCTTTGCTACATCTTTTCACTGACTAATTCACAAAATAGTTCGAAATACCATAAAACAGCTCCATTTAATGAATGCATCGCTCATAACAGTTTCTCGTTTCAGGAGCACCATAATGCGTCTCTGCATCGCACTCCCGAACCACCGCGCTTCTCAATCGATACTCCATGATAATTATCCACCTTATCGAACAACTGTTTTAATTTTGTCTATTATTAGCGACTTCGTCGTTCATGTTCATTATTTTTTGTTCTTCACTGTGTTGTTCTACAGCGTTAGCCAACCGGTCTCATTTTATATTTGCGTCTTTTCTCTTTCAAATTCCAGATTTCCTTTGCGATGCAATTCAATTATTAAATTCTAGATTAGTTGATTTTGCAATGTGTTTGCTCACATCAGTTAATCTCGTTCTCTGCTAAGTTTGCAGGAAATAAAGTAGTTCTTCAAGCTCTTCCCCTCACTTTCACAGCGTCTTTAACTTGCTCGAACAAGAGTTTAGCGATTTATGTTTTTTTAATTCCAACCTTTTCGAAAGACGTCAATCGTTATCTTCCTCTCAATAGGAAACGATCTGTTGATTTCTAAAGCTTTGAGGGGACCTGATACATTAATGTCAAATTGCATATTGTTGTGTGAAATGTTTTGTTTTGTGTGATATCTCTGTGATGATGTTCAATTTTGTATTAAGTTTAAATGATCGGTGCGTAAATATATATATACATATAGTATACTTTGATTGTTCATGCGTTCATGTCATGCGTTTCACGTTCGTTTTATTTGTAAATGCTGAACATTGCACCTCAATAAACATCAAACGATAAAATTGTATGCAAAACATTGTCTATCGTCGAAAATAGTAAGACGGTTAGTCAGTGCGTGTTGCGTGTGGTTAGTTTTAAGCTATTGGAAAGTCTGTTACAATTTTTGAATGATGTCAATGAAAGTGGGTGATCGCCGAACCTGGTATAGTCTGATCTGATTTTTTGATTTTAGGTGCAGTTTGAATTGCAGCGTTATTTGTTGCATGATTGGTTCAGCACTTCATCTTATGACTTTGGTTTTTTGTTATTTGGGAATGTTAATAAATTTTACTGCTTCATTAATTAGTGTAAAGTGTTGTTCGTTTTACTTCTCTTTGAGTTATTTTTGCCCATGTGAAACTGCAATTTCCATGGTCACTCTCTAAAATGCATTAGAGCTGAGCAGTTTTCTCGTCTAGCTTCTGGACGATGCAAAACGGTAGCATACGGTTGGCTCTGGTAAACAGTAGCTCTAGTAACAGCTGTGGTAAACAGTTATGAGATTTGTTTCATGATGTATCTACGAAGAGGTGTTGAAATTGCTCCTTGTACAAAGTATCTCAATGTTTGGCTGCCGAATTACTTTGCCGCTCAATTTACCCAATACCATAAGAAATTACCAGCGAGGGTAAGCAAGATAGTGGCATATTGAATTTCCACTGGGTACGGTTTCTATGTAATCGTCTGAAGATGCAAGTTTGTCATCGATAGATTTGGCTAAAGCGAGAATTCTGGAAAACGAATTGTTGCGAAGTTCGGAGATCAATGCGTTCCGGTTCAATCAGCAAATACTCGATGCGTCATAATTTGCAGTTTTGCTATTGCGTTATTATTACTGTTAGCAGTAGTAGCAACACCATTTTATCCTTGTTTAATAAAAAATATCATTATCGCATACAAAATGTCACGATATAATGCATTTTTTGTCGTCAAATGAAGAGACACGTCTCGTTTGAACAGCAGCCGTTTTGGCACGATTCATCAGAAGATCGGTACGTAAGCTAGGTCGTCGAGCGTTAACATCAATGTATCTGCAACGTTTGTTGAGTTGTTGAAACTCGCCACAAACTTGCTTGGTTTTGCGCACAGAAATGTAGACGAAATAATTCTCCACCCCCCACTCCCATTGCTACTGAACTGCGTGCAACCAGCTATTGCTTACTGTAGCTGCTAGCCGACGACAAAATCAGTAACCGCAAAAGAGCAACGTAATCAATCGCATGAGTGAAATTATTAATTTTTCTTTTACTCAGTCTTCATCATATCTCTTATTTGATGAGGCTTACGGAAAATGGCTGAAAATGAGACCAGCATGAAATTCTCAAAGTTGCTAAAGAATCTGAAGTTTTGTTTCGATATGATTTTGTTTCTTACATTTCATTTTCCTCCTTCGAAAAACGACTCCTCATGCGCTGAAGAATTTTTTTCTTCTTATTTTCTTCGATTATGCCATCTGTAGATAGTTCGTTACGAAGATTTCTGTGCAGTTCAGGATTCATGAATTTCGGTAGTTTTGCCATTGTGAAAATCCGACCAAAAACCTTAAATATGCACTGTTTGAGGTAAACTTATTCTTTTACTTGAAGGCTATTGGAAGGAATGACTAAATAATCTTTTTAATGATATTAACTCGAAAATTCCTTAACACATCATCAAAAAAAAAAACGAATTATCTGAAAAGTATTTGTAAGTGATAACTTTATTAATCGCTCTTGCATAGAGCGCTTATACTTAACAAAAGTGCTCTTTGAAAGTTTTCCGCACTATGAGGCATTTGGTTGAGAGGAATCTATCTATCTATTGATACTGTTTAGCTTGTTTCGTGGTTTAATTTGATTAAAGCGATTTCTCAGAAAGAATTTCAACGGCTAATATTTCGCAACGATTGTAAAAACTTTTTTATAACAGCAAAAATGTTGTGAATCAAACGAATAAATATACCTTATCGATATTGGTCGGCGTTGACGCGGAACACTGACAAACATTGTTCGACGAATCTGTGGCAGAGCTGAGTAGAGCGCATACCTTAAAAATGAAATTGACGAACGCTGTTAAGACGAATGAAAGCAACTAACATGAATAGTATTTCATAATTGATTCACTGCAGTCGTCAGCCTTTTAGTAAATTAATTTTTGCTACTTATAAGTTATTTTTATAGTGTTTTCATAATATGCTCATTAAATATACACTGTAATGAAGCGCACATGAATTCACCTTTTAGAAATCCATTTCAGCAATTGCTAGTTTCGTGATTAATTTCTAGTGGTATCAGCATGACTTTATTGGATACCGTAGCGTTATCTTATTAACAAAATGAAAGAGGAGATGACTTCTTTAGCTGATCGCTTCAGGTGGCAACTCAAAAAAATATTGCCTTAAGATTCTGTCGATTTGAAAACGTCGATTCTTTTTTAAAGTTATCAGAAATCGTGCCTATTGTGATTGCCAAGGACATTGAAATGATTGCTTATCGAGCCTTATCGTTAGATTCGTTGAAAGTATTTCACAAAAAGATGATGTTGAGCACTGCAACGAATGTCACAAGCTATCCGATATCCTTTAATTTATCTAAAGTTACCATTTTTTGCAATGAAAAACCCCAACAAAACCTCGAAATTGCTTGAATTTATTCGATTCAGCATCCGATATTGATTCAGCAAAAAATAGTTCAATGTTTATTCTTCATCAAATCAGTGGTGTATTGAATATTTTATGTATACTCTTAAAGTCGATCGATTTTTTCGCCGAATTCTTCAAGTTGACTTAAACATATCTTGTTGCACATTTTGCTTTTGAAGGAATCATGAATCATTTCTGCATTTATGTACACAATTTGATACAGTAAGCATTTCAACATCCTTTTGAAAAATGAACCAATGGGCAAATTTCACATAAAGATGGTCGTTGAAGTGTTTGTTTGATTGATGCAATGAGAAAGGGATATTTATTTCATTAGTTTTCATTATTATAATCAATCCAAATGTGTATATTATCGAGTCCAATTTTCATACAGAATTGATTCAGAAACAATGCTTTTGAAAAAGTGAATCTAACTGACAGTTCCACTTCGAAAAAAATTAACACTGAATACCAATTATATAATCACCTCATCGAAATCAATTTGCCATCGTGTTTGAGGAAGATCAATTTTGTTGACAATGAATAGGATTGGTATCGAATGCCGACATACACGTTGACCATTCATTTTACACTCGAGAATTTGCTTGTTGATTTCGAGCATATGTGTAACGCTTTCCTCTTGATCAACAGCACTTACTATCATAAACATATCACCTTAAATATTGTACTTAATATTTGTACATACATGTATTTCCTTTAACCTCTCATTATAGCTAACACCTTCCCGGAGAGATCCCTTCAAAAAAACTTAAATCTACTTATATCTTTCTCATCAACAAATCTCCGTTTTTGATAGATTACCTACTACCTTGGCGGGATCCCCATAAATTGAAACTTTACCCACACTCAATCTATAACGATCTGTCAGCTTGAAGTAAGCTTGAAAAGGTTCTTCAAACTGACTTGAACAATTCTGGGTAGTGTTTTAAGTGTCGAATTATTATTCACTCATTTTTGTGTGTTTAGCACGTGATGATTCTGGACAATCTATTATATATTCCAATCTCGATAGAAACTCTTCCAAAAATTTCGGTTAAATTTCATCTCGTTGGATTCCCCATCATGGGTTTTCGCTATAATCGCATATATGCATTTAAAAGAGCATTGCGACACATTGAAAAGGACTGTAAAAAATCATCTGTTACAGTTTAAACCAAATTCCAGGAATTAAGAACGTCTAACTGAGTTTTGTATATCTAATTAAGAACATAGCTAAGTATTTTCACAATCCGCACTCTTCTCAACTGGCATCAACCGAAAGAGTGCACATCAGCCTAATGCAGAGGCTGCGATTCCCAAAACTGAATATATGAAAAGGCGATCGAGCTAAATAAAATCATTTATCGGTGCTCTCACATTCATGAATTACGCATGTGTTTAGCTTAGAATTTAACTTAAACGCTGTAATTACAACTGGTTCCAGTCGTCAAGAATTCAAATTACATGTCATTATCGAAGCACACAGTCGTGGGTCGAAGCGCAATAACGATGAATAAATCAATAAAATTACCAATGATAAATTAACAATAAACAACCAATTCAGGTAGATAAATTAACTTGGTGTGAGATCATTGAAACGTTCAGAAAACGTCGACGATCACATTTTATTATTCAAAAGGTGCTTCCTTGCGTATTTTATAGCTGAATATGAGAAGTGGGCGTCGTACTTTTTTCAGTGATAATCAAACGAAAATTCTGATTCAAAGGAATGTGCTGTAAATAAATATTCATATGCATCTCACACCATTTCTAATAAACTGATCAATATAACACATCATTCCTGAGAACAATATCATATTCTGTTGCAATTCCATCATCAGTATGAATATTCGACATCTTTAAGAGCATTATCATCAGAAGAACAATTCAAGAAGAGAGTACATGAGTGTATCATAATTCAAAATATTTTTCAGATTCTCATCTCGCTATGCATCGAACGCACCTCATACTTTTTCACATCGGACATCGTTAACTTACACATGCTCTTCTCATGGATTGATAGGAACTGGAATGATTGATAATCCTATATGTAGGATCAAGTAGAGCAATTAATAATAATCGAAAATTATCTTTTGAAAAAAAAAATCTCAAGAGTGAGTATATGACATGCACTAACTGCAGACACCGCTGGCTCAGAGTTCACATTTGCTAGCTGCTTATCGCTCTGGAAAGATTTTTTGAGATGATTATGATAATAAGGAACCATAAAATATATTTCTCACAGAAGTCTGCAGGTAAAAAGCGCATATGCATACTTCAAGCGCATTGAAAACAACACATGAAATGAATATTAGTGCAACTGAAGAATTGGAATCGTTGCTTTATTGAAGGACGTAAACAGAATTACATTTTGAAGCTTTCAATCAGTTTTTTCATCAACAACTAACCGATTCGCTTATCTAATCTCATGTTTTAAAACAACTCAGTAGCGAAAGTACTTTATTGGATAAAATAAATTACATCGTAAAAACATATGAACTTTGTAATGCTGAAAAGATAAGCACAAGGGACAAGGAACCGAAATGAATAAACAAACAGCAAACAAAACGTACATAATTGGGAATTACTGAAGCGAAATAAATAGCCTTATCGTAATGTAAATTGAACGATCCATCCGCATAAAGATGTTGATACTGGATTAGCTGCTTTATTTATTTCAACTTATCGCTTCATCAATCTTCATCCTCTCATATTTTCATACATAGTAACATCGCAACAAACTGCTCAACACATATGCTTATTATATACTGCCAATTAGCTACATAATGTATAATACTATTTATTTGCTATATAACGTATTTCCATGATTAAGAAACCAGTGGGATGCTATTCTCGCGAGTTTCTAAAGAGAGAATAAATGCAACGGAGGAAAGCTATTAACTCTAGAACGCATATTGGGATGATTCTGACCCCGCAACTGTGCCATTCTCCTCTTCAGTACAATCCTAAACTTTAATTCCGTGACATATCAAAGTCCTTGAAGGTTACATTTTCCTAATAGATTAGCGTCATTTTAAGGGAAAGTATTATCCCTTTTGACTTCAACCCAATTTTCACTGAAAAATTGATTGCTGATGTCTCTAAAGAACAACAATGGGGTGGGGGAAAGACTGGTAAGCACGCAAAAAAAGCATGCAAATAATGCTATACAGAAACTGAATCGTAATCTGATATCGTTAAAATCAATTTGAAGAGCTGGTTTACGCTCAATTTCGGCATAAAATGATGGGCTTACCTGCAAATTCGTTATCTTAATGACGGAAATATTCATTATGCTAAGGGAGGGTGTACGTTGTGGGTGTTATAAATTCTTTTGGGGATCTACTCAAGTAGAAGTATCTGTTAATTTTGAGATGAATATACATATACATTAGACTGACAAGTATTTGAATGAGAAAAAAATGAAGCTCCAAAAACCAATGGCGTCGTAGTTTATGAATTTTAAATTTCTAAAGTTTTTTTGGTCTACCGCCCCCCTCCCCCTTTTTTTAAACTGAGAAGGCAATACTTTAATGGAAAGGCCAAGAAATTCATTTACGAAAGGTTGCGCCGTCCACATTGTGCCCTTAAGCACTTTTGACAAAAAATAAACAACTTGATTTGGCTCCATTTCCAACTCATTTTTGATATGAAATTTCACACAAGTTTTTTTTTTCAGACCTGAAGGTGTCTTTTTGAGTCGTCGGATTGCAGAGGCTCAGAAATTCGAAGAAAATTGTCACCTTAATATGAATGTGTATAGTTTCATTTATATATACACCGCTTATTGGTTCCGATAGATTGTAAACAAATTTTGTTCAGAGTGATGACAGGAACTGATTCAATCTGAGCTCATTAACATACTATTCGAACCAACAACAATTAATTATCAGCATACGCGCTCTATGTGAAAGCCGAGAGCCTATACATAGACTATTGGAAGGCACATGCAACTTCATGATCATTTTATACTTTCAGCATAAATGGCGATCTTTCGGTGTTCAGATGATATAAATAATCGCTGATAATTATGCATTGATTTCAAAAAAAAAATTATTGACAATACCTGCCTGCAAAATATCCTTGAATAGGTTTGATTAGAATCCTTTCAGACAAACAAAGCTTTCAGTCATGAAAGCTGATGAATTTGATTAGAATTATTCAAAGGACATCGAAATGAAAAACGAACCTTCAAAAGAGACAGTTATTTCTAGAAAATTTTATTGTTTAGACAAGAGCGCACGAGTTTTTTTGCAATCCATTCAACTCCTCTGAGTCTGAATCGATCGCGTGAGTGGCCCTTGCTTATCACATTGGAAACTATCCCACTGGTAATTATTGACTTTTTTTTCGGAATTCAACTAGCAGGTTCCCTATTCGGCATTTTCATGCCATTCACTCCCTGCCTTTGTAAATCACAAGATAATTCGATCACCTAACTAAACGTTCAAACTGCCTTTACCTGCCTAACATATGTGCCCTCGTTTTCGTTTGATTTATCGGAATAATTCGAATGACATCGAAAGGAGCAATTAGGTTTCAGAAATACAATTCTATTAGAAGTACAATTCTACTAGAAATACAAAAATACAATTCTACTAGAACAAATCTCTTCTATACAGCAATGCAGAAAAGGGCAGCAGCAATTGGATTTCAGAAAAATCAAAGTTCAAATGTATTCTTAATTGCATAACATTTGCAGTAAACCAATCAGAGTCAATGTTTGAATTTCGATTTTCATTCAAAATGCAGTGAATTACCAATTCTCATTAATTTTCTATGTATGAGCAAATTCATTGCCGCTGGCAATCAAAGATTATCGAAGAAAAATTGGAATACTTAAAAATAATCATTTACATAAAGAAATTCATTTCGAATGATCCCAAATACGACCTATTCATTTCATCGCTCATTTGATAACGCTTAGCATTCCCCGTCTCTCGTCGAAATAAGATTATTACGTTGACACTGATCGCTTAAATTCTCATACTCGAAACATCATCAACGTTATTACATTAACATTATCGTGACCGTCCTCCTCACCACGTTAATAAAACTAGCATTAGCCATTTTTAGGTCAGTGATGAATTTGCACAAACGAAAGAATTATTCGCTGCGAGCGTTGTGTTTAACTGGAGATATGACTCGATAATGATGACGTCGAATGATAGAAATGATTCGGTAACAATAGATTGGCTTTATATGAGATGGTATCAAACCAATTCTGCATAAACCGTCTCTTTTCCAGTGCTGGAGATGATCGATGAAGCAAACTTACTTTCAAAACTTAAATGATGTTTCTCCTCCTCAGTTAGTTATCCAAAAAATCCACTGATTTCATAGTTAATAAGTCAATTAAAGGGGAAGCAACAAGAAGGATACTCATTAAAATTTCCATTCTCATCCTTGAACACAGTAATTTGTTACGTCATTAAAAGATCCAACAATAACTGACAAGATCTCCACGCATAAACTATTTGATTAATTTCAGATATAACAAAGTTCAACATAAATCCGGCTGAACACTAATGGTCATAAATTAATATGAATCGCGCAACCACAAAGTACACATATAGCATGTATATGCGCTTAGCATATTATTTCATTTAACGATACCATCTCAACGTATTGATTCTAACTTCATCATTACCTTGCGCAATTCCTATTCAATTGAACATCACGCACCTCATACACAAAGGAAATATTCATTTCAAATGGCATGACTTTTCAGTGTGTGATTACTTTCATCTTAAATACATTATTGATGTGCTTGAGCGCTGCATACGACATGCTGCCGAATTAACAAATAATCTTAACAAATTAGCCAAAAAAAAANAAAAAAAAAGAATGCTCATGAATAAGAAACACTTCAAGAATCACTCCACATGACCAAAATGAGAGGATTCTTAAGAGAAATTCGATAAATATAAATTGTTCGCAATTATTCGATATTCAATGAAAATTATTGATTGGTATGATCGTAGAATCAAAATAACACTAAAATTCGTCGAATGATAAGTTTTGAAAGAAATGAATCTTCGCTAGCGCTTTCGAAATTCAAGGCATCTTACGATTAGTTATTTGGAGAACATCATTCAATTACGCATTTGTTGGAATAGGGAAGATTTCATTTAAATTTGCATAATGATATGCAAATTATGAATAATTCAAACATGTTTTCTCTTGTGCAAAGTGAACATCAACGTATGAAAATGCATTCATTCCATATTGCTGATGTTGATGCTCAATGGCAGCGACAAGTGAATGGCAGCGACAATTAAGAAACATTTGAAACTTGTACAAAAATTTATTTAATTAGCTCACCTGATGCATATGAGAGTCGTCGAGCGGCAGGGAATGGATCATTGCCCGAACAATCAACAATATCTAGTTGAAATAATTCGCCACGAATTTTATAGAGTTTACGATAAAAGTTTTCAATCGTCGGAATGTAACGTTCTTCGAAATCGTTATTCAGGAAACGATTCACAATTGCGCTTTTCCCAGTGCGGGGTGATCCGACAACGACCAATCGGTACACTTTTTTAATTGCTGGTGAACTTGGACAACTACCACCTTCACGTTGGGTTACTTCACCCATTTTTGACGGTAAACGAATCAGATGAGCATGCTTTGGACGTTGTGACTGTGTTTGTGAAAGACGACGTGATATCAAGTTACTCATTACATAAACTTTTATCTTATTTTCTTTCGGATATTTAACCTTCTTTATAACTTTCTTCGTTCAGTGAGAAATTCACAAAAGCAAAGTAACTCTGATGAGTACTTCTATGCAAAAGATACTTTTTCCACAATAACCATTAAACAGTGAAGGCAGTCGATGAATACTTGTCAACGGATCAGATTAATATTTTAAACAACAACAACAAGAACAACAATAGCAAATTAACACAATATCAAATAGCATCTAGAAATGTCTCATTCAATGGCTTGATAGTGTATGTGAATATGAATATTCATTGTAGAATGCGAATGTTGTGCTGGATAGATGTAAAAGGCGAATGAATGGCTGTGATGGGAAGGGGTGGGGGAGGTAAGGAGGGAGGGATAGAGGGAGCGAGAGAGGGAGGCAGGGAGGGAGGGAGGGAAGGAGGGAGCGAGGGATTTTGCCTGAGTTAAGGATGCAGCTAAATGAAATAATACTGAGGGAAGTAGTGGCTGTGTCGTCTCGCACCATCTGTATCTATACTCAACACGTATGAGTGAATTTCAACAAACTCATTATATGCTAACTATTTATCTGTTACTGAATGTCACCTTTTATCACATATCACAACATGTAACATGAGAGCACTGTAACGAAATAACAACACACAATTATCCATCTTATTTAATGATTCAAATAAACATCTCATAAATAATAAATGAATGTCTTTCTTTTCTGTTCGGCTGAAATAATGAAATTACATGATAAGTAAAGCTTATATTGTATAATTTGTTTGATTTCAAGCATGATTTTAATTAACCATCAACTCTTCAACAACACATCTTATTGTCAATATCGAGATTGCAAGGTTGTCTAAAAATAACAGGAATGACTAGTGTGTCACGGAGATCGGAGAATTTCGGGGACCCCGTCCCGATTCACTGTCCTCGACTTTTTCGAGCCGACTGCATTTTCTGAGTCCTTGACTGCAAAATTTTGTCCCCAACTTTTTTCCATCCCCGCAGTACACTAATATCAACAATAAGAAGATAATCTGACATACAAATAAAAATGTTTTTTTTTTTGATCAACATAAAAGGATTATTAAACCCTTTCGTATAAAACATTGGTAATCATTAATTAATTTATTATTCATTATTCATGATAATTATTCATTCAGTTTTGGCCATTTTAACACTCGATTCATTTCAGTTCATTCAGCAACCATTTAGCGATGCTTTTGCATACAACAACCATGCACATTCAGTTGTTTCACTCGCATGTGAGTGAGCAGCTTCGTAATGAAGAGAAGGAATGAGAAATTCTCCTCTCTGAAGTTCGACTTCACAAGATAGCTGAGAATGGCTGCCCATCTCCCAAAGTAAATTGCTTCAGAAGAAAGTAATTTATGGACCAGTTTGTGACCAATCCTTGTGTCTCATCGTGTAGATTTCTTTTTCCGATAAAGGTTGAATTTGTTCATTTTACCATCATCACTGTCACTAAAGTATCACTTGTCCAAATAATAACTTATATACTCCCCCACTGTAGTGGAATATACACTGATTCCAATATCTGATTTCAGTCGTTCTATTCACTCATATGCTACGAGCCAATGAGTGAACGTAAGTGAATTTTTATTTCAAAATACCTTCGGTGGGAGCAAACATTTGCACTGAAGCGAGAAAAGCATTTCTTTGCTATGTATGTAATTCAGTTATTTCTGTACAATCGTTCACTTCTGATGCACTGACCGTTGCGATGTAACATCACTTTAAATGATTCACGTTCATTTTGACTGTAGTGAACATTTAGTTTAGTTCTGAACCATTTGGTATCTTAATTAATATCTTTAATGAGCGCTTTATTTCGTCTATTTCACTATTCAATACCCCTCCTCTTCATACATCGAATTGCAATCATCTTATATCCTAAGATCCAGCAACTTTTGAAATAAAGAAATGGCACATGTTTAACACATCCTTTCTGAACCAGTGTGTCCATAATTAATTAGAAAATAATTTATTCAATAAACCATATAGGTAATAACATTTTATGTCTGGAAACAAGGCATCAACATCACAAGACAAGCACGATTCAGGTAAAACATCAACAATTAAATTTTTTGTGGCGATATCTTAACTTTTTCTGTGAATAACTTCAATGGATTAATGTTCAGTTGCTTATTTCTGAGATGAAAAGAAACCAAACATATTCCTCGACAAATGTCACCACTCATGTTTCGTATTTCTTCGGTGACGAAGAAATACGAAACATGAGTGGTGACATTATGAAATGTTTTGCGGAAGACGAAGGTTGAGGTGGCACTATGCTCCTTCTATTACCGCTCTGGTGGTAAACAATAAATATTACTGCATATGAATGAGCTGGGAATGATAATGCATAATTCGGGATGACTATATTACCAAAATTATACAAAATGTCATGTTTTAACTGATCCTGAAATCCCGAGATTTCTCAGAAGCTGAAGCCCAGGATCGAGGCTTGAATTCATCCCGAGCAAACAATTATATCCACCTGTTAAACTGCTATTAATTTCTCCTCACAAATCTAATAAATTCGAAGCGTAACACTCACTTTCGTTTCTTTGCAACCACGCAGAAATTGCGTCATATCCATTCGTGCACAGTACCAATTATCATTCATTTTCATAATTCACTAGTCGTTACAATGTAGTATTATATGCTCTCATTTCAATTACTACAACTTACCAATATTACTTTCACACATCAAAACTTGAGGGTTTACCCTCATGTGTTCAGTTTCTTGAAATATGAGATAACACGGAAAAATAATGATAGCTTTTACACTCAATTCAATTAAAGTCTCACGTACCTATCGATAAAAATTTTCGCTAATAACATAATATCGCCTTCTCCTGCTGCATCCATATCTCCATTGCCATTCTTTATCGCTCTTCCCTTTACATTCATCGCTTCATCTCCAACGAATCATTCACCATACACCTCATATTATAAGCGTTTCCGCTATGTTTCATTGAAACATTTCAATTGAATCAAAACATTCGTTTTCGATTAATTCACATTGTCAGTGTCCTTGTTTTTTATTGAGAAAAAAAAACGTGTTCCTTTGTTGTTGCACAGATTGAATACGATGGCATTTTGCATTTTGCAAGGTTGTTCTTCGCATTATCATCCATAGGCCACATAACAATCCTTGTTGAATTTTTTCGCATACAGAGTTTATAGGTTAGACATTCACATCTGTATGTGAAGCGGAACGACATTGGCTTATGCTGTCGTTTATTCGAATTACGCTTTTCGCCTACACTGCGTAACCCTTTCATAATGCGTCTTATGGCTCAACTAAAATTCCACAAGCAACGTATCCAATCCACTAGATAAATTACTCATCACATTAATAATCGATTTTTAGGATGTTTAATACTTACCGCATCTTACTTCCTTCATCGTTTTTAATGGTCTCATTATAGACAACATCTTAATGATTATTTCACTAAAGTTCTCAGAAAAAAAATTCATACTACATAACTACGGCAGAAAGGTACGATTGTTTCGATCAACAAAACTTTTCTATTTATAACTGAAACTTGAATTCGCTTAAAAAGCGTTACTCGTCGGTATAAAATTCTACATGCTAAACAAGCTTTTCGCCGCATGTATGTATAATAGCCAAACGAAAATTTCTCATTTAGCACGTCCCAGTGGGAGAGAAAATACAAAGGAGAAGTTCATTAGTGATAAGCGATTCTGTTTGAAGTGATAGCACCAGCTTATAAACACCTCATTATTAAATGACGCTTCTTTAATCTACCCAACTCGTCTCGATGCGATCCATTTACATACTGGACAAATGTAGTTAGAAATGCATTTCGATAAAAGTATCCAGATCGACGGATATAGTCGGTGCTTGTCATGTGAATACAGTATCTGATGATGTTGAACCATAGCTAAATGTTGTGATAAGAATCGACTGCATCTTTCTGACAATACAGAAGTGGTGAATAAACGAACTTTATGCTTATAGCAAACAATGTTTAGCTGTATTATAATGGCATATGACTCAAAACGTCTCGATACCGTAAATTAGATTGTTTCATCACCTTACAGGCAATTGAAAACCCATATTATCCTCTTTAGCAAACACACCATCCTAAGCAAACTATACTTGTTTATCTGCGAATTCAATCCACACAAACACTTTTATGAGCGCTGAGGAAATACAATTAGAATGGAAAAAACGAAACGAAAACTCAGGTGAATATTTTTGATAAAGCAAAATGAAGGGAATATTAATAAACGAAAAATGTTCAGTCAGTGCTTCAGGTGTCTTCAAATCAATAAAGAGAGAACAACACGTTAATTACTGAACTTGAAACATTTATCGTTATTCAGAGATACATCTACTAGACTAAAACAACGTTCAACGATCCACTTCACCAAACACGATATCCAGTGTACCAATGATGGCTACAACGTCGGCAATAAGTGACATGTACGCAACATCTGGTAGCGATGAAAGATGAGCGAAACTGAAAACGACATTTATATGAGTTGTGTTTGACAATATATCAGAAATTGTTTGTTTGCTTCACCGCTCCTTTCTCACTATCATTCACTGAAAATCAGCTCATTGAAGGGATGCCTCAATTAAACGGTGACGTAAATGAAACTGCAAACAAGAATCATTATAGAATTAATGATAGATGTAAGAGAAACAATTTGTTCACTAGTAGTAAACAAAGCCTCGCGGAAAGATAATCAATTTTCATCAACCTTGGGCCACGAATGAAGATACGATATGGCTTCGAAGTACCATCAGCAACAATATATGTTCCGAATTCGCCGTTAGGTGCTTCAATGGGAACGTAGCACGCGCCCGGAGGAACTTGAAATCCTTCGGTGAAAAATTTGAAGTGATGAATTAACGACTCCATGCTTGTCTGTAAGAATCCCATATTCAACCAATTATAAACAACAATTCTTGCTGATATTAATAAGATTTTGCTGATCACATACAAAAGACTGTGTAACTGAGACATATTATTAATTGTATATTGCCAATTATAATATCACAGGGGACTATATGGTGATCATTCCACCGATTAGTGTAGCATAATGACTGACAGATAATTGCACGGAAACAGAATGAAAAATTGACGTCTCTGAAGGGGAGTGGTGAATGAATCAGTTATTTATCTAGTATAACAATGAATGCAGGTGTGACTGCAAAGATCTCATCAATTACTTGAAATGAATCGAGATGCTGATTGCTCAATGTGTGGGCTAATGAGTTATGCAAAGGAAAATTCAAATAAAGCAAAATTGGCAGCTGAATTCGAAACGATCGTTGATTGAGTATTAACGCAACAATGTAATTTGGTTGTTCATTGAGTTTCGTCATTTCCAAATATTTTCGAATTGTTTTCTAACAAAAATAAACAAACAGATGTATAACAAATAGTACTCCCATTACCTTCATTTCACGACGTTTAGGTGGCGAAATTTTGTGGTCGTCAATCTTGATTTCTCCTGCAGGCATCTTATTGAGACACTGATGGACGATACGCAAACTCTGTCGCATTTCTTCGATACGACACAAATAACTGCAATAACATCATGATGAATTAATTCATGCATACTTCAGTGATTGGTCAAAACAACAAAAACAAAACTGATATAATCAATGAAAAATTAAGACTGATCCTCTGTTTTGCTCAATACCATTCAAACATTCACTTCGTCGAACAGAAGAGAAATAGTGATTGACCAACCGATCGTAACAATCGCCCTTCGTTCCAATCGGAACATCGAATTCAACTTGATCATATGCGTCGTATGGATGTGCTTTACGTATATCCCACTTGACGCCAGATGCACGCAACATTACCCCTGAATAGGCGTGATTAAGTGCATCTGGTGCCGATACAATACCAATATCGATCGTTCGCGCCTGGAACATTCAATTTATCTGCTATCAAGCATTACGTTTTGAAGCAAGTGAAATTTAGTATCAGTGCAACTAGTTCGGTGAAAAACGATATGAAGAATACGGGATGAAATCAATCACAAACTCATCGCACAATCTGCGATCTTTTGTGGGCTTGATTATGCTACGGTTCAGTTGAAGACCATTTTAAAATTTTGAGCAATGAGACCAAATTTAGTGGATCAAAAACCACATGAGATCAGGAGTTTTCGCACTTAGAGAACTGCATTATTATCACACATTTCATGTCAACAATTAGATCAACTGATAATTCGAAATTAAATCATGACAGTAGGTAAATTCCAATGAAATTCTGAGCAATTATCTAAATTCCTCATTCCTATCCGTCCCTCAGTCCTTCAAAAAACCTGGAGCATATCTTCGAGAATTTCCTTGAGTCTGCTGATCGCGGCACCATGAGCTTCCCCAACTGATTTCATCTAAACTCCCTACTACGAGCCAAGAATGAGCACCACAAATGAACTGCGAAAATTAATGGTTAAATTATGATAATGAGCCCGATGTATAAATTCATTCAATCAGATGAAACACTATCAGCTTGAAAAAAATTAAATGCATCAACGTCTACATATTTTTCCAATGGATAATTTGCGGCTCAAAATTATTGAAGAGAATTATTTTGCTTACAGATAAACATAAAATTTTTCTTGCCAGAAACTACAAGAGGAACCTTCCAAATTCTGTTGTCAGTTAGCATATCTTCCACTTCGTCGATTCTTTCCGGAAATTTTTCAGCCCAGTCGTAAATATCATCCAACAATCCCAATGGTAAATCATATGCGACTCCGCCTGGGCGGAAATAATTAATGTGCATACGTGCTCCCGATACGCGTTCGCTAAAATTGCACAAAATGAGACTGATAAACAAATTTTTTACTGAACAGATGCAGAACTCAGCTAGATGCTTTTGGCTGAATGAACTGATGAAGAAGCAATCGACTGAGGTAGTAAGCAAACGATCTTTTTCGTCATCAAAAGCGCTGCTCTGCTAGAAGCATCCAATCTGTCGGAAACAATGTCATGACGCAGCTGGCCAGAAAACAGAACGTTTAACATTTTACTTATAGATTTTTATTATCAGTCAAATCACTTCCCGGAGTAATTCATTCGTTGACTGACTTCAACTGCCTCGGTGAATCATTCAACGTCAAGCAAAACCTCATCCCTTGCGCGGCAGTTGCTACATTTTAAGTTGAATGTTTCATCGATTCAATTGCACATAACCTTTGCGAATAAAAAACGACGGTAAAATGTCGACGCAAATTTGCAATAAAATATGTAATATCAGAATTTTGAAGTTATGAATCACGATTCAAAGCGAGAATCAAAAAGCAGTGTTTCTCTAGATTTCAATGAAATTTGCAGAAGTTTTCTGAGTGTGTAAACTCATAACTCCACTCTTATCCTGCTTAGGCTAATAAATTCGCCTGACGATTCAGATCGGCAAACAGCGCTGTAAATGAAAGCAATGGAAATGATAACTGTTCAAATTGGTCAGCAGTTTTACCCTTTCATAACCAATATTCATAGAAAGTAAATAACTGATGAATTCTCAAACGCAATTTCATTCAAATAAGCAAGGAATGCTCATTCCAAGACAGGTACGAATGATTAAAACGAACTTGAACTCGAATAATTTTTCACGTTCTTCAAACTGCCAAAATAACGGCGTCATGGCACCAATATCAAGTGCATGCGTTGTAATACCGAATGCGTGATTCGCTAGACGATTCAATTCAGCAAAGAGCGCTATAAAAGAATACTGAATTAGTAACTACGCTTTTGTCTATTTTCGATTGCTATACAAACGGCTTCTGAAATATATCAACATAATAAGCAATAATAATTATAACAATTAATTTGCGAGAAATCATCTAAATCGCACTCATCCAATTAATGCTACTTCAATTCACTAAAATCACTGAAACGTCCATTTAACATGAATACTTTGTGACAATCACACCTATTCCCTTTACAACGGTTTTGTTTTGGTGAAGAACTTATCTGTCTAATTCATTGTAATCGACTGGATTAAAGTGGCCTTAGCACGAATACAAATCAAGAGTTTCAATCAGCTAGTTCAACGTAAACAAAAAATACTTCAAGTGGGAAAACATGACAAGCCGCGACAACTCCTATTGTGATTTGCATCACCTTAACACTCCATATGAAGAAAAATTTCCTACGCATACTTTTATCATTGAAATCATTGTTAATGAATTGTTGAGAGGAAATCATTGATTTAAACTTGCATGCACTCACTGTTTCTTTTCAACAATTAACGTTAAGACCGTAATCCCTGTTAAATACTATCATTTTTATCTTCTCCTATTTCAATATCTATTTCCACAAACCTTCTTACCCCCCCCCCCCCTCTCGTACTTCTATAAAGATTCCTTGGTGCACAGTTGTGGTCTACAACCCTCTTAAGATAAGATCACCTACCACTCCTCCTCTAAGTTGCTAAAATGAACTTGAGAAGTGTGAAAATAAAACAAACTTCTGATCCATTTAGCACGAGGTGGTACTTGAATTCCGAGAAGTTTTTCGACGCCAAGAGCAAAAGCTTGTTCACTACAAAACATAGTCACATAATCAAGCCGATCCATATATGGCATGCATTGTGTGTACGTTTTATACTCCATTAACTTCTCAGTACCACGATGCAAAAGCCCAATGTGTGGCATTGCCTTGATTATCACCTTAAAATAGAATCAATTTATATTAATCCTTTATTTTACAGGAGTTTTACGATGAAATAAACATCTTTCATCCATCTCCTTCCACGTCTGTCTGGCTCAGTTATTGTCAAAGCAATTTTCTCGCCACAAAATTTCACTCATTCTCATCATAAGAACGCTAAAAAGGAAAAGAATGTTAAGATATTAATAATGTTAACAGCAATTCCTCTATCAAACGTCATCACCGATCCTCGTTATTTTTAAACTTAGAACTTCGAATTGATTCGCTTAAGAACTCATTTAAGTTTGATCTGAATTCATTTCTGATAGATACTTTCGAAAATATTGCTATATTCGAAAGTGACTCCAACAGACTACAAAATTATTCCAACATCAAAATACTATGAAATGTGAAACATGGCAATATATAATAGGAATAATTAATTAGATGTGACCTGACGTACTTTCGGACAATCAAAACGATGAGAATTATCAAAAATCGCTATTAAAAAACTATTACCTCGCCCTCAAGCTTCAAAACAAGTCGCAAAACACCGTGTGCCGCTGGATGCTGTGGTCCAAAATTGAGAATCATATTCTCCAGCGATTTCTCACGAAGTTTTCCTTTGTAGTCATCTGACTGCACTGGTGCGCTTGCCATCAGCTTCGCGAATTTATCCAGGCCCAATTGCTGATCATAGTCAGTTTTTCTCGTGAACCATAACTTGCCTAACGTTCCAGCGGTCTAAATGCATCCATCTTGAAGGGATCCACCAATTGAAAAATTCAGCTTCACACTCATAAGCTGTAGTTATTACCCTATGACCACAGATATCTATTGACAAACAGGAACGACTAAATGTATCTGTTAATAGATTAGAACAATTCCCACCATTTAGAACGATCTAGTGTTAAGGATTGAAAGCTGACAAATGAAGATAGACAACACACCTTAAAATCACGCTCAAATTCAGCATCCGGGTACCAGATTGTGTGCGAGCTGCGTTTGCTTTGTGAAGCAACTGACAATGCAGATGCACGTAACGTCGGCAGCAAAAGAGGACGGAGTCGTACTGCCGACATGTCGATGTTCGATTTGAATCACTATAAAACAATTCTATTTAAGCGCATTCAACATGCAAGATGGTAAGTAACCAAATCCGTCAACAGCAGCAATGCGAAAAATCCTCTTCCGTGAAGTAAGCCGGAGAACGGCTTCTCTGAAACGATTCACTAATAAATTTGCAAAGATCACACCCTCACTGAAAGAACGATTGAAGTCATTATCAGAGTCAGTTCCCTTGAGAGGAAGGTGACCTTGTTCAGGCACTCACAAACAACTCGCAAGAAACGTTCACATGAATGTCTCTTCCCAAATTAATTCCAATATTACTGATAAGCACCGCGGTTTTATCAACAAGCAGTGAAACAAAATAATGACATCAAACGATGCAAAACTCATATTTATGAAACAAAGGTATTCGCAAAAATTAATTCTTTACAAGACGATAAACGAAATACTTGAAGATACAAGTTTGCAGGTACACGTTTGATACAAGTTTGCAGGTAAACTGCTGAATCGTTTCAACATTTTCAGAGGAAAAACATATGAGAGAGAACGCATCGCCAATTGTATGAATTTGATCGATTCATTATTGAAAAGTGCACGTACAAAATTTAGATGCAGAGAACGCAGTCCAGTCCGATTGACATGCGTGTAGAAGTGTTTTTGTTCGTTCTTATATAAGCAGGCATAGAACGATTGAAGTCAGCTGGTCGTTCACTGCACTCTTATTTATCGCACTCTCTGTAGCGCATCCAAATCGCATACATTTTTTTGCATCATTTTTATGAAATGAATTTGTAAATATTGAATTAAGAACTGTATCCGAAAATTGATCACCTTCTTTGAAATTACACGAAAAAAAGTTTTCGTCTTATAATAATTAAGGTTACTACACATCATCACATCTTGCAAAGATGTAATGCACTTTTCTTATCTGCGAAAAAGTACTCTTATAAAAAAGTATTTCAAATACAGTTGAATGTGCCTAAAGTTCGTCTCGCAAGCATTCTGCTGAATGCTGAAAGTTTCACGAACCAAAAGCATTTCGTAGCTGCATTTCAAATGACATACTCAAGGAAATAAACGTATTCATATATTTCAGTTAAATCTACCATTTTCTTGGCTGTGCAAAAGTACTCACCTGCATAAATTGCAGTGAACCAAATCGTATTCACACAAACAAAGTGGAAATTGTAAATTGGCTGAGAATCACTCTACAAACACGATTGCGTTGACAGTTGCAGTTAACCAATTGAACATCGTTAAGCAGTCACCAATAACCAGTGATGGACAATAGCTGTTTCGCTAGTAGCAAAGTGGCGGTGTTGTCCATCACTGCCACCTGTAATACAAAGTGAAGCATCATGCTCAAGTTTCGCTTGAGCAAGTCCAAGTCTCATTCAAAGCCTTAGTTGATGCCTGAGCAAGCTTCAATTAGCAATCTTTCCTCGAGTTCTGTTGCTTACCGATTTCATCTATTAGAGTTTTATTGCATCTATTAGCACTTCAAGATTCTACCTGAAAGAAATTCCTCTCGAGAGTCGCTGTTTACTTCCTCGAGAGGACACAGAAAAGCAATGATTTGATATGACACAATTTAATGCACTACAGTTTCAATCCTTATCTTGGCGGTTCTCTCTTATATCCTTGGGCTTTAGATGTGAGATAACTTCTGCAATCTACATAACGCAAGACCATTATGTTCGAATATGTATAACCACATGTTCATCATTGTTATCTGATAGTGAGATGATGACTTTTGTGGTCATACGGCAAGCATAAATGAACACATGTAACTTGTGTTCGTCGGAAAGCAATCTTTCAAAAAAGTTGGAGAACGAAATTGCTGGCTAACGGGTACCCCGTTACCCGATGAAGAATACATAAAACTGTAGCAATACGAATTTCCCACCAAAAGCTAGTTTCGATCAAAGCCGTCACATTACCAACTTAGCTGAATAACATCACTCAAATCACTGGAATGTTTTGCATTCAATATAAGTAAATCTGAAATAATAAATACTCAGCTCAGGGAGATTTCTCGAAGAATGAGATGTACCCTGGGTTAAGGTTGCCAGTCTATTAGAAATGTTCAGCGTACTTTTGACAGACACAATCATAGTTCTAAGAACAAATCCGTCACTGAAATCTTGGCACGAGTACACACGGTGTTGATCTAAAATATCCAATATGAACCAGCTAAGGTGACGTCCCTTGTCAAAATGGAACAAGCCTGACTAAGGAAGTCACCTTAGCGGGTCAGGAGATATCGAGTAAGGCATATACCCTTTTAAAGTTTGCCAAATGATGTATTTCATCATTTTTTGTTACTTATTATTTCGAACGAAAATTGTTTCAATCATAACGCACTTGTCAGGTGACAATAAAATAATCAGAGCAGAAGTAAAACTTTGAATATGAACATTCAGTTTAAAAATTATCACAATCATCAAATTCACTGATTCGCAATACTTTCAACATAACGACTAGACAGTCAATCTCCATAACGTTTGCAGAAACGTTATGTTTGCGTTTTACAAAACTGATGTCGTGCGTTTTTATGCACGAATCAATCATGTGGATGAGATCTTCAAGAGTTCGGAATAAAAATCGAACTAGAAGTTGTCTTTCAGTTGCATCAAAAATTTGCGTTTGGAGTGGATTGTTTGCAACAAAAGAGCTTCGGTGGTAACCGAATCTCCTGCTGCATTAACTCATCTCGTCGGAATTGCAAAGTACTTTCAAGATAACCACTAGACAATCAGAACGCGTCAATTATGAGCTCACAACTTGGCCGAAGATGGCGTTCAGTAGATAACGAAAACATATTTGTGCAATCTACAACACTCACTTTTTAATGCAGTGGTTCTCATATGGGGTTAAATTACCCATTTTGGGTAATTTGGAGGTGTCATGAGGTAATGGAGGAGGTTGGGAAATTAGTATTTTGTGCAGTTGTTATTGTATGAAAGAACGCCATTGTGATGGTGTTTTTCAACTCGGATATATGAATGAGGTTAGTTAATGGCAACACTCTTCATTCTGCTATTTTCTACGTATCATTAGCTCGTCCGGGCCTAACAAGGTTCATTTTTACTGTTTTAACAGGGTTTTCATTCTTTTCTTTGATGTTACAATCGCTCTCATAGCTTTTATCACCAAAAGTGTTCTCTTTTGCTAATTTCTCATTCATTACATTCAACAATTAAAGTCAAATTCTCATTCTATCAAATACACTCTATAATTGATCATTTGACTGTCGAATGTTGTTGAGCAATAGTATTTGATTGCTGTATTGTTGATTTCGGCTGTCAACACTCGTCAACGCATCCAGTAAATAGTACATGCTACAGAATAAGAAGTTGATTCGAACTGTGAAGTGAAATGGAACGAAGTGAATGAGGAAAACTCATCAAGAGAACGATATTCGCATGTAGTAGCTATGAGAGTGAATACAACACGTCCGAAAAGAATCTAAATCAATTTGAAGTAAGCATGTGATAGACAATAGCTTTTCATGCGATCATGATCGATTGCATTAATGAGCAACATAACGGTCTAGGATACAAATTTCTTCCATTGAGAAATTTGAGAAATTTTTCGTTGAGAAATTTCCGGACCGGTTTTTCGCTTGTTCCTGAAGTTATACGTAGAAATCGTAAGTTCTGGTATTAGGGTGAGTTGGGATCACGGTATCCTACCAGATCATCAAATGGGGCAATGGAGCACCCGAACGTCAGAACCACTGGTCTATAGGCAGGGCAATTTGTGATTAGGTTTTATCCCACCTATCATGGAATTAAAATTTGTGGCTTTGGTGAATATTATCAACCACCTACGGGCAAAAATTGGGTTTTGTTTGTACAAATGAACGATCAACAAATAACGTCAATGTTTGAGAGAATTAATTCCACCATTAGGATCGTTCATGATAGGATCGTGTCACTGTGTTTGGCAGATAAAACTGCTTTTTGATAATAACACAATTTGAATATTAATAATACGAGCAGTGAAATAATTTCGATATTTCTAACTGAACAATACTAGGTGAGTGTGCATTGTGATTTACGAACTGTATTTAATATAGTGCGATCATGATAAGCTGAAATATAATCAACGAAACAACTGCAAAATTTTCAGATGCTTAACCACTACGTTAGTGCTCATCACCCGACTCGTGAACAATTGTGAATTGAAGGACTGAACTGTGAATATAAAATCAAGTACTGGATCCAGTTTCAGATCAGAAGATAAGCGAAAGATTGACGGCATTTTGAACCAGTCACATACAAAATATATTCTTTCTATACTACCTATATTCCAGTTGCATTTATTAGGATCTTATTGTATTAATTTCAGCATGTAACGCATTCATTAGTGAAACTAGATTCAGTTGAGTTTCTAAATAATTCCTTTTAGCTATCCTAATTCAATCAACTCTGCGATCAATTTCATCCGAACAGAACTGAAACGTTTCCCAAGTACTGCAGAAAAGCATAGATTTAGAGAATTATGTTAGAAATACCTCCATCGAAGCATTCCACATCGCTTCTCAAAAATGTTCTTTTCCTATAAAGGAAAAATCCTTTCAGATATGCTGTTGCACATTCAAGGTTCCGACGGAATAACCCTTGACCGTACAGATTTATCGCTCTTCAATATTCGATCGATGAAGACTAATTGTATGGTTGATTATCGAATATCTCTCCGTTTCAAACAGTGCTTTTCGAAGGCAGAAGAGGAATATCCGAGTGGATGAAAACGCTGATTTTGCATTTGTGTGCTTGCATTGAATCAGAGTTCTTGCAGACGTAATTAACACATTATGGAATTAACGACTCGACAGTAATGCGGTATAATTACGCTTAGGTTTGCTTATTGATATTTCATTCGGATAGGTGACACGGGGAGAGAAGTTTAGTTTCCTGTTTTATCGAGTCATGCAAAAATATTGTCATGAATGGGCAATATTTTTAAAAAGCTATAGCGAATAAAGTAGCAAATACGTAACAACGAATATAATTTTATAGTATGACCAATGCAATGAATTTATGGATAACGGCTGTAATTTTGAATAAATTGGCGACCCGCCTGATCATAGATTGGAAATAAATTCATGAAAGTAAACAATTTTTTAAAATCTATTCGCGGAAGTAGATTGAATAATCACTGATGTGAAGTAAATCCCTTTTTGATGAATTACTTATCGATAGATTGACAAGCTCAGTTGCGTCCAAAATCAAATACAATGCAACTGATCATCGGTTTCCTGTTTCTTCTTGCTTCTCGTGAGGCTACCACTCTGAGAGCTATGTTACACCTTGATAGCGATTGAAATGAATGTTCGAATGGGTTGTTCTTTTGAGAGAAGTGTGTGCATCACCAGGTATAATATAGATTGTTTGATGGACAACATGCCCTATTATGGAGATTGCATTTGTAAACGGAGATATGGTGACTGTTTAAAGGAGACCGGAGGCGAGTTTAAATTCGAATTTTTGCATTGTCACCGCGGCTGTGATGTTTACGCTTAGATCATGTTCTTGAACATCTGAAAGAACTGAATCGACGACGGCTTTCAGCTGAAAGAACTGAATCAGCCTCATCGAGGAACTCATTCAGTAGGACTGATGAGTCGGTTGCCAGCGACCGAAATTCGCTGGCAACGAACGAGCGCAACTCTAGTACATAACATGACAATTTTAGGTTTAGCCAATCCCTCCACATCTCGTCCATCCACGTGAGACTGAAACTACTACGCCAGTCAGTGATGTTATGTCCCAAACGCTAACAAGAACCATATTTTGTTGCTGTGAGCGAACCGCGATCGCTGAATCATTACTGTGATATTTTATGGAACTAATCCCTAAAACAACTATGACGCATCATTTCACGTGTTCGTCTGTTGTTTCTTGTTTTTTGCTCAAATATTCTCTTCTAGGCGACAAAATTTGATATTTCCAGTATCGTTCATACCAGACCACATCCCGTGTTTTCCCCTTTTCCACCTAAAACAATATTTGTTTCAGATTTGCTTCTGTTGGACCCAACTTGACGTTTTCAGTATCGTTTGATCAGTAATGCCGTCACCTATAATCTCCATTGACTTATCAGGAGCTTCAATACATGTGGATAAAGAAAGCAATCAGAAAACGTTTTGAACTTGTTTTTATCGAGAGAAGATTGGACTTCGTTTCGAAATTTCAACACCTTTCTCTTTTTATTACGACTATTTGCAGATCAAGATTGACTTTTTCAGTTGCACGTTTCGACCAAGATGATCGAAGATATTGATATCCTCACAGAAACAACCAATTTTCGCACTTCATTCATTTAGAAACCAATTTTTGTGTTCGATTCAGCGGTACTAGATATGAATTTACTGGAATAAATGCGTCTTACTTAAAATAAACCACTTATTTTGAAAAAAAAAAGAACGACGCGACAAAACCAAACAAATATGTTTCACGATTTATTGGTTTATTTAATGATTGAACAGCTACAACTTTAAAAAATGTTGTCGTATAGATTTGTGGGGTGAAGATAAATTTGAAATGATGAAACCAAAAGAAAGATTGCCGTAAAGATAGTTTTGATGATCAGTGATAAACAATGAATCACAGATGAAGTGAAAAAGAGCCAGATATCATTTTCGGGAACGAAGCACTGAACGCCAATACGTAATCAAATTCCACCTGTATTATTTTTCATTAGATTTCATTCACAGACTTTCAGTTTATCTCATTGTTTCATCCGCCGAAATTCATTCCAACGCAAAAATGCCAAACTCTTTTTAGATAATAATCATATAAGAACCGGGCAAGCTATCAATTAAAGAATATTTTTGTTCACTGAGGGAAATGACTGATAACGACTAACCATTTCAATTGAATCAATAAGAGGAAGGATTAATAAAATTTGACTGATCGTCGAGTGCGGATTCATTGGCGAGAATGCCGGCAATATATCACTTTCGGCATCGAAAAGTCGACTTTGAATATTCTAAAAAACACACATTAATTTGAGAAGGAAAAATTTCCAATGAAATGGACAAAGGTTGAACGACGCCTCGAAAATGATAAAAAAAAAGTAACTGATAAAAAGCAAGAAAAGCGTGGAAAAGGAGCACAACGAACTGGTGTTTTTGTTGAGATGGAAAGCTTGATATTAGTGAGGGGTACAGTATTCGTACTGGACATTGTTATGACGGTTGTCGTAATACACCGAGTACCAGGTGGAGAATTTTGTGAAAAATACAACATTCCACGCATAAAATTCTCATCAAATATTATTAGTGGTGGTCTCGCTGCTGTAAAGAATATCTCATTCATTCTCTTCTATAGAACATATGAAAGAACAATTGTTGCAAATATTAAAAACATTAATTCATTATAAGTTTAGTGATCACTTATTACTGCACTATTGCAGTGAGATCGTATTTAATGAAATCTATTTAGTTCGTGTCACATTTAGTTGATCATTGAATACATTTTCAATTACATGCAAACCAACTCTGGAAATAAATGGTGAATGATTCAGTATCGACTAAAACACCAAAAAGTGAAATTATTTCATTCAATTACTAACCGATACGAACTTGTTCAAGGCTGAATGAAATCGATTTAAGTGAAAGTTTTGTTGCAGTGTTGAATGTCTAAAAACACAACTCAGTCATGATAGTAACAATAATAATGATAACAAAGATATCAGCAAATTAACTTCGATAATGAAGTTTGTTTGAATTCATGCTCGTTTTTCCAGTGACTGATGATTGTTTTTCTTTTCACTAACTTCGATCAGGTTGTGAAAATATTGAAGTGAAAATGCGAAGTCCAGGAAAACCTTCAACAAAATGGAACTATTTTGAATGAAAAGATCACCGTCTGAGTGCACACAACTGATCCCGTTGACGATTTTGAAGCAGCGTTACTGTCAACCTTTGAAGTAACGTCATTGTTTAGGTCATTGCCATCGTCGTCCCTCAAACAACAAGAGTTTCATCTTACGATATGAAACACAAAAATGTTACTTTCACTTTCACCTTGCTGAACCAACAGAACGCTCGAACGACTGATCAACTGAATGATCACCTGATAAATTAACGTCACCCAAACCTTATATTTCAGTAGCGTGGAAATGATTCTGAACAGAAAATGAAAATACCGAGATATGCCTAATCAAAGTAGTCGTCACAGAATAAACAGAAAGAGCTTCCAACAAAACAAATACTCCCTCTAAGAGTGCTGATGGAGCACAAATTTGGTTCGCGAATTGAAAGGGCTCCAAAAACTGCCCTTCACGCTCGTTTTGTAAAAATTCAGGAAACAGCGCTAACTGTTTAAATTGCTCCTTGTGAAATGCACTTTGATCAAGAAGAAGTTCAGATAGATCTTGGAGTGCCGAAGAAGGATTCGATTCGATTCCAGACGCATTTTCAGAAGATTCATTCGGTTCACGAGATGACGATATTGAAGATAAAGAAATCAACGCCACATCATCACATAATGATAAGCTTCGACTTGTGGTATCAGCATCCAGTCTGCAAACTTTTCTTCCAAATAACTTCAGCCCAATTTGAGAAGAACTAAGAGCAATCAATAATATCGTTTTCGATGCTAAAATACCCTACGCCGTTTGCGCTTGTATTAACAGAATTCACTAACAGAAAATCATCCGATTCTAGGACGTTTTTCAACTGAAAGATTCCACTGAAATCACCAAGAAGATTCTCATAACATTTAATTATTATTAGTAAGCAATGAGATGAATACAGATAAGTCTATCTAGATCAGTGGTTCTCTACCTTCCCCTCCCCTTGCATCCCCTAGAAAAATTTAATTGTCCTCGCACCCCCTACAACAACACTTAAAATGTGCTCGCATACGTCTCTGCGTCTGTCATCCACTACAGTGACTGTTTATAGTGCAGATAAGCGTACACCATTAGAGCACGTTCTAGCCTTTCCAAAAATATATACGTTGAAGTCTATCCTTGCTTACTTTATACAAATGCATGTGTTGAACTCAACTCTAGTCTACTTTTATGTGCAAAAAATAAAATCTTAGCTCGCACCCGTTGTGGGTGTGAACAGCCCCGGTTGAGGAATCCTCACCTAGATGATGGTTTGTTTGAAGGTACAAATCGTTTATTCTTAAAATAATTTTGAAAGTGACGTATATTGTGAGAATATTTCACTGAAAGAAAAGTACCGTAACGGGGGATCCCGAGTGGATGTAACATCATGAGAACTACTGGTAGTATCTGTTTGGGTCTTATTTGAAAGAAGATTATCAATCGTCGAGGTGGCACTACGAATACCACTTCCCGAAATGATTTTGGTCGTATTCGACGGACCACCCGAACAACTACGACTTCTTTTATTACCATCTTTCGCTGGTAAATTCGTTGATAATGCCTGAAAACAAATATCATTTGATACTATGCATTTGACGGATAATCACAGATTGCGCGTGTTTCTTCATTTTTTTTTAGAGACAACTTTCTTAATTTACCAGTCGATTTTCTGAGATATTTGATGTTACAAATTTAATAAAAACACATAATTTACCGATATTTTCGAGAAAGGTTTCGTCATAGCATATAAAACACCACAAGAAATGAACTTAGAAAATTACTGTGGAGTAAGGAGGATGAGAAAGAATATATGAATATTTGTTTAAGCGGACGACATAATATCACTGATAGAAGGAAGTATTATGAGGATCAAATGAAATATAACCCTTTGAGCAGGGAAGAGAGATTTGTAGTGCTGAACAGTTTTATTGACAGCATCATTTACAGCAAGTATATCCGCTAATCCGTTATCGTCGTATTCAGCTGCTTCACTCGCGTAACGAAATAATGTTGGGCGAATTTCAATGAGAACCGAATAGAGTTCCTAGTGAAAACTCATCATTATTACTGATTACTAAATTCCCTTCTATCGAATCGTTCTGAGATAAAATCTAAGTTCTTAGGAAGCACGTGATTCTGCGACATGATTCACATGCTAGAAATAACTGTCTGAAAGAAAACAACAGAAAAACAGAAAAATTTTGTTTTCGTTTTCAAACATAGTTAATGGAATAGGCAGTGAATGTAAAAACGTGCATACAGAAGCAAGATCACTTTCTCGTTCGGTCATGGGATGCGTATTACAAAATGTTAAAATTTCGTTCAATACTTGACAATTGTTCTTGGCTTTCTCAACATCATCAACACGTTTATGCAATCGTTCCATTTTTTGCTCTTCCTGAAGTTCAAAAAAAAGAATGATTAAATATATATTTTTAGCAATTCAAAAATAGAAAATATCATTCGTCACATATCCTTTCTCGCGTATTATAATCAACAGCACGTTTACCCTTCAAAATCTGAAGCATTTATGTCTGAAAACCTCACCGAGCGAACCATACTTTTTATAAGACGATTGGCTGCTTGTAGATCTTCAGGATTATTACTTTTCAATAATTGAGAGAGGAGGTTTGCTTTCTCCTCATCTTCAAAGGTGGCTAGACGACAAGGTGGAGTGACACGTATCGGTTCGGATGTTAAAACAGGATCTTCCAGAATCACCTTCTGCTCTTTTAGCATATCATACACCTAATGAATTGCTTTTGAGTTATTCATTTCAATGAGATACCAATTAAAGGAAATTAATGAACAAAATATATCGCTTTATCAATACAGTACCATATCATTTTCAAATTTCAACAAAACGATATTACCACTTCATTCAAGACGCAACCACTTAAAAGCAATCAAAATATACAAACTTGTTTGAATTTCGTTAAATGTCTCATTGATTTCTGCCAAATAAATAACAGTTCAATCGCTTTCGTCTTTACTTCATCACTTGTCAAATCACCGTTATACTGGAAAAGAGTCGACGCATTTAAAATGAGTTTATTTAATTGTTCGTTCAGAAAACCAGTAACGACACGTTTCCAGCATTATTCCTCTTTGAAAATGCTTCCAAATGTTCTCATAAAATGATGAATGTCGATCAATACGAATATACTAGCTCACTTTCGGTGACAGTAGTCTGACCATTTGATTAAGAAAACGAAATTTGGCAATTTCATTGTGCAGTCGAGTTCCACATCGTCTAACACACATATCAATTGCCTGCAAAAACAACAAGTTCCCAGAAATTCCGCAGAAAAACAAAAAAATATTTAATTCGTTATCTCATGCAAGAATCTGGCAAAATTGGAATTACGGAGTTGTTTATTAGACAAAACCGATTGAAGAAAAAAGGATCGGTCAAAAAACCAAACTGTAACCAAAAAGTTATTCATAAGTCTCATCTATACCTTTTCAAGTTCCAAATGAGAACAGCACTTCCATTTCGGATAATATCTTTACGTTATTTCAAATTCAGACAGCTACAGTTTTGGAGCAAGTTTAAAATAACAGATTTCCAGCATTGAGCTGCGGATAATTTGCAACTTTTCATGGTCTATATTACCTTTAAAGTGTTAAGTGCCTCAGTTTGTTCAGGGCTTAACAATTTATGTGCAAGAATTCGAACAGCTATTTGTGGCCCTTCAGCTTCCTCGCAGACGCGTTCACAAAGTTCATCCACATACTTGACACGCTCATCCTCAACAACGAATGGATCGGTTGCTCTCGCTGAAAAATCAATGACATTTTCAAATGAGTCGCAATAAACAATGCATACCGAACAACACATCACCGTACACATACCACGCACAACACAACACCTTAAAATAAATATTTTCAACCAACTTATCCAATACTCCAATGGCTTACGATCATCACTACGATCCATTTCACACTGCAAAACTCATATGAAATGGCTTTTTAAACACCTTCACAGATGTATTCTCTTTCAAAGCAAATCTTGCAAAACCAAATGAACAACCAATCGCTATGAACAATCTGCACTGAAAGATCATATTAAAAACCAAAACCAGATCGCACTCATGAAGTGCAGTCATCTTTGACTGATATTCCCTAAGGCTAGGCAATAATCGACATCCACAAAGCTAGTGAAATCAATCAAAAGCCAAAACAACCATTTCTAGGAATCATGACGTGCTGATCAAAAGATCGACTTCCCGCCTCTGAGCGATCACAAAATCACAATTTAACTATGGCTTATACTTCACTCTCATTAACAACCACACGATGGTCATGAGTAATTATTCAGCTCAATGATTAAGCACCACAAAGGAACTAGTGGAGCGAGAACATGATGCAGCGGAAATTACCTCTGCCGATACGAAAACCTGCAAGACACGACTCAGAATTCATGCACGTTATAACCTTAATGCCACCCAAAACGCTAGCATGTCTACACTCTGGCCTCGAAATGCATTTTATTACCATTGTGAATATATCGAGAATAATTTAGTGGATTATCCTTTTTAAAGCCGATTATTTAATCTAGCAGTAGTGACTGACCAATACATAAGCATTTTGAAATGCATGAGAACATACGAATCAATCATTGTTTGGCTGAATTTCATGGTGAAAGGTGCCTCTGAGATGAGTGAATTGGATGATTGATGTAAGAGTGGATTACGGTACAATGGAACGAATGTTGACGAAAATCAGAATATGCGTTTTATGTGTTATTGAAATCTCCGTGAGAGTCCGTTTTCATGTTGCAATCTAAGAGAAAGTTTTTAAGAAGTCATGCTACCTAAATAAGTAATGTTTTGAAGTAAATCATTCGATTCTTGCGTACAACCGTCCGTTAAAATCATTCCTGAAATTACGGTTGGAATCAATCACTGTTATCAATAACAACAAAAAGTTATTCATAAGCTGATTTGTGCACCAGACTTACGGGTGATTTTGAAGTGTCCGATTTACAATACAATTCGAAATGATGTATACCAGAAGCGAACCTCTGACCTTCAGTACGAAGATCGTACCACAGCAATTTGTTCTGGAGATCACGCCTTGTCCCAGCATATTTAAAATGTTACAGTACCCAAAGCACCGGTCCATCACAATAGTGCAAGGACCCTGCTCGTCATGTTCGCCCATAAACAAGTCAATATTTTGATATCACTGAATCGAGAATCTCGGCTTTTTGAAAATACATATTGCGTTCAAGCAATCATGCTCCGTTTTTCAGATATCCTTAATTTTCTGAAGTTATGTCAATCAATTTTGATCACCAATATCCAATACACCAGTCCATCAGAACGTTGGAGAGACCTGCTCCTAAGGTTTGCTCATAAACATGTGAATCAAAAGAATCTCGGCTTTGTAGAAATACGCAGTGCGATCATGCTCCGTTACTCAGATATCCTTAATTTTCTATAGATAGGGTCCATCTAAGGAGCAAGTTTACTCAAATATCATTTTGCTTCAAGCCGTGAATGCATACGGAAAACGTGAATAGATCACTCAGCTTTCATCGATGTACTAGTGAATGAGGAGATGCTTTTGCTCACAAGAAAGAGGGAACCAACTCTCAGGGATTAGAACTAGACTTTGGGAAAGCTTATAATTGGACCATATCAATGAGTGGGTATTGCATTTTTTAATAATGATTCGAATATTAGTAATAATAATGATAATAATCATAAAATAATATAATGATAACAAGGTAAATAGTGGTAACTGACCGAAATAATGCGCAGGAAGTACGGTAATACCGTAGGACGTTCCGGCGTTAGAACGCCATCATCAGCTACAATATTAAACAGCAGATATACTAAACAACTGGAACGGACACGAATTTTTACTTCCGTATTTCCTGGGCATTATTTCGGTCAGTTACTACTAGTTACCTTGTTATCATCATGTTATTTTTACTATTATTATTACTACTATCCGAATTAGATCATAGTTGGCGGAATATGAGAGCGTGTGGCGAAACGTCGGAGCATGCAAACGGCGGATTGTTAGAACGCTCTCACAATAAATGACCACACATAGTTTGGTGAAATCGTGCATGTGATTATCCGATACGATCGGCCAGGATGGTTAATGGCAGATTATAATGGTTTGATCCGTGCAGAGATGGCTAACAATATATCTAACGTCATATCAGCACCACACACTAATCATTCACAATTTCGGATTGCATAATCCATAAAACAGGTAAATACTAATTGTCATTTTTCATTACTAGAAAAGCACGACGAATATCACCAACTGGGTAGAAGTTTGCTCTGTTCCACATATCGATCGATCACAACACGGCGTGTTGTCATAACCGTAATAATTTTAAAGCATCCCGTTGGGTAGGCGTTTATGCAAGCTGTCAGTCGCTAATTGCAAGTAAACGCACCATGCACTCATTCAGGTATCGATGGTTGATGAAATTGTTTGAAGAGATTCCCATGTATCTAAAATGGGTATGCAGATCTCTCAAGTTTTGTATTTTACACTGTAGTTGAAAGATTCTTTACGAATTTCAGGTTTAGTAGCCACGGAAATTAGTCAGTAATCAAAGACTGAGCTTTCTTTTATCTGAAGACATCATTGAACTTCTGTCAAGTGTTCCAACACATTGTGAAGTATCGCCGATAATCAGTATACTCTCCATACCGACAATCATCTAATGGTGAGAGTTATCATTTTTAAAGTGGACTCTATGTATGCTGAAACTGATTTCACTGGATAATGTCAACTTCACTTCCTAGCACAAAAGTTGAATCAGTTAACTCAGGTGCACTAAATTTCAATTCATCCCCTAACTGTTACAAAAGCAAAATCAGCTGAAGTGTATTGGATCGCGCCGATCCAATAAAGCGAAAAAAATTCACAAAATTACCATGATATCTCTTTGCTGTCAAATGAGTGGTCAGTGTTTTCAATGTGCGAAGTAACAAGTGAGTAGTTATGTAGTTTCGACTGTCGATCACATCGTCTCAGCGAAGCTGGAGGTCACTTTCGAATTTTCGATAGTGTCATTTTTGAAATCAACTTTTATGTGATGAATCTTCGTGAAGTGTTATACGAAGTTTGGATGGTGATGAAGACTGTGAAACGTAAGACACAGTTCAGACACTCCGTAACAAATCTTTTATTTCCATACCATATGGTTTAATCCATTACGGCTTTTCACTTTTCATGTACACGTCCCACAGATTCACCTGATAATCCTTTTTTAGTTCACGTTCGTCGAAGAGGACTTGAAAACTTTCACTATACGGTTGACTTACGAACATCCTTTCCAGCACTATCGTTATTGTTTAGAATCTATGCATTGCACCCCTGTTTTCGAATATATTGAAGAGTTTTCAAGAAATCACTTGGAACACAACCTGTTCCTTTTATGTGAGATATAATATTTTCTCCTAGCAAACGTATTAGTTTCCAGCTGGTATGAGGTTTAGAATGTTGGGTTTTATTTTTTCCTAAAATTTTTTTGAAACGTTCCTAAATTGAGGATTTAATTGTGATATGATAGTGTTTTATTTGTTAACGATTTAGCGGTAATCACAACAGTGTTGACGAATCAATTGATTGATAATGAAATGTGGCCAATTTTTATTTTGACATTCCAGGTGTTTCTAGTAGACATGTTTGCGCTTTGGTATGTATGGTGGGACGCAGTTGAGTAATTTCGTATTGAAGTTAAACTTCCAAAGAAGAATTTTGATAAATATTGAATAAAGTGAAAGTCCCTCTGTAAATGACTTCAATCACGAGTTAACTCTTCTGAAGCAGAGAACAGCAGTGTGTAATGAACGCGTATACATACACGTAACATAGTGCATCATAGGTGCTGAATAATCACTGCACATTGTAGAGAATTGATGAAAGAAAATTTAGAATGAGAATGAAACCGCTACGAAGAGTATGTGTGTGGTTTCGAGCAGAGAGACAAACGAAAGTAGATGCACTCTTTGATATTTATCTGCTTTCTCTGCATCATAACAGCAACATCCTATAGAGTTTGCAGTTGTTCACGCACGATTATTCATGATACATCACATTGGACACGAGATCTCGGCATCACCTTCTTTCTGCATACATATTCCTTGCCTTTCTCCTTGTTTTATCATCCATCACTTTGAGGTGTCGGTCAGGGTTCCACGATGAGGTGGTTGTTTTCTGAAAGCGAAGGTTCAGTGAAAGCGAAGAACGGTAGTTGGCTGGATGGAACACGTTAGAATTTAAGTGTTTTTACGTTTAGCGTGAGGTTAGCTTTTTGCGCTCCTCAGCTTGGTAGAATCAAGACGGCATTTTGTTGTACGCATTCACGACTCATCAGAAGACGTTAATATGTACTCATAATTAATTGTGTAGGCACGTTGAATTAGTTTAAATACCAACAGAACAATTTAGTGAGATACTACATCAAACTGATCATTTACTACATGACTCCGTCCATCAAACTCACAATTTACTGCCAAACTGCCTAAGTTATTTTCCCAGGTCACTAAGCTCTCAAAATTACAAGCTTGCAGACGCGTACGAATGAAATGCTGTTTTCATTTTACCAGTCTAAATATCGTTTTGGCATATCGTTATTGCGCTGTTTAGTCCTTCCAGAGTTGGTTAGAATATTATTACGGTACTTGTTGTCACAGATTTGCATTTCAGTGAGACCGTCAGTCATTTGGGGAAGAATGTAGTAAATTGAACCTCAGGAACATTCCGATGGGAAAATAGCAATCAAAAGGTAAAAATATACGGGCATACCATTGAACTCTAACAAATCTACTATTCACGTTAATGATACTGAGATAAAATCATGCTGATAAAATCAGTTTACTCATCTCAATCGCACAACTTTCAACTGACAGGTATTCACTCCGTCAGCAAGGTGAACAAATCACATAAGGAGGCATTGACATATGTATTGTTAAATTTTCAACAAATCAGTGTGCAACTACCTGTAGCATTGTCCGCGGTAACAACTTCAACTCGACAAAAATTCGTTCGATCAAAGATTTTCCAGTGAATGAACTTTTAACAAGACATATTATTTTTCATTTGAAGCAACGGTTTCGAACATGATGACATTGAAAAAAGCTCAGTGGAGTGTGGTAATAAGCCTATAAAAAGTTACATACTTTCTTGTTGAAATTATGTCAACTGAGCTTTTTGGTCATGTTGTGCCCGTGTGGTAGTCCGTTGATGTGGGGAAATAGTTTTGTCCAGTGTAATTTTTCGCATGCGCTCTCTTTAATACGTTTGGCATTTTCTTTATTAAATTCTCTCATTCCATTATACATATATTGATTTTTCTGAATGCAGTGATAAGTGGATAGTTTTTTAGCAAGTAGTGTCTGATGATAACATATGATTTTCGTATTGGTTATATGACTGGAACAAGAAATTTCTTGAGGTTTTCTGTTGAAATAATGGGTAATGTTGCCAGCTTGTTAATGTTAGTGGCGTAAGATTTTCAATGGATTGATTAGAATGTTTGCAAGAGACCATTCGTTCGTGACATCTATTTTGAAGAAATGTTAAGTGTTATTTGGGATAGGAGATGGTTAAAGTTATATGATCAAAATGGCATGTTTACGTGAAGAAGAAGTTTTCGCTGAATATAATGATGACATGTTATTGCTTATTAAAGATGGGTGGATTACCAATATTGAATGCGAAAAATCGGCAAAAAGTGCAGAATTATCGAATGCGTAGTGAGCGTAATGAGTTGAAACGAAGTCAACAGCAGCAACAACAACAACAAGAACGTGGATCGTCACCGTTGCCCACTACCTCGAGCAACAGCAGTAGTATGGATGAAAGTCGTAAGTTTCATTCTATTTCGGTTCAATATTTATTTTAGTCAACGCTATTTGTCGTCAGTATCACTCGTCGACCATTGTAAAAAATATCAACCTACATTTAATAAGTAGCTATTTTTTCACATCATAAAATTCTCCCTCAAGACTCATTTAATTATCAAGTAATATTGATTGATTCAGCTTTTATTTGTGCCGAAATTCTACGCGAATGTGAGGGTGTTATAGTGTGTGGTGGTTGCTACAAGGGACGTAACTATTACGGAGTGATGCTCACGGGTGATGGGTAATACTTTGATATTTCGTTCTACTGTTCTATTTATCCAATTTGTAAAACATAATTTTTGATCGAATGATTGTTTTACGGATGATTGAGTGACACAAATATTCGGTTTCATCCGGTATCACATTTAACATTTATCTGACATGGATCGTATTGTATTCTCTACACACAAATGTTCTACACCTGAACTCTTATAGACCAAATGGAACGCCTGGTCCACTCGTTGATGAAGTTACTCGATTTCGCTCATCGATTTCTTCTTATCAAGATTCTCCTAAAACTGATCAGTGGATCTCAGCGCTATCCGATCGAGTCAGCTCGAATGGCATACAGTTGCGGAAACGGAATTACATGAAGATTCACGGTCGTATGTTATGTGCTAGCTGTATGATGCCGGTTCCTGAGAACGAAACGGTACTGTTTCCGTTGTGATATTTTTATTAGTTAATAACTTGGAGTTAAATTGCATGAACATACAACTTTCATATGCTTTTTTTTGGTGGTAGAATGATGAATTTCTAAGGTTTTCCATCATATTAGAAGGATGACGATTTGTTTTGTGCGCATATTCGTAAAACTGAAAAGCTGGGGGATTTGTAAGATGAAGTCGAGGTCAACTTCTGATTACGAGAAAAAAGTAAAACATTTTAGGTCAGAATTGCAATCTTACAATCACCACTTCGGTCTTGTCAATTTCAAGGCAGTGATTCTTGTTGCGTTTTCGACTTTATGATTTGATTTTGGATGGATGTTTGGTTTGTCATATTTGTGTAGAACAGTTTGCACAGCGAGACATGGTAAATGATGAATTATCGAGATTTAGCCTTCTTCTTAGATTCCCCGTCGTCATTTCGTTAACCCGAATCAACGTAAATTGCTAATGAAACCACGCGATCAACCACGTCAGCATATCGTGGCACAGTTAAATAATGGCACATCAGTGACGACACGTCATTCACCACACACCGCTCATTCACAGCGTAAACAGGTATTTCATCGTTCTTTTGAAGAAGACCATTGAAAATTTAATTCTGTTCGCCTACTGCATCCATAATAGTGGAATGAAAAAGGCACAGGCGATAAATCGATACAAATTCGGTACAATGTTTTTGGTATGGATTCTGTTCCAGTTTTTGAGAAGTGAACAAAAATCGATAAGCAACAGAGAAAGAACATAGAGAAGTGTAGGTGGTAATACAATGATTCGTCTATTATATCAAATGACATTTTTCTTATCTCAAATAAATTCTTAGATGAATTAAAATAAATTAACAACATGCATACGTGAGTAGCGCGTTTGTCAATCAACGGCAAAGTAATCACTATTATTATTTTATTATTTTTGCTGTTATTGTTAATTGATATGAATCTCTAATACTTTTTGATTGCGGATCACATAAATTTCGATGGTCGTTTGAAGTGCTTAAAGAAAGTAATACTGTGGCAGTTCAATTCAGCATTAGAGCATTGCACAATTTATTCAATTATATTGACTTACTCATTGAACTTTGTTCTGCTGATTCGAAAGGACGTTTTCAAGTAGAATGTTGTCGTGCTCAGAGGGCAAAATTTTGCATAAAAATGAATGAACGATGGTTATTTTGATTGCTGAATAGTGGAGTTAGCAATCAGATGAGAAATACATGTATGTAAATTTGAAAGTGTGAATTTGGTTTAGATTATTGATAAGATCATTGGTGTTGATGAAATGGAGTTGGGTAGCGTTTCGAGTCTGATTAAAGATGAAATCAGTGAAGTCACAGAGACAGATGTGGTAAACAAAGCTGATCAGTATGCAGATAATAATATGCCTGTTCGTTCGACGAATAAAAGAAAAGCTTATAAGCCGCGTGAGGCATGCAATATTGTAATGCCGGCTGGAGTGGATCCTTTCGAACCAGAATTTGATTTCAATTCAGGTATTTTCTTCATTATGCTTACGGTAAACTTTCATCCTTGATCGAATGAAGTGCTATCTAAACAATAAATCTTTCGTAAGTTCATTTTATTCACGTCGTATGAAGGAACATATTCCATCACAATTTATAGTCGCAAAGAAAGGTTCAATGGGGTATTACGTAGTTCCTAAATCAGTTTATCAAACATTTTATTATGCGCGCATTTTTCATTGAATTCGTTGAATATTTCAGCAAATTCATTGGATTAGTTTGTGCGGATTTCGACACTTTTTTAAACGAAAATAAGTTTCAAAATTGTATCTTTTTCAAGTTGTTTCCAACTCAGTTAAGTCAGTAAATTTACGAGTATATATTTAGCTTTAGGTTAGTTGCTTTAATGAATAACCATGTCAAACATCTGTTGTATTGGACGTCACCAAAAAATTGGATTTCGTTATTGTTAAAGAGATAAACTTTCAGAATTCATTGTTCACGGATGTAAATTTGAAGAAAATCAACACACCTCATCGGTAAGCAAGGTTGGTTGTGAACTGTTTGTCCAGTAATATCATGAATTATCGGAGCTGTTCGAATATCGTTTGTGGCAAATTAATGCACTCGCTAATTTGGCACAACATATTCACTGTATTAATTAATAGAACAGTGTGACTTCTGCAGGTCTCAGACAATGATTACGATCGAATTATTCGCAACTTAAGTGAAATAATCTTGATTTATTTCAGAAAAGTTCCAGTATGGCAACATCACCAGATACGACAATTGATATGGATGACGAAGCAACGACACTTCGTAGACAGCAACCGTTCCAAATTATTGAGACAGAATTGATGTACAACAAGAGCACTAGTGCAGTACCGACTGAATTCAGTGATTCCAGCATTGCTCTGAAAAGTGACATTAAAGAATATGATCATCAACAACACCGGATATCCTCAGCTCTTTCGCCAACACCATCCGGTCAAATCAATTACACTGCTATCTCGAGCACTAGCTCTAACGCCAGTTCAGTAGCTTCATCATCTGCCTCTACTAAAATTATCACAAACGCAACAAAAATTTGTTTCAAAAGTGAGAAGATTCGTAACGCTTTTCTACCGTCATATCGCATTCTCGAAACACGCTCAGGTGGACTTCACATGAAGCTCGTTCGACAGCCAAATGAAGACAAAAAACGGCTTATGAATATGTGAGTTTTATAATTTTGCCGTTTTATGTCATCTTAAAAAAAGCGTTGTATTTGCATAGAGCATAACGTTGATATTCGTTTGCGCTCATTCCGAACAAATGAAATTGATTATTTAGAAATTAATCACTGATTGCATAATGAATGTATGAATGAATCAGGTTTTTTTTTGTTTCTACATGAAAGTGGTTGAATGACTGAATTTTGAGAAATACAAAGAACATTCTCCGTCCAAAGTCGCCTGCAGTAACAGCCGTACAGTACGTTAGTGAGGCTACTAAGAGCAGTGAAGTAGAACTGAAATCAACAACAGCACCACGTAAACTGATACCACAAAAAGCATCAGCGGTTAATGTGTGCAATTCATTTTTCAATGATATTTCTCATGAGAAATATGCTTCTTCAGCGAACAGTTCAACTAAGTACATTGACTGCTATATTTTCTTCTTTGCCTTTATTTGTTGATTTTTCTTTTTTTTCTGTTCACTTGAAACACGAGGTGCAGCGATAATCTTTTTTGTAAACGTTTGATAGATTATTGCAATGGAATTAAAATTGTAACCGTCAAAAATATGCTTTGTTTAAGCAATGATGATGCAGCGCAAAAAGATGTGATGGATTCGTTATTAGTGCATAGTGGTGGATGTGCACCTGCAACTGCAACAGTGGCTGTTCCTCAAGAGGAACCGAATCGCCGTTCTGAATCCTTCTATCCTCCATCACCGTCCCATATTGGAACAAGCTTGAAGTCATTCAAAGATAATCTTAATAAAGCGCTTGACTCAGTAATTAGTTCGAATGGTGATATAAACGTATCGGGAACTAAGTATAAAACAAATTATGAGAAGAAAAACTTGACAGCGTCGTCATCAAGTACGTCGTCGTCACGGAGGACATCCAGGGCTGGTGATGATTTGACTGATCCCTTTTGCATGTATGTAATGCAAGCTGATGTTAATTCAACTGAGCTACCGCCAACCAACAATAGTTTTAATAGTGTTAACCACAGTAACAGTTCATGTTCAAACAAGGATGACACATCTTCATTGGTATCATCAAATAATCAGTTTATAAATGTAAAGGATGAACCCAACTCACCGACCATTGTAATCACATCGATCTCAAATGAAGACATCAAAAGAACACCTATTATTGTTAATCCTCGTTCATATCCTCCGATTAAGCTTATTCTTAAACCTGTTAAAACCACGAAACATTCCGCATCACCTCTTCACCCTCCATCCTCTTCATCAAACCGATCCGTTATTCATTCACCCGATATTCAGCAGCCCGATTCTCCCTCTACAGCATCATCCGATATTGTTAATGCAGCTAATACATCCAGACGATCAAATGTGAGTCGTTTTTCGAAGGATCTAAAAGCAACGCTTTTCTTTTGTATGTAATCACCTTCATTTTTACCAGTTTTGTTGGTGAGCAGTCAATATACGAATACTACTATGTTAGATATCCTTTTGATCAATGGATTAAGAAATGATCCATAATGATCAGCTTTTAAAGTTAACGTTACGGATAGGGTATCGATCGATGAATGTTCCTGCTTTCTGCAGATCAAATTTTCATTTGTTCCGAAAAGTTACTTTGTTTTTCTGCGTATTATTCATTTTTATTCTCAAGACTTTGTTCCGGGCGCTTTCGTTTTTGGGATAAACGTTCAACTAGTTTCAAGTTGGAAATTTTAAAGTATCAATACTATTCATTTAGATTAGGTGACAATTGGTTTGCAAATATTTAGGTGGTGACGACGAATGGAATGTAATAAAACAACTGGTTGACTATTGATAAGCATATATTAAATTGTTTGATCAATTACGGACTGCAAAACGCAATTTGCAGGAGTCTGCGAAGGTAACGAAACACGTGCGAAGATGGAGTAGATCATCGGCTGCATCATCTGAACAAAAGTTTACGAAGGACGATGTGATGGATGAGAGTGACGTAGAAGGAAGTGACCAGAACTTGTATGGCCTGAAATGCGGTGATGTGGTTTGGGCAAAGAACGGCACGGATGCGTATTGGCCTGGACGTGTGAATTCGTTTGCACGTTCTGCTCATAAGTTGGGTGCATCGATTCTTTGGTTTGGTGCTGCCACGTATTCTCCTTTCATTGATTTCAATCGTATTGAACCGTTTGTCGATTGCTATGCCAACAGGTTCGCATTTTTTGCTTCGTATTCCGTCAATGCGTCTTATTTTATTCATTCATTTCTGAGATGTTCACTAGTGTATGTGGCCATAACTTTGGCTTCAATCGAAAGTTACAGTGAAAAGTATGGTATGAAAACAATGGACAATATCAATGAAAATTGTTCTCTTCAGTGAAAAAGAGAGAGGAACTTTTTTAAGTGGTTACTTGAGGAGGAATTAACTGATCTTTCCTGTCGTAGTCTCGAAAGGATTTTCAGTTTTGTTCTCCAAGAAATGATGCAGTCTAAATGAGAACGTTTCCTAAAAGTTGGAATGTATTCTCAGAGCTTTGAATGAATCATGAAGTTGAATTTGTAGATTCAATCCAAAGCGTGCTGAAACAACGTATCATAAGGCAGTTGCACTCGGCATTTCGGAATGCTTACCACGAAGAGGCTATTTTGAGCAGAAATTATCTCAACAAGTCCATAAAGTTCTTATTTCAACACATGGATTCGATCCTTCTGAGCAAGTCAATATTATCACCAAACGCAAGAGGCGATCAGCCAATGTTCATGCATCACATAAGAGAAGGTCTTTCATTCATATTTATACTTGAAAAATCTTCGTACTGTGGAAAGTTTGTCAAGCATATTCACTTAATTTTGAATGATCATTTCTGTTGAATTGAAGAAGACTTCTTCGAAATAATAGCTGAAAGACATTCGCTGATAAACAGTGACAGTGACTCTAGGAAATGAAGTGGTCATGAATTTCTATTTGAGTTGTTTATTACGACATCTGACTCATGTTTCAGTCGTTTTGTTAATTACGACTTATATTTGCATTTCGAATTTCAACCCACGGCTAACACATGAGAGGAATTTTAAAAATGTTGCGTAAATTGAAGGCGATATTCCATTGGTGAAGTTCACTTCAAAATGAATATACTAAATACGCAATTTGTTGAGTCCAAGCTGAAGAGACGATCAGTTATCATAATTTGCAGGAGAGTCGTAAAGAAGAACAACGAAGGTGAATCGGCTAGGTTAGAAGAGATTACTGAAGCAGTTAAGGAAAATAATGGGGTGAAACAAAAAAGAATCAGTGAAAAGCACTTATCATCATCAACTGTTAATCCTCCTCCAAAAACAAATCACGAAGCTGCAGTAATGCTTGGATTGGAGCAAGAATCGAATATTTCTGACGACGAAGATCGTTTGATTATCGCGTGCGATGATGATTAAGAAGTTTGTGCAGTTGAGTATCACTATTAATTTTATCTCACAACCGCTGTAATATTATCTCATCTAATCATAATTCCATGATTCTGACATTCATGATCTATCGTTTTAACCAACTTATTTTTTACAGTTAATATTCATCCCTTCATTTTTTCTTATATCCATCTGATATGAACATGCTATCATTTTTCATGTGACCTCCAATAATTGGTTCCGTTTGGGTACGCTTTCAAGTGATGGTTAATATCGCTCTAAATGATTTAAATTATTGATACTAAATTCGCTTCGTTAATCATTATTTGTCGTCGATCAAATTTGAGAAGAAGAGATTTGTGATGAATTTGATTCAATTTAGTTTAGTTTAATTCTGTATCGATGCATTATTAGTAGTTGTTTGCTAAACGTTTGCCATCATACAATGATCGCAGAAATTATCGTCTTCCCTCTCTTCGTTGGAGAATTGAGTTTTATTGCCAACCATGCACGCTCCCTCTTCCTATTTTGAGGGATACTTTTAGAAACCGTGTGAATGTGATCCGAAACACCATATACGCATTTGCGTCTCGATACAACTCATTGCATATTAGGTCGGTACGAAATGTTGACTCTTAAAGAACAACATTGAAGCTATTTTGTTTTACGAAGTAATAATTTATTTGTGATTACGAAACGACGGTAGTCATATGGCATATGTGATGCATTTTGACTTATTATTCTTATCGGTCAACAAAAATCCATTTCATAATATTCATCAAGTAGTGCCTGTGATGGTGGTGCATTACGAAATAGTCTTATGATTACATGTCTGATCTTGATGCCCAGTAATCGTGTTTGTTAACGTGCACGTATCATTTTCTGAATACTTATTGCAATTGTGTTTATTTATTCGGTGAGGACACCGTTTGCATAAGTTTTTGTTGGCTAATTCTTTTGATTGGTTTTAGATGTTCATTTCTTTGTTATGGTATCAGATAGGTCTATCATTTATCAGCAGTGTTGGGATTTTTCTTGGTTGAATTGACTTTTTCATGGATTTTGGATCAACTTCCTGCACTGATCCCAAATGTGATATCTGTTCTTCTGTATGTTTGTTCATTCTCACTTTTCACAACACTGCGAGAGTATATGTGAATAATAAATGTTGTTCTCATCAACGAATACTAACACAGAGAGAAATCAGCGCAGAAAGTTGGTCCAGAATCGATGTGATCGTTTAGCCAACAAAAATTTACATAGTGTGTTTATCAGTTATGTTTCGATACGTAATGAGATCAAGTCGAAATGATTGCCACAAGTAATATTGTCGATATGATAAAGGTGAATGAGTCTTCGTCAATAAATTGTCTATAAATTGTTGCTTGTTAGCATTTAGCGTTCAATCATTATTTTTGTACTTATTGGTCATATTTGCTGCATATATTCTTTGTTTGAACATACGTTGGCCTGCACCCTAAAATTCAACGAATGGGTCGAGAAAAGACTTATATTGAATTCAAGACCCTGTAATCCGCCTTCCAGTGCGCCCAATGATACGATAATCTCTGTGAAGGCACTTAAAATGTGGTCATTTTCAGTTTTTCAGCGATCTGGTGGCAGAACAATGAAAAGTTTAGTAGATAGGCGTAACGAGAGCGATTGTGATTGCAAAAAGATGGTCTCAAAACGGTGCATTTCAAAACCATTTCATGGCATGCATAAACTTGGCCGATATGTGTATTTGTGAATTTCTGTAAATTTGGTTTATATGATTGTTGGTTTTCGTTTTAATGTTTCAGTTCTTGCTTGATTGTTCCCATTTATCGTTTTACCTTCCGGTAATCTGTTTTTGTTCGAATGGATACTGAGAAGAATTATTTTATCGCTATTCACTGTTTAATTTATTTTGTTCAAATGTTTGAAGTTTTGCTTGTTTTATCCAGTGATTGAGGACTGTTGAAGTGATCATCGTGGTGACGTTCGATGTTCAATAATCACTAATGAATATCGTTTTGTAACGCTCAATGTTAATGAATGCTTGATCTGAGTAGAGTTATAAGTTTTGTAGAACTTATAGAAGTGTCTATTTAAAGGGTTTTATAGTTAAGTATGGTTTCATTGGTTGTAAGACGCATTATTCAATCGATCGGTTAATTGAGTTGAATGGATATGTCATTTATTTACGCAATTTTTGATCGTTATCATTCAAAACTTTGCTGTTTCACTGATATAATGAGTAACGTTAATCCCGGTTGGTTGGTTCCTTGTTGGTTTCATTGAATTACTTGCTTTGTTATTTGCATTCGTTTTGTATACGTAACAGTTTCGGTTCTGTATGCGCACACTGTATACTTGTTGTTGGTGGATTGTGTGCGTTTCAGGATTTTTAAATTAATTGATTTATTGTTTCGAATGCATATTTTATCACACGATCATGTCATATATTTATATTCACGATCAGCTTAAACAATTTATTAATGAAGCAATTTACATTACTTCAACGCATCTATAAACAGAAGCATCATGATGATAGCATTATTACATTAGAACAGGGTATAAAACAGGGTGGTCCAAATCTGAATGTAAATTCATTTTCGAGAAATCTCAGTATCACCTCTCAAAAAGGTGCCTTTTGAGATGAAGACGTTTTGTGCAAAAATTTCACTCAAGAATGATAGGCTGAAAAGTGGTGGCATCGCTTTGTTTTCGCCTAAGGTGCATTAATGAACAATTTTCGGATATTGACATTTTCTTGATCTCAACTTTCAAAGTAATTTTTCCCGATTGAGAGGAGCTTATAGAAAGCAAGGGTGAAGATCAATATCCACTTGTTTCCTGCCTAAGGCGCTGAAGCGCGAAGCTTAGACGGAGTGACGTTCTGAACTAATTTTCTTCGGACGAAATTCGCAGAGGTCTCACCGAAATGAAAGAAAATGTTTTTGGGGGTTAAACTAAGTAAATTTCGAGATTCCAAAGTAGTAAATTATGTCACTTTACTGAAAAACAGGTCAGTCTTCGAAATCGTTTTTCTTTGTAAAACTTTCACAAAAATTGCTTTCAACCTAAGAGACATCTTGTGCAAGTGAGATCAAAGAAATTCGAAAGAAGTACGATCACCCCCATATACAACGTTGTCATAGTTCACCGTTATTAGCGTCTACTCCTATTTACCTGCTCCAGAGAATGTAGGTGTGTATTGACATTGGCTGTAATCAACTGGCGAGATCATATTGAACGCTTTCGTCATTACGTTTATGTAGTCTGAAATTTGAATTCATTTGTTACTTATCTCTTCATGAAATTTGCAAATTTGTCACCAACTTCAAGAGGTTCCATCAAATTATGCATAATGTCAAAAAATTCAATTGATTTTTGCCCGTTGACGGTTTTTCATTCGCTAGAAACAATGGAGTTTACCTCTTACATTGTTTGAATATCCGATGGTGAAGGGAACGACAATATTCAAGAGATATGTTCAAACAGCTAGCGTAATTCAGTCATCATGAGAGTTCGAAAATTATTTTTTAACTTCCAAAAAAAACGAACGTCTGATTTCAGGAACGTGAACAGAGTTTCTGTGGTAATTCCGATGAAGCTAATATAAATTTTGTAATACACATGTGCTCATGAATTCGCATCGTCGAACAAATCAAATAATACTCACTATTATCTTCAAGGAATTGTAAAACGTCACGCATGTGTTCTTTCTGGAATCTTTCTGGATCACGAGCAATCACGAATACTGGAAATCGAACCCAGTTCGAGACGATTGCATAATCATACTGATTATATTCGTTGAGAGGTCCTTTCTTGATCACCCAAACTGAAAGTAATCCATCCATTTTGCAGTAATACCGCTCAGCCACTGCGGAGTGCTAACTTTGAGAACATTTATGAAACGTTGATTGAAATGATTGCCTGATCATAGCAAATTCACATACAAGGCTCTGAGTCGGGTGAGTTACTGCTGTGTAACATGAATTGACCAGTATCACCAGATTTGAAGCCGTAACCAAGTGAGTAGCGAGGTGGACCATTCGCGTTGCCTTCACGGTAAAACTTCAGAATCGTGAACGTTGCACTATACGTATGATTCGTGAGTGCACCAACTGCAATCGTCACTTGTAATTGTGCATATCTTTTCTTATTCCTATTGTGAACACATAGTAATTCGTGTAGGACCATGGCTCATAACGTACTTAGCGCAGACGACATTTTTATAATTGACTTTTGTTTGTGGCTGAAGTGTTTTAAACATTTGCAATCATGCTGAGTACTTACTGTGGCTGATTTCGAATGCTTTAAGATCAAGTCTGAACAGGTAAAATACAGGAAGGCCCAATCAACTCCTTTTTTTTTCATGATTGTTCTGTTTATACATATAACCATGATTATTCATCAAGCCATGTAATGAGATTATTTATTTATAAAATACAAATATGAAGGAAACCTACAATGCGATACGGTACATGCTTCGCGGATCACATGTGGACTGTTGATTACCTGTAACAATATTATGTGTAGGCGATAAATCACAACTTCTTTTGGAGAAAAGTTCAGTTGACTTTCTGATCAAAACGGTCAGAATCAAATATTGCTTTCACCTGGAACCATCGGCCCATCATACGAGCAACATCAACGTTTTCGGCAGCGGGATGTACTGCACGGAAGACATCTTTTGCCAGATTTTTTGCAGAATCTTTCGGAAGGAGTCTACTGATTGATGAACCGAACAGTGTATTCGTTGGTGGAATCATTTGTGGTATCAACTGACCAACCTATAAAGTTACGCTGGAGATACACATCATCTGTGATTTGAAGTGTTCGTGTTATGTGATCTTTGCATTGATCAAAGAATAGAAAGCTCTCTATTGTCGCACTAAATGGAGTAACTGCATCAGTTCATATTCATAACTGCTGCGAGGAACATTCATTCTGTGACAAATGTCTTTTCGTTTCAAAAAATAAAGACAAACAATCCCACATAATCCTCCGATACAATAAAGCCATTGTAATGAGAAATCTTTGGTTGCACTTAAAATATTTTCTCTATCTGCTGTCATCTCAAAATTTGACCTCTTGACTGATGGATCCGCATAATATCCGCATTGCTTACCAAATAGTTAAAGTTGCTGAGGCCAGGTATTGTATTTACTCCAGGAATGGTTGGCACATCCTGAGGACCAGGGAATCCTGGTACCGGGATTGGTGCTAATCCAGGAATTTGCCCACTGGCTATGCCTTGAAGGTCGACTCTATTTTGGTTTGCTTCATTGATGACAGAATTAAGTTCATCGGATTGATATTCCGTCGACGGTAACGGTTTATATCTCCGATTCGTTCCATCAGTCGCTAGACCGAGACGTTGCAATACACTGCTCGCTATATCACCAACTTTTTGCAGCGCTGTTTTATCCTTGAATTGAATATATAATTATTATCTGAACAAACAAATCTGAAGAATGATAAATCATTCGGTTTCGAAATTTTTGTGGATGCAAGAATATCAGAATATTTTTTGATAATACTATCAATTCGGTAAAAGTGATAAGAATGAAGCAAACAAATTACCTCTTTGGTAAGGGATGAATCGCTTGAGAACGATTGAAATGTTGGTGCATCGTCAGATTTACATTGAATATGAACAATGCAAAGCACCAAAACGAGCACACCATACAACGACGCCGTTTTCGAAGCCATTTGGAGCGAATGACTAGCCAAATGGGTCAGCATCGTCTCATTTCAAGGCAGTCGATCTCCTGACACTGACACGCACTCGACGCGTTCAAAGGTCATTTTAATTCGGTTCATGCCCCCTGGTTACCTTTTCACTCTTCCAAATTATCCATTAAACTCAGATAACATTTCAATGGATTGCGGCTGTTTTTGCCTACCCTTCAATGATGCATTCATTAGAGTCAAATACCTCTTCTGGAATTCCGTTTCTTGATTTTTGAATTATGATGGTTTGTTGAATTATCTGTCGAAATTTTACCCTTTGAATCGCCACTAATCATTGAAATTGAATGGCATCATAATCACATTCATCGGCTGGTAGACAACATGTCAAAATGTGTAATCATAAATGATGTGAGATTGATGCAAGTGGGAATCTGAAATATTTTGAACTGACATGGGATCGATCACTGCTGAGTGTATTCATCAAGCAGCAACAATGAATACGTTTGCACGTATGAGCGTTTCGAAGCTTTGGTGCATATTCTTTCAATACATAACATTTGAATTAATATTGACTGTTATTTGATTATGTCAAAATTCAATGACTAATGATGAACATTCACCTCAAACCATTCAAACTTATTCAAAACATTTATGTAATTTCAATAAATATTATACTGACATGTAATTCAATTGAATCTAGATGCACTCATCATCTCGTAGCACACAAATTAATTATGAAAACCAAGGAATAACATCGAATCTTAACGAGAAATCGCCTAATGAAAATAACAACTTCGTTATAAGTCCTCAGTGACAACCAGTTTGGTCAATTTTGCGCATAAAAAATTTCCCATTATTTTTTCTCAAAATTCCATTTTCGGTGTCGATTATTCTGATCATCTACATGAAACAGTAGTAATGGTGTTTTTGGTCACTGTATTCCACATATACATTGTTCACTGTACTTAGACGTACACGTGCGTACTTTCAAGGTTAAAAAATTTGTTTGCGGTTCATGAGTATAGAGCATTAAAGTCAATTGACCTGAATTGCATTCAATTGGACGGCAGCTACTCGAGAATATTTTGCGACAATAAGATTTGAAATTTCTCTCATTTCGCATGTTGTGAATTTTTTAATTCATTTTTTAGAATCTTGTCCAGATAATTCGTATATGGTTATCAATCATATCAAACAGGACGGTACATCCCGTTTACAGAACCAGTTCGTCCTGAATTAGTCAAGGACGGGGTTGCTAAATTGCAGTTTACTGCCCAATAAATTTCTAGGAGAATGCGACCACAATTCCATAACTTTTCTTGGCTCTGAATTGGAGAAGTGGCACTAAGGAGAAGTCCCATTTACGATGGACTACATTCAGACCTAGGAGGAGGCTAGAGCTTATACCGAGAAAACAAGTATTTGTTTAATCGATACCGTAGAGCCGATATGAGTGTCAACCTAGGACTAAGCTTACGTGTAATCTATCGCAGTTAAGGCCTCTCGTTATCGCCATTTGAATTGGAGCAATATTGATTTTGAAATAAATATACGTTCCTAGTCGAGGATGGATGCAACTGGCGTTACATTGTTGTCCGTGAAATTGAGCAACAATGCAATTGCAGTTGTTCACTATTCTTATCTGTTGATGTGAAAAACCGAGAGGTTGTGTTTCTTTTATCAAGTGTTCTCTCGTGCAGATACAGGTGATAATCTGTTGGTGAAAGACCTGGAAAATAAACTGCTTGAGCGAGGAGATGTAATTTCAACACATCAATTTTTTTCAGTGCGTCCTGCTCATGAAAATTTGGTTTTATCTTACGCAATCTATTCACACAAATTTTCCTCTCCTTAATTCATCCCATATTTCGACCATAAGGACCATAAGGACGATGCAGTTTTTTCTGAATACCGAATAGTGATATATTCAAATTTTAGCGAACTGAAAAGTAAATTACGTTGTTTGATGTTGCTCCAATTTTTGTAAAAGTCTACAGAAATAGCACGAAATAGAGAATCTGAATTGAAATCGATCAATTGACAACGTAATAAAATTTTTCCGAGTGCAAGGTCGAAATGATATGCTCTAATTTAAAATGGGTCACATGTGAATCACATCATGTTGAACAATCAGCTAGACTTATTATGAACAATTTTCACATAATCGATTCCCACCATTAATTCATCTATGACTCTTCTCCCATAAACGTACTCCCATCAAATTTTACATTCAATATTGGATGCGTAACACTCACAAAAAAGACCCATTTCAATGATATCATCGTTGAAGATTGATTCGGCGCAGATTTTCATTGACTGCGATACACTATGGATGTTATCCATCTATCTGATCAATAAAGGAAGCGATACGGCTATAAAAACATAAATTCATACGTTTATCCCATATAGTTGATATGTATCTATTACAAACGATATACGCATGGTTTATATTTCTTTTAATAATACCCACGATGCAAGCAATCAAAATTAGTTCGCTTTGTTATTCACCAGTACTTATGACCCATATTTCTGAATCAGCTGATGTATACATATATAAATAAAATTAGGACTAGATTTACTTTATTGCGGTCATCCGGAAGCAATCAGCGTAAAGCAGAGCAACGGAGTCTTGCTGTGAATTTCCACATTTTGATGACTAATATCTCCATAGGGTCAAACTTCAACAACAAGGCAATAAGGCTAGTGTTCTATATTCTGAGTTGTAAAGAAATTTATATGAGTTTCTAGTGCGAAAGTCCCTCATTGAAGAGTAATTCATTTATTTATTTTTATTTTTAACAGAAACGTAATCAAGAAGTTGAAGTTCATAATTCCTATGAGACGTAAAAATCCGCAGAAATTAAGGCTGAGCAGTTGTCTTTTCCATGCAATTTTTCATTTTTATGAGAAATATATGGGGAAGCTATTCTTATCTAGGACCACGATCAGCTTTTCTATTATACAATAAGTCAGCGTTGTTTATTTAGTTCTTCAAATGGTTCCTCCCGAAGTTCTTGGGTAATGTGGAAAATAGAAGTAAGAAGTTTTCGAATGGGCTTGAATAAATCCGGGATTTTATGAAGCTGGATTTATCTGCATATAGAAAAACTTTTCAATTCCGATGGATCATATTTTTTAAATGAGAAGTTCCACAAAAAATCAGAAAATTCAGCCAAACTTTCAGAAGCTCAAAAATTTCAAAAAAAAAACAGACGAGAAAAGTTATGGCAGTAATGCTTATAGGACATGTTCGCATGATTCGAAGCATTAAAAAGGTATGGCTAAAGAAATCGAACGACAAAATATAATATGAAAAACAGAATCAAAATCACTATACGGAATTATTGAACAAAATGCTTTGTGATTCACAATTGGTAAATACGATACTTTGTCCCCGCAAATTTCATTTGCACTCATCAAAATACGATCAAATGTGTGTGTATATCCAAAAATTTTCTGTTCAGATATTCAAACAAAATATTTCACAATTTTATTAACAAATATTTTCAAGTTACACAACTTTTTATAAAGCCGCGTCAGTTCACGACAAATACACTTGCAGTAGAGATAGAATCCAATGACGAAAGCAATTTCATTACAAATTGAAGCGAATAAATTCACAATCATTTTAGAACAATACAGTAGCAATGTTTGCACAAAAAATAATCATAATTTTGTAAAAAATCCTTTGAAGCATTTCTTCCAAGAAATTATGGTAAAATAATTACAGTATGCGATGAATAATTCTTTAAAGAAATGCATTTTCCGAGCAAACATTGTGGAATGAATAAATCTTTGTTCAATGAACAAATTTCAATAAAATCAGTCGATAATACCGCTATATACAACATTAATGCACATCTTTCGGCCTAATATCAGAAGGATAAAATGTTTATTAAAAAATTAAATAAGCAACAGTAATTTACGCAAAAATACTACCCGTCATAGGTAGTAATTTAGTCAACAATTGTTTTCCTACTTTCAGTTGAAAATTCACTGCAATTCAGATAACATTTGAAGTTTTCCCCGGACTGATCAGTTAAGATTGTCTGGATTTTCATGATGAAGGATGCAAGGGAATATGAAATCATTACAGTGCGTCAGTAGCAATGTTTGTACTTCTTATTTAATTTTTGTACTTCTTATTTTTGTACTTATTCAATTTTTATAGAAAATTTTTTGTACTTGTTATCTAATCTGGCTTTTTCATACCGGCAACTATCCGTTTTATATTTATTATCATATTGATTCTTCTAACCTTCCGACTTCAAAATAATTTAGCAATCGACTGAATCGATTTACTTTCCAGTTTGCAAATTGTTGCCTTATCACATAAACAACAGCACTGTTTATGGAGAAGTTTATGAACTAGTCAACAACTTATTTCAGCATAGCAATAGTTCCCAACGTAGAAACGGCAAAATGAAATAGGGTGGACCGTCCAAAAGGTTGTTCGTTGAATGTGCTATCAGCAAAAACTGACTTATCTTGCTATTCGTGAATATTTGAGAAACACAGCAATAAGCTTTTGCTAATTACAACACGAACAAAGATGGAAACTTTCCTGTTCTCTGCCATAAAATTATGATCATACGAAACCATAAAAATAAAATTACAATTATAAAATTGTTGGTGATTGATTCAAAAATTTTGAAAATTCATCAGCAACTTTTTTCTCATAATAACATCATATGAATTTTAACGAAAGTTTCTCACTGTTTTCAAATACATCCAAAAACTATGGTCAGTTTTGTGACTCTTCGATTAAGTGTGGATACTGAATAACGATGGTGGGAATGTACATATTGTATTGTCGACAGATGAGACAATATTTAATAACCGTGAAAATCCATTGACAAGACCTTTTTGCTCAAGAATTTGATTGACCATCGCCTCGTATCGCTAAAAAAAAACACATTCATTTCTATGCATCACCATTCCAAGTCTACTCGATCGTGTATGAATAAATATTCACTAGAGTTCCATCGAAGTGGAGCTTTCAAACGTTTACGAAAAGCGCATTGCTCAGTTACTGCTGTGAACAGCATGCTCTCGCTCGTGTCTAATCTTCGAATTTCCAAATGAATAAATTCATTACAGTGAAGTTTCGTGCTACTGCTGCAGACTTGCCGCATGATACTACAATTGAATTATTAACCTGTTTGTAAACGACGGGATCACGAGCGAATACGTAGAGAGGATAATTGCAGTTGGTAGACATTATTGCGAAACTGTATTGACCGTTCGCATCTAACGGTCCCACATGAATCACATGCACTAAAACATTTACTGTTACGAACATGATTATTAGTGGCATACATTCGATTCGCAATCAGAGCGTTGCCATATTTATGAGAGTAACCTCACCGAAATTTTATCATCGGTTTACCGTAATATCCATCGATATTGTTCACGGCAAAATTTGGCAAGTTATATGGCAAGTTATTCCCGCGATGATGTTTTTGTACCGTTGTGTGCAATAAGAATCAACATCCATCAAGTTGTAATATTTGTTTAACTATTGGTGAAGTTTGCTCTTTTAAAGTAATTCATTGGTTAAGCCTTTAGACTAAGTGATGTTCGGAAAATGTATTTTTTTCAGTTAAATTTCAGACAAAAATTCGGTGATAAATGATTCTTAAAAGTACCATTCACATCCTCCTGATAGCTGGTTGTTCGGTAAATAAGTTCGCCAGCCTGTTTTAAAATCGCATAGCCGGAACTGATTCGTGGTTTCGTGTACGGTGTTCCATCAGTAGTGTATTCGAAAATTTCAAATATTGTGCCCACTCCACCATCATTCACATCAGCAAGCTTTTTATATGATACCATACTACACGGTCCGGTTGATAGTGGTGGACTATAGACCACCTAAAAGTTGATTGTTTTGAAAGATTAGTAGATCGCTTGTGATGCTCAAGAAGTTCGTAGAAAGTTTTATCTGGAATTGTGCATATTAATTACCTGATACCATTGTCCCATGAATGCATCGGTGTTGAATTCAGCAACTGGTACTGGTTTAGGATTACAGAGTGGTGATGAAGGTTGAGTGATAAGATTCTGAATCATTTCCAGGTTTTCGCCTATAGCAGCCTTCTGTGCGGGGGTCAATACAAGCGGCAGTATTGTTCCATTCTCAGTAGTGTTGTTACCCTTAAAGCTATCAAGTGAAAGGAAAGGTTTCGTGGACGCTTTTTTGTTGTAAGTATTAATCTCTATCTCGAAGATACTCTTTTCTTTAAATTCTAGCTCATTAGCAACTCTCCAGGTTAGTTGAATTTGACACAGTTGTATGAGTTCGAAAAAACAATAGCTACAAAATAAAATTTGTGTCACTGAACAGTGAACTATCAACAAACCAAAATTGATCCACTCGTTAGTGCTTTATAAAGAACGTTCGAAATCATATTCTTCCCGGGTATCGGACTATTCTCACCACCAATCAAATCTCCAACTGCTTTGCCAAGACCACTTGCAGATGCCACTGCTTCAGAAGCTGCATTTTGTCTCTTCTTTGCGCTTAGTCCAATTAAGTTTATTATCGTACCAATTAAACCACCACCAGACGACGAATTTTCATCCGTCAAAGCGCCATACTGAATCACATTTATTTCTTGTGTTTATTAGAACTTTTCCACTCGAGCGATTATTCCTCAACTTACGACATATCAAACCAAATTATATCAAGAAGATGCTTGCATCAATTACGCGATAGCTTAACAAACAGTCATAAAACAACTATAAACCAAAAGCAAACGTCGGTTTTGTGTGAATAACAGTCTTGCTACTCATCGACGCATATTTGTTGCAACATAAAATGCTGATGCGTCTGACTAGGACTAAATGCTCAAACATTCACCTCATCACTTTCTGATGCTGATTCTGTCTGTCCAACGGACGTCGGTGCTCGTCTCACTTCTGATGGTCCAAAACCACCCTCAGGCACTTCGGGCCGAGACTGGAACTTTGGCACCTCAGGTAGCTAAATGTTACGATCATTAGAATGGTGAATGCATTCAAAAACGAGAGTTTTGCCTCGAAATAATTCTCTGCGAAATAAAAAATTTTGCTTGGCTGAGACTGGTCGCAGTATGATAAGATTGATGAGGGGATATACCTGATCAGAGACAATCGATTTGACGCGTGGTTGTTGTAAAGCAACTGGTGGTTTTGCGAGGTCCGGAAAAACGTTGGGAATGCCTCGAATTGAAGATTGATTCTTTTCCTCTGTTCCTGATCCTTCCACTTCTTCTTCGATAGGCGTTGACTGGAGTAAAAATTAAGTGAATTTTCTGGATTGTAATTTTGATCATATGTAATCACAGATTGAACAACTTAGTCTACAAAAAAAGATTCCCTTCAAACGTAATTTTTTGTATGTAGAACACGTTGGTGTATGCAGTGGCTTAGAAATGTACTTACTTATAAAGGAAGCAGTCAATGACGACCAGCAAATGCTCATTTAGCAGTGAATTAATCGCTCATTTGAGCTTGACTTCATCATATTTGATAAAGTTTAAATTTATTCACACCCCACGGAGATTTGGTTCTTAATTTAAATAATTGTTTTAAAAAATATTTTACAAATCTTCTTCTTTTTTGTTCTCAGTTTCCAATTGTTTTTGCTGTAAGCATTGAAGATGGAAGTCGTTCAGATTCTTTATAAGATCTTAGACGTTACTGTTGAAGTATCTTAGTTAACTAAATTCTGAACTGTCTCAGTCAAAAACATTATAGCATTTAGAACGCAAACGAACATCTGTTAGATGATCGAGTTCTTACCGAGTGAACAGTGTAATGAAAAATTTTATTATGCCTACCTCAGGCTTCTTGCTATGTGAGAACGACGTTGCAGGACCATTGCTGTTGGCAAGAGAAAATCCCTGGTTGAATCCAGGAGGTAATTCAAATTTTTGGTCGGAGGGACCCTCAGGAGCTGTGAAAAACTGCTCTAGAGTACGTTCTACCTCTCCGATGGCACCGCCATTTGCCGTAGGTGCTGCTGAATTTGGACGAGCAATTTCGAAACTTTTCTCGGGGAAAAATCCTCCAGGGCGAGGTCCAATCAAGGTTTCAACTAGTTCACGAGCGTGTCCATCAAGCTCGAAGAATGACTTGTATTCAGGTGGTACGGTGGGTTTAGCTGCATACCGAGGTATAGCGGGTAAGGCGAATGCATCAAGTTGTGCATAAGTTAATGAAAAGTAACAATAAGAGATAGAAATGAAAAAAAGGAACATTGTTGAGTAGTTATGCAATAGCAGCAGCAGATGAAGGAGCTGATTGAGTTGCAGTCAAGTGAAAGGTTGAAGTGAATGAAGATGAATGAAGAGTGGTTGGCGATACGATTTAATTGTTCTGTGATTCACACTAAATCAGCACACTAGGCCAATGGCCTTTATGATGACAAGAAGACGTTTATTATTATTCAATTATAATATACAAACACGAACATAACACAGCACAACACCACGATGACAGTGCACTGAATGCCAGACGAGCACAATATATAGTTGAGGGTTGATTGATTATTGTGATCACGAAATGAGGTCAGTGCCCTTGAACAAGTTTCTGCAGTGCCAGATGCGGATTCTGGAGCATTTGCGCGATTTCACCACCCACATTCGTTGTCGTTGTTGTGTTGCCTTCGTTTTTGCTTCTCTGGGCTTCTTCGTGATTTTTGAGAACTCTGAAATTAATCCAACAATAAGTTGCACAAAATAAGGCACTGCTAATTACAAAATCGGTCTTAAAAAATATCTCTACAAAACACAAAGGCAATTCCTCAACGAATATCAACAATTTCAGCCAACAACATCTGCAACTAACAATTTCGCACTTTTTGTAAACCTTATCATTATTTTTATAGTGAATTCCAATAAGATACCTTCTTGCAAATACTTCTTTTTCAGATGGCCATTCACAGTCTGGTCCTTGGTAGATTGGCCGCGGGGAATTCCAGAAAATACGACCACCAAATCCAGCTTTTTCCAAGAAATCAACCACTTCTTTATTGTAATTCTGAAAACCAAATTGGTTTGGACATTGATAATTATCTGAATTCGAGTGTGTTTTGAAGTTATGTCACTATTCAGCATTCAATTAATGATGAAAGCAATCAATTAATTCAATATATTTGCATATCACTATTCTCTAAAACACTTCCTATTCAATGTAAATTCTTTTACGAATGTCCTTGACCATTTTGAGTATTTCTTCGTCATTTACATCATAGTGTTGTCTCACTCATTGTCAATAACAGTTTTTCAAAAAATGTCAATTTTCATTACAATTGCATCAATCTCTAAAGATTTCGTTTGGGAATTTACGATATTATAAAACACATAAAATCGAATCAATACATTCTATGTATGTAAAACTCGGGATACGCTTGTTCAGTTCACATTTGAAGCAATAAGAATACCCGATTGAATTACTCAGATGATACCATCGCAATCTCAACTCGGTCACAACAAATTTGAATATTTTTAAGAATTCAATTCATCAAAACTAGTTCTTTCGGTAAACTTCCAGTGGCTGAAATTTTTTTCTTTGGGGAGGGGGGGGGCTTGTTGTGCAGTAGTTTCGTATATTGCTAAGTAATATTGCTGAAACTTTGGAATTGTGAATCTCGAGTGAACAACATAAGTTTTCAGGTTTTTTGAATTCAGTGCAAATATTCTCACTTGGAAGAATGTTAATGGATCTCTTGCATAGACCATTAAGGCCAATCGAGTGGCATCCGTAACTATCATATACTCGTATGGTTTTTCAGGCTCTTCATCTGTGCCGTTATCATAGTTGGGTCCAACTTTGACAATATAAACTGCAAAAACACACGATCGAGCAATTAAGCACGCTCTTGGTTATTATCAAAAGATTTGTTCCACAGAGGACATGATGAATTCAGAGCAAAATAAAACAGTTTCTTGATTGTGGAACAGATTCTCGTTTCCATTGTGGAATGAAAGGAAGCAGCTAGTAAAACTGCAAAATCAGAGCAGAACGTATTACCCACGTGAAGATGATAAGGGAATTGATAAGGATCCTCAAACTGAACAACTTCGAAACTTTACGATGCTACGATCAAGAAAATGAACTACACTGGTTTTCCATTAAGCAGGAAAGGATGAGGGTACCAAAATACACCCAAAGCAGATCACTCTGCAAAATTCAAACTAACACTGTCTTGGATAAAAATATTCCTCAGTGTACATCCAATATTGACCGGGTCCTACTTTGTTCAAATCTCTTTTGTAGGTTTCAATTGGTCCATTTTTCGAGACCACTCTATAAGCCTCCTCAATTGAGAAGCCATCTTCTCCCATCACTGCGTTTGGTCGAACTGAAAACATTCATCAAAAATGCTGCGAAACTCTATTGATCTGTTGACGGCACCACTAAAATTGAACGTAAACTGTTACTGCTCATCAACGATTAGAGTGCAAATGCGATAGCCATGCATTTGCGTGTGAACTTACAGTATGCAACTGGACAGAACATCTCTGCTCTGAATACATCAAAGTTGACGGCTGCTTTGTACATCTGCAACAGAAGTGTGAATTTAATTAGTCCATTGAACTTCACAGTTAAAAGGAACTTGTGAATAATTTATTTTTGTCGGTGTTTTTTGTGTACTGATCCCACTTCAAGTGCATTTTCGAAAACTGACTTCACTCTAATTGTCACCAGGATATTAATCCCAACTATATTTTCGACGCATAATTTTTGACTTTTATTTATGTTTTAATTTGTTGATATTCCCAATACAACATGCGTTTTATCTATTCATCCAATGCAGTGACCAACTTTTATGATGGACAAGAATTCATGTTGATCGAAATTAAACTTGATCTCACCTGAAACCATCTTCCCATGATAAATTTCGATGGAACTTTAATAGTTTGGACATTGTTTTGAATCATATTACCAAGTCCGCCGATGATACCTGTTAGAGTGTTTATATCCATCTGAAATGAATTATCGCAAAATTGATGTAGATCACTTGCTGTGTGGATTGCTGAGAGGAAAATGGCGGTGAATGAAAGCTACAAGATTATTTTTTTCCATTCGTTATTTCACCAAAAGCGCGTTCTTATTCTATTAGTTTGCGCACAGATTTTGTGGAGGTAAATGAATTTCATAACCGCACAACGAGCAAAAATATTTCCTTTCATGATAGCTCTCTAATGACCCTGAATCAGTATGAAACATTGAAATGCAAATTGTTCAATAATGCCATCAACGATTGAACGATTCAGTCATAATCGCCCAGTTGCATAAATATGATCTTGGAGTATAATTGAATTCATTACATTAAATTTAAACTCAAAAATCACTTGCTGATGAAAAGACAGGGCTTGAACGGCGTAAAAGACTAATTGCGTGTTTTGCATTACTTCTGTCCTCACGCTTTACTGACTGGCTAATTTAAGCGTCATCGCTCATCTTTTCAACCAGTACAAACTGTGAAAAATCTGGTGAATCTACACTCTGGGCCTGGAAGTTATGCACTCTCAGTCTTTTTCACACCTGATTAGATACTACTTATTATTGCGAGTATAATATAATAGATAATGCAAGTTTGCATCACATACTACAAAAAAACGACAATGCCGACAAACTGTGTGGGTGGTCATGTTGCGCTAACTCAGTTATTGCGCTGGGATTGGCGTGAACGATTCAAGGTCATTGGGTGAGAATAATCGACAACGTGTTTTCCGGTCAATGACTGATCGAATTTCGTCATCTGTGTCTGTCAAGTATCGCCAACTTCTGTGAACCACTGGGCAACAAATAAAATTTTGGCCTCATTCAACTCAATTAGACTTAGGCTTAGGTTCAGCCTTGTGTTCTAGCGTACGTTTAGTTTTAGGTGTAAACTTAAAGCTTCAGTCTCTGAGATACATCTGATGCACCCATTGGAATTTTAGCCTTAAGTTCGATGAGAGTAAGGTTCCGATAAATGCAAGTTTATACCTAAGGTTCCGTGCTACTGAAGAGATTCTGTCAACTCTTTGGGAAAAGGAAATTTGGAAAATATCAAATGAATTCAACGGAAACACGACAGAACATTTACGAATTCTCTTACAAAAACCGATTGAAGTGTGATCTGTTCACAGGTTGAAGTCTGATATATCTGACCACAAAGTTTGGTTTTAATCGATTGATCCGCGGTAATTTTGTTAAAGAACAGCACGATTTTTCAAATAAAGAAGTAACAGGTTCAAATAAAAGAAGGACACTGCCGAAATATCTTCATTTGATGCAGCGTACAACGATGCATAGTTTTATTAAATGTTCAAATTGATACGTTGTCAATGCACTAAAGATGTTTGTGCTCGACTGAAGTCATTTCTGGAATTTGTGAAAAAGGAAGATTATTTTGGTCAAGTCACTTAATATATGATTCATTGGGAAACAGAAAATTAGAGAGTGGAAAAGGCTTAGTGTGATAAAGATGATAATGTGATGAGAGTTTTATCACGGTCAGAAATTCAAGGATGCGATTCATTCACATACCCATTTTCTGGTTTCACTCAGTTTATGGGCATTACGAATCGTTTTCTTTTTTGTTTGTCAGTTTATTGTAACGTCCAGTATCTGAGTTACCCAAGACTCTATTTAGGAACAATAAGGGAAAATCCCTCTTAAGCAATACCGACTTTCAGAGGGATGAAATATGGTGTAAATCTTGACGCCTTCTCACATCGAGCGAAATCGATGTAGTAGAAAACTTCAAGATGAGAAGTAATCACATTTTTCAAAGAGAATGAGAGGTTGGAAAATAAATGGAGTGAAGCATTACAATTCAGTATGAAAGAAAAGATGTTAATGGATGTGAAGAAAGTTAAGATCTCACCGGATTTTCGCCGATGGCGACAGCATAGTTGAAAATAAGAGGAGCTGCGAGCAACAGAAGTGTGGCGGCTTGCATCACTGGATGTGATTCACTGATTGCAAAACGCAAACGACACTCGTTCACAAATCGACGGTTATTGACCCCCGCCCCTTGACGCCCTTTTGTATATTATGTCCCCAGTCCAAAGAGACCTTGAAACGTGACCGCATTTAGTCGATTCACCCTATTTACATGCATCCGTATGCAGCGCATTTCACTTGTTTGTCTCATTCAAATACTTTATTTCTATTGCTCTTTTTTGAATATCGCTCATAAATTAAGCCTCCCATCTCACAAATTCGACATGAAAATTCTATGCCAGATCAGTCGATTGTAGTTTTCAAAGAGAATAAAATTCTCAATCAAGTCGTTGAAGTTGTTTCTTTGTGCAATGAAAGGATCAAATGCGCATAAACAAATTTTTATTGAGTAATAACAATGTACAACGGTTGTTGAGTTACGAATTATTAGCATGATGAATTCACGAACAAATACGTACGTCTTTTATGAACAAACATTGGAATGTATGGATCAAATCAAAGACAATAGTTATTATGTTAAACGTTTACTAGGTCCAAATACTTCGAATGTACTATCAGCATATTGACACGAGCCGTATCCAGCTGGCTGCAGCATATTGAAGGCACGAATGAAGCCATTGATGAAGCCCTGATCCTCCAGCCATCGTAACACTTCCACTTCATATTTTGCTTTGAATGTATCTGGATCACGAACCAGCACTGTCACTGGATATTTCACCCAATTCGACACAATCGCCCACTCATACTGTGTGTTTCCGAATGGGTCTTTACCCTCAGGACCAAGTTTATAAATCCAAACTAAAAGCAAAAACATCAGCCACTGATATAGCCACTGATATAAGAGATATACAACTGCAATTGTTCCTCACAAAAATATCAGAAATTCATTGAAGATTTGGTTTTTTTTATGTTCATAGAAGTGAGCATGTTCTGGAATATAAAATCGTCAAAAAGAAGCCATGAGTTTTAAAAACGAGTTTCAGTGGAAGTGAGATTGTTGTTCCATAACTGAAAAGCTAACATGGCTGAGCATCGGCACTCTCGGAACTATGAAGTTGTAGCATTGTATCTTTGTTACCACCTCGGAATGCATAACCAATTGAATATCGCACCGGTCCGAACTCACTTCCTTCGCGATAAATCTTCAACGCGGTGAATGTGGCCGTTTTAGCGTTCTTTGTTAAACCACCATCTTTAAAAACAAATATCACTTGAATCGAACAATCTTGTGATCTGTTATTTAATTAAGCAATCTTAAGGGCCAACTTCTACAAGTTATGCCATTTGATCGGATGCTCTTCACTAAAAGTGTAAGAAATAATACGTACAATGATGAACAACACATCGTTGTTCGGTGGCACGTGGGCTGTTGATACCTTCAAACCATCGACCCATAAATTTGTGCAAATCAAAATTCTCAGGTGTTGCTGGCAGAAGAGCATCAGTTACGTTGTCTGCTAAAGTTTGCAGTTGCTCAGGTGGAAGTACATCAGCGATTGTTGTTCCATTCGAAATTCTTCGTGTTATTGAACCTTAATGAATTGGCATCGAATATGTATGTTTGGCGCAGTGTCTTTATGATGCTTTCAAGAAATGAACAAACCGATCAACTGCACAACGTCAATTTGACCTTGCGCATTTCTTGGGATGCCACCGGGTAGCAGAGGAATGCCCGGAATACGAGGCAAGCCAGCATGTGTGGGTCCATTACCACCACCTCCGAGTGCGGCAGCAATACCGGAAAGTGCTTTTTGTGCAATAGTTTGCTGACGACGTATGCCAGATGAGTGAGGAATATCCTCTTTAGAGATAGCTTGTGAGGATACTGAATCTGTCGAGTGTGCGGTCGCAATATCCGATGAGGAGGATGCCCGTGTACCGAGTACGGTTGGGAGGCCTTGTGAGATAGCATCGGCGACGCCAGCTGTAAGTCATATCAATCATATTCATTTCCGAATGAATATACAACCAAAGCTCTCATCAATAGTCTCGTTATATCTTTTGATTCATGACGCAATTCATCATCGATAATGTTCAATGAATCTACTCCCAAAAATACATTCTTCTCGTTGCTTTCTGAATATGCCAGCAACAGATATTTTCAGTGAAGCGCATAGAAAGTCAAAGAAAATAGACATACAATCTTGAACAAGCTTTTTGATAGAACTCGAGAGCAGTCCAATGAGTCCGTTCTCGCCAGGTGTCGATTCAGGAAGAGGGACGTTGCCAGACCCATGATAATTAGTTGGTCCACTCGCTTCATTCAGCAACTGATTCAGCTGGTTACCAAACGCTGGATTGGCCTGTGTTAGGACATCTAAAAACACTTTTCGTTTCAGTTGAAGCTGCATCTTTTAACGTGACTAATTAAGTGATCAAACGTCATGTATTTGATGTCGTGTACTCAGCGTCATGTATTTGATCATGAATATGCTTCAAAAACTGTACCACTTTCATAAGAGCATTACTGTCAGTTTGATGACTTCAATTCAACTAAAACAATTTTTCTCCAAATATCGATCATCTCAAACGCACCCGATTGTGGCGCTTGAGGAGCAGCACCGCCTGTTGCGTGTTCGAACGGCAAACCTTGTACCGGAAAGCCAGCTGCTCTTAGTTCCTGAAAGTTTTGCTGAAGAGTGAAATGTGCACATATAATGATCCGATTAATACGGTATCGAGCACTGTACTGCCGATTAATCAGTTGATAAACAATCATTTTTTCCTCTCCATAACAATTCAGAGGGGAACAGCATTGACTCTCATTGCCCTTATTTTCGGTGGCGACTGATCTGTTCTAATGTTGACTAGCATTAAGTTGACTATTTTTTAAAAAGTGAGCCGTGATTTTGAAAATTTATTCATAACAGCTTCTGCTCAACAGCACTTTCGCAGCAGTTTTTTGATGCTGAATGCGTGTTAAAAGCATGCAGAATGAATTTACGATGAAAAATTTAGACTTTAAGAGCAAAAAAAACGGAATTTAAGAAGCAGAATTTAAGAATTTGTTGAGTTCGTATTCTTCATCAATCTACCTGAAATAAGCAAAACTTAACCGTTCACCTGTATAGCACCAGCGAAACCATTTGGATGGTTACCAGTGAGTCCGGGAATACCAAAACTATCTAGTCCGAAGAATTTGATAAGTTGGTTTTGCACATCGGTTGGAATATTGACTGGTGGTGGCGGAGGAGGTGTGACAATTTCACGAGGTATAAACTTTTGTTCAGATGAAGTCGTCTTAAAAAAGCGATCATATTGATAATCATAACAGTTAAAACATACAGCTTCTGGCCATATTTATTCCTTTGCTGCACGTGATAAGTAAACGCTCGGATCACATTAATAAGATCCTCACTGTTTCTATGAAAAAAAGACTAACTGATGCAATTCTAATTTAAATCGTTTGAAATATCAATGCTGCATTAAGTGCGATGATGGTTCATCTTATAGTCATAAGTTTTTCATTCATTCTAATAACAAAACGCATCAAAGAAGGTATTTTGGCTTTTTTTTGAGGTTATTGAGCAAAATATACCCTTAAACATAAACGACACATAGATATTTTCTTTATAATATTTCAAAAACACAAGTAACAACCGTCCGGTCGTCTTGAGTTGAATGAATACATAACGCGCAATTTATGGAAAAATTTATCTACTGATTTTTTCCGAGTGAATCAACTAAGCATTCTGCATTGCATTGATGTTTGAATCTCTTACAGAACATCCATTCTTAAATTATTAGACCTGCGCTATAACGGGCTGATGAGCGCCTGGTGGCGCAGCCGTTGGAGTTTGAGTGATGTCTGGTCTGGATGGAACCGAAGGCTTTTGTGCAGTGGACTGGAAGGTCTTTGGCGGTGTCAGGTCCTTCATGAAATTCGGTCGGTGTGGTTGAGGTTGAAGTCTGATTAAAACAGGCCTATCGCTCGGACTGAGCCTTGCCGACACAACTGTCACCAAGAATAGGCCAACAAGAAACAACATCTCCTAAATGAATATCGAATTTAGGAACAATTGACTGCAAACAACGCCTAAAATATCACAATTCCAGTTCATTTTCATTGTTTCAGTTAGTTGATCGATCATCTATCAACTTACCAGTCACATTTTTACTTTTGACCTTTCAATCGATCTCTGAAGAAATATATTTTATCTAGTTGTAAAGTTGCATCTTAATGGACAGTGCTCAAACATCTTAATTTAAGCAAAAGGAATTGTGTGAAAATATGTGTGAGATGAACGATTACTAATGAATGAGAGTAGTGAAGAATTCAGGCGAACGCCATTCATAATCGTGTTTAAATGTTTAGGAAACGAGCGTATTGGATGATTTCATACAATTATGATCCGTCCGCTTTCACAGATTTAGTGCACTGAACATTTGGGTCAATCAAAACAGAATACACTGAATCATAGAGTGGAATATGACAAGAATTTATTGAATATTTTATGGTGCAAATGAACACAATCACTTTTAAATTCAATTACATACCAATCTTTAATGAACCGATTTCCCTAGAATTATTCTTAATCGTTTGAATGTACAATAGCATTTTTAGAAGAGCGCTTGCAAATATGCGTTCAGCACATAATTTTGCAAGCAAAGGTGTGTCAAAAAATCGATCCGTTCAGTTCAGTGATCAGTTCGAAAAAATGATTGAAAAACAAAAGGGCGTTCAATGCTGGCTTTTGAAATCTCACCAATAGATATATTGCACCAACAAAGTAATGAATTCTTAGAGACTGAAAAAGAAATGCGTATATATGACGACTGTCAGTAACACAACCGAGATGTGACTGTTGAATGGAAGTGCTCTAAAGTGGCCGATATAAGGGATGGGTCAAGGGCAATTGCGTATACTGACCCAAATTGGATGAATGGGTAGATGGCCCTCAGGCGCATCACCCGACCTGAGCATCCCGCCCTTTCAAAAGTAACCCTTACGTTCACCTATTTATGAACCTGCCTATCAATATCGGTCGTACGCATATTACTCTCGTATATCCATTCTTTCATCGATGCTAAAATACGAAGAAATGAGTGCCTCTAAGATGCGAAACTGATTAAAACAAAAGTTTGATATTGTTTGTAGTTGTTAGCATCACTACTTCATGTCTCAATGCTTTGAGCAACACTTTAACCGTCATACTGAAAATTTGCAGCCAATAATGAATTCTTAGAGACAAAGATAAATAGCTCAGAACTCTGCCATGAAGTGTACTGCTGCATGACATTTCGATAATCAAATCGCTGATCTGTAATTGAAACAAAATGCTGATGTCCAATCAACAAAGAAATGATAACTGAAGAAATATTATTTTAAAAGCATTTGCAACGAACAACGCCAACTCTTCATGTAAGCTAGTTAAAAATCTAACCTGTGCTACACCTGAATACAACCCTAAAACATAGAATCCTTTATCAGTTAATGAAATTAATCTGATTGCAAATTTTCAAAACGCTTCGGGAGGATCACATTTCTCGGACATGATAAGAAATGAAAGTGTAAATACAGTAACTCAGAATAGCAAAAACAAAAGTAAACGTTTCAATTTTGGCTGCATTTGAAGATTTTCGAAATCATTAATTCATTCGTGAGCATATCGTTTGGAAATGCAGCACCATTATTCGGCTATTGCAAATGTAGCTATCCATGCGCATCATTTTATCCCATCAACTACGATCGTGCCTGGACATTTAGCTCAATGACATTTGGCCAAATGAACATTCGGCCTAATAGACACTTGGTCAAGTGGGTAGTTGATTGATCTGATGGATATTTGGCCTAATGGATATGGGGGCTATGGAACAACTAGGATTGAATGGTAGGCCTCTGAGGACACCCAAGATTACTATCCCTATGCATCAACGAGTTTTCCCAGTCCTGCTTCCGGAGGTCCTCGAGCCCATTTACTTCATAATTTTAAGTTTGATATTTACAGCCTTAACATCCGTATTTTAATGGCTTTTATAAAACTATCATTAATCTTTTTTTCAAATAATCTCAAGTGTGGTGCATAGGCTTATGATCAGGTCAAGCATTCGGCTTTGGACAGCTGATATGTAGTACTTATTACTTGAATAAGATAATTGATATTTATTGTTGTGAATGACTGATATCCATTGTTTCCTCAACATTAAAGTTCAGTTGACGGAGTTCCGAGATTTCTAAATTTCGCTGAGTACCGATCGGAGTTGTTCAGTGGCAATCGAAGATCGAACTTCTTTGCCACCAACCGAAACCGCAGACGAACGATCAATCAATCAGTTAACAACAAATCACCGCTCCATCACTGGCCACAAAATGACGGGCTCTTTTAGACGTTGTTGAGATTTTCAACTATCTGCTTGAAAATACTTCCGTGATATGAACTAATAATTGTCATCTACCAGTTACCTTCTCTGAGCAAGGTGTTCATCTTAATATACGGTTGCTTTTTTTTACTGAGGAGGGTGTTACTTTGTTAACCACTGTATTTTTTCTAATATTGGAAAGCGTTCATTTTTCGGCTCCTTCTTTTCCAAGAGTTCATCCTTTTTCACCCGAATCGTTCTTGTACCTTCATGCGTTTACCTTTCAATTCATAAGATGGAGTTCGCTATCATCGCAAGAGGAGGGAGAAAGTTATTATTGAACGCAAATGCGTACGTAGTCGATCGAAGCGTAAGGTGCTGAAGATATGAAAAAATGTAATAGGCGTTGAAGGACTGAGATAAAAGGGAATGTTTCGGAACGTAACCACCCGTCGTCCTCCAACCGAAAAACATCATCTATGGTGCAATGAAAAAAAAATACAAGCAATACTCTTAAAGCGGTAATCAGTATGAAATTACAGGTGTTGTCTGTCCTCAGATGAGCGTACATCATCCATGGTGCAAAATTGTACGAAACACTGTCCACTAGATGCTGCAGGCATATTACCAAATAAGCGCGCTCCATACAAGATAATTCGATGTTGAAAGGAACCCCTAGACGGTAATATTTTCACACAAGAATTACATTCTACAATGCGCGGACAACCATTTTTGTTGCATGGAAACGACGAATCTAATTGACGATCTTCTCAACGGCCAGAAACCTAAATATCCTTACAGCAAAAAAAAAAACACTGGTTTTGCGACGGTACGTTCCACTCAGCGCCGGAGGGCAACCAACTGCAGACGGTTCTCGCGTTCACTGATCACTCCAGAACAGTGCCGTTATTGTTCTGTGCGGTCAAAAATAAAAATGAACATACGTACAAAGTCATATGAACGCATCTGAAAGGTGAACACGACTTGAATCCTACTTCTGTCGTGATGGATTTCGAGAGAGCGGTCTTTAACACAATAAAAGCGAATTCTCTTCACTTCGGTCAATGCTTTCGGAGAAAGATTCAAAGTCTGGCGCTCAGCAGTTGGTACGATGATCGTTCCGAAAATAAAACGGTAGTGAATGTCTCCATGTCATTATCCGATATCAATAACGCTTCCGAACAGTTCATGGCATCATTAGACATTAGAAAGTTTGGATGATCTGCTGAAGGATTTTCTAATGTATGTTGTATTTACACGGATTGGGTTGCGTAGATGGACTGAGAAGGCCACTGATTCTTGTGGAATGTACATGAAAAAATATTACAGGACCTTGCATGTATCATAAATTCGGTCGAGCGATGGCACAGGGCATTTGATCAACGCATGACGATCACAACACATTATGTCGCTCAGTAAATCGGTTGCGCAAAGAGTAAGCTTCTAATGAAATACTTCTTGAGCAAACATGCGCTGGATTTCCTTTTGAACCTATCGAGAAAAAACATGAATGGGGCCAATCAGCGGTTAAAACAATCGTGAGGAAGCTGGGGACACACTGGCCTTCGTCTATGTTTGCGTTATCGCATTTAACTTTTAAAAAGATTGCAGTTTGTTGTTGGAAAGTGTACGAAGGAAGTAGGTATGCGTACTGGAAGAACCTTGTTCAGAAAATAAAGTGACAACTTTATTGGATCATCCAGACATAACTAATTTATGTTTCCTTTTATGGTCATCTTTTTCATCGCTTTCTTTCATGCTCATTTCTTTCATTGGTTCAGACTGCTCATCAAGGTATTCTGCAATCCTTTCATTGATATGCTATTTCACAAAGCGGTTGCATGTGTCCATCATGCTTTTTGCTTATTCTTCCGTCGCTTTCGTTGATACTCTTTTTTAATATTTAAATCAGTTCATATCATAGCCTTTTGAATTGGATCAATAATGTGAACATTATTCATCCTTGTTTTCACAGTTCGATTTATTTCTTTCCATTGGTATTGTTATTATCATCGACATTTATTATTATTATTATTATTATTATTATTATTATTACTATTACTATTACTATTACTATTTATTATTATTATTAATTATTAATTATTAATTTTTAATTATTATTACTACTGCTATCACCGTTATTACTATTATTATTGTAGTTATCGTATATTCTCTTACTCCTTATTGTCATGATTATTGGTATTATTATTAAAGTTATTCTTTAATCCTTTTTTTACCGTTTCAAATTGCTCATGTATTATGAACGAAGTTGTTAATGTCACGCGTCTTCTGAAATTACTTCGCACTGCGAAAATGCTTGCCTTTGTATTACTGATGAGCATATTAATTTACTCATCAGTTAATTCAGGTGCAACTTCGTCATGAGTATCACCTTTCATCTTCGTGCAGAACGTGCTGTTGTTGAATCAGAACGTAGTTCCTTGAAGTATCGGTGACCAAAATGAAATGCTTGTTCTCGATAAGTTCATTAGTCAGAGCCTAGCTTTGATCAAAGCTAACACAACCGTCAATGCTCAGCATTCTATAAATAGATTACGAAATTAATAACCACGAGAACTTCCGAAAGTAGGATCAAGGGATTCGGACAATTTCTGAATGCTTGGGGCTAATGCTCTCGAACGTCCATTATGCCAAATGACCCAGTACCAATGGCGGCGACTTCCTTTCGAAACAGTTCATTTTCCCATCATCGAATGCCTTAATCATGCCTTTTGCTTCCTCCCATGTAATATTACAATTCTCCCCATGAAATGTCACTTTAGTAGAGGCAGTTGTTGAAATACCATCGGAATGTAACCTTCTCTGCACTTAATTTCTCATTTGTACACTTTACGATTTTGATTTAACTCAATTTCAACTTGTTTGAAATTGAGTTAAATCAAAAGATTTTTAGATTCAAGCTCGTCCCGCATCTTACTTTACTATGTCATGAACTATTTCTTGATTGTATGCATGGATTGTCCGCTACCTAATCGTTTCGCAAACATTGCAAACATGCTATTCTTACTTGTATTAGCTGTTCGGCAACTTTCTACTACACCTAATAGTTGTGAACTGATGTAACTAATGGAAACATAAATCTTTTTTCAACATCAACACCATCATTTGCAATCATCCGGTAACCGATTGCTCCGTCATTAATAAACACACACATGATACGCAACTTTTATGAATCTGTTCAGTGGAACAAATCTTTTAAGAAATATGTGTCAATGTTATTTTCATCCTTTATCAAATCTCACAGAATTGTGCATAAAGTGTCCGACAAGATCCGATAACAAAACTCATCAGAATAGTATGATGAAGCCCAGCGATGCAATCAGCAAAAAGAAAACACTCCGTTAGAAATATTTATTCTTTTCTGCGACACTCACAGATTCACGGCAATATGCAGATGGGTTGACAAAAATATACGACGCCTGAACAGGCTTAACGCGACCATAAGTCCTCAAACAGGCGTTAAAAAGCAGCAATAAAACATCAGATCCGTATCTGTTGAATGAGACATAACTTATGCGTGAGTCGATCAGGAAGCATGGTTAAGACCAAATCACCATAACAAACTATTAAACTACCGCAATAGAACAATTCCTTTGAGAAAGTCGTCAATAAATAACATTCACCAATACAACTGGTATATTTCCAAATAAACGAACTTCATCAGATTCTTCACTGCACCGCGCTATATTTCGTTACATTCAATAAGGCGCCCGGACAACTACCTAAATTTTCACCCATTGTACAAAACGAAATGCTCTGCTGGGATATATTTGTCCATTATTGCCGTCGAAGACGTATGTGGGGCACTTGATATGATGGAACAGATTATGAAGGAGTCGTGGCGTGAGAACAGAAGACAACAATTGCCTGAGAGTCATTGACAAGGGTAGTTGTTCCATATCCATTCTAACGAGCCTTCCTCCTGAAGCAACTTCTGCTTTGCGAACAAAATTCGTCTGGAACTTTCCAACCGTTGATCTATCAAGCTGATAACGAAAATAATAAAAGCGGTATTCGTCAAAAATCAAAGAACCCACTCACAAATCAGAAAATATAAGTTCACAACGAGTTCTTTCCGAAAACTTAAACTTGCAATGTCGTACTAAATAATTTCGCAACATAACAAAATAAAAGTTCACATCGCAACACTTCAAATAAAATGAAACTTACTCAATCAAAACGACAACTGCATATCATATCACACCATATCAAATCAATTTGAAGTGCCAGACGGAGTGTTCGAGAAAAAAGAAGTTTACAAAGTACACAGGGCAATAATAATAGATCGTTGCGGATATTACAAGGAATAGAAAAGAAGACAGCACGCAGAAAATGGCGTGAGTTAAGATGAAAAAAATAATAAATTACAAAACAGCCGTCCAAAACTGAAGAATCTATAGTGCTTGTTCAGTGATATAAGAAACAATATCGATGAACAAATAAACAAATGGGATGGATCGCAAAATGAAATTTCATTCACTCGGGCAGACGGCCAATTCAATTCAGTTCAAATCTGATCACATCGTACTGTTATCGTTCATCATTAATTGTGGATAACTATCGCCTTTTCAGTGGTGTGCGAACCTCGTGTGCCACGACTCTTATTCATATGATCCAACCCGAGCCACGGTGCTGACATCAAGCCTAGATTTAGCAAAAGTTCTTTCACAATACATCTATGATCACTCACGATGAGCAAGTCTCACGGTATTATCCTAAACAGACAACAAACGTCAAAAAAGGAAGAAAATGCTTACCAGTGAAATGTGCCTGCGCAAGTTCATTTAGGTTGACGACGTTCTCTTTATCGAGATATTTGCTGACACGGTTGTTGACAATAATAGCGAATTTGTACTGAAATGATCGATCTGAACCATTCATTCTCATGCAAATAGAACTTCACTGACTATGTTCTCTACAATTTAACTTGTTCCTTCACTGATTTCCTATCAAACAAAAACAGCTTTGTCACTGCTCAACATCAGTTATGAAACGATAATTGCCACAGAATGCGGGGATCAAATTTCTCTTTAAACAACTTTTTCAATTGTTTGTTTTCTTTTCATTTCTCCAACCATGGAAATCTTTTTCGAAATCGATGTAAAAATTTAAATTTTTCAAAAACCTTAACCAAAGAGAAGAAAAACTTTTTCAAGCCTGAAAAGCAACCTTTTCGAATTCCTTCTCGCTTACGTCCAATTTTTTCCTGATTCGCTCACTGACACTTTCGAGCGTTTCACCATTCGTCACTTTAATATAGAACGGTACACCGAACATACGGGACGGGTCCTGGGAATATGCAAAACAAAGTTAAGCATGATCTCAATCGGCCTGCATTTGATTCGAATTCATTTCCTCCATGAAAACCAATTAAAATCATAAAATCTCACACGCCTTAAGAATACCAAAAGTTACAAACATGTTCCTCGTAAATTTACACAACGCCCACTGCAATTCAACTAGATAAACCACTGTGCAAAACACTGAAACAATTTTTGATTGTATATAAAAAAAGAAAATTTCAGAATAAAGAGAACCTTGTCAAAGTGCGCAACTGGCAAAAGATGCTCACCACTTCGAATTGTCATTTCATCTTCCGGAATTTCTTCCAATCTCGCCTGAACGTCTGACATATATATTCAGCAAGTCATTATAAGAAATAATATCATATCTCTGCTTATAAGATTTGCATACAAAAACAATTATCAATCCACTCTTCCTTCGAATACTTGCGGTAATACATCATAATTTGCATGTAAAAAATCACTGAAACATCTCCAGCAATTCGACACGACCATTTGATCGTGTGACGTGCAAATAACAAAGCGAATAAGTATTTTCCATATTTTGAATTTCAAACATCACAGAGAACCCTAAACAAGTTTTCATTTCATATCAGCTAACTGAATAGAAAATGCAGCAACTAACCGCATACGTTGAATTCCCGATCTTTTGATACACTTCCATTGCAGACTCGTTCGAAAAGACCTGATAAACTCGCAAAGCATGCGAAACTTGACCGGTATAGACTAGCCTAAAAAACAACAAAATCCTACCACTTGAAATCGTCAATTTCAAACTTCCATTGTGATTCTACTTTCTCTCGTCATTAGCCTACGATACTACTTCTTAAAAATCATCAGTCAATTCATCCACATAAACGACAAAGCAAAGCATTTCAAACTTTTTGAATATTTCTACATTCAAATATCCAAACTCTTTTTGACATAAAGAAAGAGATCACGGATCAGACAACACTTCCTTGTTACGTTCGAGTTCACGTTTCATAATTCAATATCAATCTTGGGAAAACTAATCGGCAAATAACCTCAAAGCTTTGGTTCCATTAGGTGAGAATCGAAATTCTCGTTGCGCCTCACTTAGAATCGACTGCACGTTACCATTCTTTGGTGGAAATACAGTTATTTCCTGCGAAACAAGAGAAACGTTAATGTGTAAACACACAATAGGACAATCACGGTGATATTATCAAATGTCACTACAAACATATCACATAAACTGTAACTAAACATCCAACAAAACCCTACATAAATTTGCATCTTATCATCCATGCACTGAAGACGCATCTTGTAGCGTCGTTCCAAATCCGAGACCGGAATCGGCATTTTGGTGTAATAAATGCGATATCGTTTCTGACGACGTGGATCGTGACGATTCGGTCCGGTCAAGCCCAACAAATCTTTCACCGCACAAACACGCATTTCATGATCGCTCACATGATTGTTCGTAGGTTTCTCATTATACTGACTTACCTGCAACATTCATTAGATTGCCACTCATTCGTTACAACTTGATTTGCAACTGCTGCATGAACAAATTTTCAAAAAAACCAGCAAAATTCTTAGGTAGGTGAAAATGATAAACATGTTGTAAAAATATTGAACATTTCGGTAATGCTCCATTCACTGAAAGTCGACAATTTCGAGAAAGAAAGGTGAGATGCTGATCAATCTTCCGTCAGACTTTCATCAAATTAGGAACACCCGATGATCACATGTCCAAATCTTTTGTCATCTTCCCGAATACATGAATGAAAATGTTTCTTTTCTTTCAAACTGTTAGATGGTCAAATGTAAAATATGTTCAATGGTGATAATTAACCTTCCACAGGAGAATTCTATCAGAAGAACACCCGATGTTGTTTGCAATCCACTTCATCACATGGTCCATCGTCCATGTCTTCAATTAACAATGAAATTTTTATTCAACTACACTAAACAATATAACCTTTCCGGTCATCACAAAGATCAGACAACTACTACTATTGTTGATGAAGTATCTGCATCGATAAGAAGTAAAAACCTGGCTGATTTCGCCTAATACAGGTGAGAAGCGTTCAGTCAATGGTGTGCCAAAGCCGTCTGGGTTTTGAACAGCCTCAACAAGCATCGTATTGTATTTCTGCATATGATATAGGTGCGCGTTGTTTTCAAGAGTTGACTTATCAGCTCTTTCGAACACCAATATTGCACCATCAACTACTTCGACAAGTGCATGATCTTGTGACAATACGTCGTCAATCGCCAGTGGACGCATCTTTTCTGGTGCAATCTCCTGAAATTCCAATGGCACTTCACTTATACGCCTCCAAAATAACTTCCACACAACCAAGATACTCAATACAATATGTGCCAAGCCTGAAGTAACTCAGAAAAACGTTCCTATTCTTCTCTAGTTGCATAGATTTGATACACAAGTGAATGTATAAGAAAAATATCTGCAATTTTAACAACAAACCTCGTAAAATTTCAGTTCAGTTCCTAGCGGAAGACGTACCCTATCGAGGATCTGAGGTACGTGCGCACGAATTGTTGATTTACAGTTGATCATTATATGGCCACTAAAGAACGTCTGTCGTTGATCAGCGTCATAATATTTCAAGAAAAACATCATATCATCTGTAACGAGTGAATAGTGAAACTTCAGAATCACTGAGAATAAACCTAGGAGATATTAAAACGATAACATCGATGAGAACGTTGATAGGCTGGTGCGATGCTGATCACTTAAAAAAGAACGAAACAAAGATACGACACGATAAAAAACATACGCGCTTCATTGTAAGCAGGTAAGCTTCTGGCAGAACCACCATTATCAGGTGCGACTTCCATGAAGATGATGTTGCGATCAGAGTCGAGGACCGCATCCACCCGATCATTAGTATCTCGATCCACTCGATCATGGTCTCGCTTCAGTAGCATCGACGGACGCAATCGATTGAGCGGCGGTGCATTGCTGCGTTCATCACGAACCGTGTTGTCTTGCACTAACCACAATCGAAATGCATTCTCATCTACATGCTAAACTACTCACCGTTAACAACCATCTGATCAGGCACTACATCTTATTTCAGAACATAAAAAGTATTCTGCTGCTCTCTTCCTCGACCACTTGCTTCATCTCTGCGCTTTCACAGAATGAATCTTAACAATAAACATCACAAACTTCGTCGTAAACAATAATATTACATACAAACTCCCTCGCGAACAGTGAATACAGTTGATCGATCGTCATTTTCTTTTCCACTTTCAGATGTTGAACGTCATCGAGTATCTTCGGATCGAATAAATCAAAACCATTATAATCATACATGTACTCCTCCAATATCACCTGCAAAATATACTTCAAATCATCTGTTTTCCATTCAACTTGACGCATGCTTGAAGTTGAAAATTAAGATTATTCAATGATATTATCCATCATTCTTAAACTATTACCACCCCCCCCCCTCTTCTCCATTTTTCCGCCTCCTTGCGTTTATTAGTTTGCCGGTTCAATTGACCCAGACAACGTCAGATCACAACTCAGTTTAATGCAGAGTTGAATAAGGGAAACGAAAGGAAGAATTGACGAGTGCAAATTGCTAAAATAACGATTTCAGGTCTCCAATATTTGAACTCCATACCAAAAAGGTAAATGCAACGAAATTCACAGGAATGTGCGAATTAGACTTTAAAATGAACCAACTAATTCACGATGAAATTGTATCTAATTAAACGTTAAGAGGTAATAAGATAAACAAAGTGAGCATGACAGAGAAGATCATCACAGAAGAATTGCTCGAAATGAATTCAGTTGCTACATTCGGCAACGACAAATCGAAATACGGATGCACGAACAGTCATTGATTTGAAAAACGACCCAGTATTATGCCGAGTTGAATAAGAGAAGCGAAAGAAAGAACCAATGAAGGTAAATTACTAAAAAAAAACGAAAAACTAACAATAACTTCAGTGAACAAATGCGCTTCCATTTTTTCTTTTTTCTTCTTTGCATCCGCAGATTTTTCATCATCAAATCGAGTACGTAGATGACGAGGAATATCTTCTTCAGTGACTGGACATAGTACCTCATCTGGAAGTTATCAGTTCTCCATTTATTTTGCATCTCGATGCACTCGTTTATCAACACTCTCACCATTATATCTTTGCTCTTAAGATGAACAGTAATTTTCATCGTTTTTCTTTTCATAAGCTGAACACAAACGAAGATGGGTCACTTTGGCAACACAAATTGGTGATAATAGTTATGAAAAAAGATTGAAAAGGAATGAAAACTACTCACTCAATCGACTTTTCTGAACATAGACGAGCATATAAGCGTTGGTGAATGATTTTCCAGGTAATTCTGGATCATCACCACCATAATTCGAATCGATTGCATCACGAACGGATGCACGAGATACAACATCGTCATCAAATTTGCACCACTGTAATGGAACAAAGTGCTTTCATCAGTATAAATAAAATCGACTTGACAGCGCACATTTAACCCGACCACTCACCACCGGCGATGTCGAATACTTCGCTTTACAGTTTCAGTTTTTAGAATGTTATGGCATTCTTATAATTCTTATGACAACTGCAACATGCACAGATCACAACAACTGCTGTGTTCTTTCTATACTTACGAATCTTAGTTGGCTAGCTTTTTCAATACGAACTTCACAGTTGAAAATGAAACAAACCTTAGCTGGACCATTCATATTGGTATTGATGAAAACCACATAGTGGCCACCATGGAAATCACCTGAATGTACAAGCACCGCGTGTAAAACAAAATCAATCGGTTCTTTGGTATCACCGTCTTCGACGAACTTGTTAAGATTCAACAATGCAGGAAATTCGAATCTGAAACATGATCATCAATCAGAACAGATAACATCCAACAGCTCTCGCAATAGAGAAGAATTAATAATAAGCCACTAATCCGTGAAAATTAATGTGAACAAATACCAACTTGTCATTAATTTTGACGTTCGCATCTTGTTGGGCATCATATTGAAAGCGCATCAGTTGCAGATGAAGAACTGGAGGAAACGAGATGAACTTGACACCCTTTTCAGCAGGCTGCAAGCCGAATTCACCCGCATCGTACTTATTATCTCCATCAAGCGTTTCAGTTGCCGTGTAGTCGTAAAACGATTCCATCACTGTAATTCACAATAATCACCTCTCAATCCAAAATTATTTACAAGCACTTTTTGATTACACAACGAATAGTTGCGGAAAAAAGCGTTATGTTAAGCGATCTGTTTCCCGCTTATGTCAGCAATTGAATAATGAATAATCAAGCATAAATATACCGTTGGTTTTTCCTTTGATATTCAACTGCAAGTCATAGAAAGATTCCTCACGATTCGATTCGAAAGAAACATTCTTACATCTAACATAAGATTTCATTTTGCCCTCGAAGAGTGATGGAATCGTATTCTTTACCTTCAAAAACGTACTTTACATAAATTTCTTTCCAGATGATTAGAATCCCGTTGAAAATTTCAACGGTATACTATCTCATAATAATAAAAAACTGTTTTCTAGAAGCCACTTATACATTATCAACTACACAGTGCACACAAAAGCCGTAGCTTGACGGTCAAACTTGAAGATGTTCGATGTTTACTAAGTTTTTTCAAGCTGATACCGTAAGATCGACCGATTAGAGAATTGAGCACGCAGATAATTCACTTATATAACATTGATCAAACTCTTACTAGATTACCGGACCAAATGCATTGATGACAAAATTCGAGTAAATCTTTTGACAGCACTCGATGATAGGTAATAAAAAGAACCTTAGTGCCAGCCATTTTGTTCTCGAGATTATCGAGCAGTACTCTGCACAACTCTTGCACGTCGTGTTGATGAAACGACTCAACACTATCCCAACCGAACGATTTCGTTAATTTCTTCGTTCCCACCGGCTTATCAGATTTTTGCAACTCATAAAATACGCGCTGCATTGCAAGTGCCACTGATGTGTCGGGATCGTCGTTCTCGGTTGGCATTTGATAGACAGCCTAACAATGCATTGCAATAATCGCAGCTAATTGCATCAACAAAATGTAATGTATTGATTAGTTAACGTGATTCACTGAAACACTGATGATAATATGATGACAAATAAACGAAATGTGTCAATGAAAAAGAAGACTGCAACGTCACGACTGCATTCAACAAGAACATCAAGCAAGCCTCACAACGACTCATAAGAACGCTATTAGCTCTATGATGTGCAATTCGCTTCTTTTCAAACCAATTTCATCAATCTTCGCATAATATAAAACAAGATTCTAACTACCATCAGATGCCATCAACAACAGTTCACCGAGATATTAGTTTGAGATACATATTCAGCGATGATATGTATAATTTTTATACAACATACCATCAAATTCATTTTTAAAAAGTTGACGAATAAAATAAAGACATCTAGAGGGGTTCTACAAAAAAAGCAATTCTTTAATGCCAATAGGCTGATTGGAGTTAAACTATTCGGAATTGGAAAAATAAATCAAATCCAACAATTTTCGGAAGTTTTGAAGTTATGGAAAAAGAAAAAAATTCGAAAGATAGGTAGATCAAGCCTGAAAAAATACCTTTCGTAGCATGTTGGTAAAGAAAAACGTTTGCAAAATGGAATTCATATAGCAAGTTGCACCTTGATTCTTCAAGCCGATGAAGCCAGCATGCTTCTTGCTGTCCCATCTGAAATGCGATCAACTGGCTTCGATCATTTTTCGTGGAACGACTCAATAGGAAAATTCGATAACTCTTTTCATATTCAAATTCAATTAATGTACCCGTCAACAGTGGCAACACTATTCTTACTGCATTCAGAAAAGAACAACAAGTGGAAACACTGATTAAGAAATGGTGAAGATAAACGCCAACGATAACTCACTGTACACCATGCGGTGCATCTGCCATAACCGTTACTTCCAGTTTGATCGTATCATCCTTGATGTATCCATTATCCGGATTAAGCAGTGTCTAAAAATTGCAAAATTATTACACCTTCAAATTATAACTGGAATGATGCAAATGTCACACCAGGCGGCATGAGAATTAAAGATTGAGAATCACAAAGAAGCATCAGAACTGAGAGTTAATTAGCGGTCATTTAGAAACGAATCCTTAATAGTCGTAATTGACAACCTAATAAGAAGACAACTCACTGGAAGTTCGAACTCAAGCAAAACCACGGCCAGTTCAATGAAATATAGAAAAACGTTAAATTAATAATGATTCACCTCGCACGGCAAAAACTGTGAATATCCCCAATCATTTTCCTTTTGATAGAAAGTGTGATTGATACGCCTTACGTGATTCTCGACACCAGGCTTCTGTGCCAGTACAGTAAGCACAGCACTAGCTGTGCATGACCACGAGATCGCTTCTGCCTCACCGTTACATTGAAGAAAAAAACCAAATGCACGCGCATTCCCCCTTCGTTCCATCTGTAACGAATGCTATGAATTCGTAGCATCCTCAACCTAATACTTTAGAATTTCTAAACGATTTTTACTTGGTTGCACAGTAATCGTTCATAATAACAACCACGCGTTTCTCAGCAAATCCTTTGAAGCAAACTACAATGCAGTACTTCTCATTCTGAAATATCTCTTCTACAACTATTTTGCCTGATCAACCAAAAGATTTCGTTTTATTGTTCCCATTCCTTTCAACCCAAACCGTCGAAACCTTCCTTTTGCATAACGTCAGCTTGCTGCCGTTCTCCTCGATCAAAATAACTTAAACCTTCCAACTCAAGTATTCCTCAACGAAAAGATAGTTACTGACATCATTATTCATCACTCAATACAATGACAACTTACATTAACGCGGTTCTGCTCGCGAGGCATAGCAAGAATTCTCCACGGTAAACCTCTCACGTAAACCGGCCTACTCAGCCGCTGATGTGTTTCAGGGGGGCCACGCGTAAATTCACTAAAATGATCGATGTCCAAATGCAGTGTCGCCTCTGACTTGTATGGATCTATAATAACGTCATAATGTTTACAAAGTATTCAGTAAGAAGAATTCGAATAATGGAACACGCCTTAGACAGACATAATCATTTATTGTGAGGTAGCTGAACATTAAGAATATTAAAAAAAGATGAAAAATATCATCGGATAAATGCGAAAACTCATTCAATATGAATGTTACGAAACTTTTGCCCTTTACTTCAGTGGATAATTATTCAAATGGACTAAAGTCAGAAAAAAATGACATATTCACCATCTTCTTCCGCATCGCCGGAGACAGGTGATCCTGGGTCGGACGACGCTGAAATGTTAATTATTCCATTTGAAAATTAACAAATACTGAACAATTTTGTGGAATTACAGCAAAAAAGAGAAAAAATTAAGGTAATTATAGACGGCACTTTCGCTGGGTAAATTTTTCAGTTGTAGCAACAACTTTCCGCAGAATTTTCTTGTGAACAATTGTTCCGAGTGAAAAACCATTAGTACAAGAAAAAAAGAGAAACGATTGCAAGAAGGCATTTATAGATGATGACACGATAGGTACTTGGAAATAAAGAAGTGAGGTTGGATGGATTAACAAAACCATCGTGAAGAGGGGGATCCGATATTACCTCCATTTTGATCAGAAGTATCCATTTGTTCATCATGATGTGCTCGTGGTGTCAAGGCTTTCAGAATAAGCATTCTTGAGTGAGAAATGTCCTTGTCATCCAACTGAAACGTAATCGTTCGTTTATAGATGGTTCAGTGATGCAGAAAGGCCGTAAAACGAGTAATGAATAATAACTAGTAAAAGTAAAAGGAGCCTCAACATGAACTGTTGAAATACACCACTGAAAAATGTGTGGATATTTGCAATCGTTCAAGGAAATTCCACAATGAATGATAACAATATAACAGTTACTTTTTTGGGAAGTAGACCCTGATTATTTCTGCATCCATAAAACGACTGATTTTCGATGGCGTGAATAATACAGATTTTAATGAGAAATATGGAAAAACAGATGATACTTTTGATCAGTGATCAAACAAAAATGCATATAAGGCTTTTTAATTCAGTTCTAAGAACTATTGCTTAGAAAAAAGTTTAATTCTGCCTCCCATGAATCATAAATTGTTTATCATAACCAAATTCTAATTCTTTCGGAACAATACTCACCATTTCATCAAGAGGTGGTACTGTATCAATTTCGTCGTCAGTATCGCTATTCTTCATATTTCGACCACGTTCCCCACACCCAATATCTTTTGTCATACCACCCAAAGCCAAATATGGACGAATCTTCCTACGCCGAAGCAAGCGACGTTGTTGCGTCCTGAATGAGCATTCAAAGCAAATACAATTAATCGAAATAGTTTATGTTATCACTCAATTTATTGTCTAGTCAGCGATTAAGATCAAATGAACACACGATTTCGTTTTGCATACAAAGGTGTACTTAGATTAACGCCGCAACTTCCCAACCACATTAAAATTGTATGCGAACTTTTCCCATTCACCAATATTTGATTTGCCTTCACTGCCTCCATTTAAAATGCCATAAATCCGAAACATTTTAATCAAAAAATCAAAGCCGCAAAATATTACTTACTATTAAAACTGTGCAAAATCTCAAGCAACTAGGTATAAAGCTGAAAGCAGAATCAAATTTCGTCAATGAAACGTCATAAGATTCAGCGTTCTAATTTGTAAGGTAACTTACAATTGTGAAATCAAGCATTTCACAATGGAGCTTGGTACGGCTCAAAGAGTTCAATCTGTTTACTTATTCAAACAAAAAACCTTTGCATATTCACTGAAATTACTCGAGACATCTTCACATGAAGTTCAAACTCTTCATTCGAAATATGCGTTCTCTGTTAGATTCGCTGAAACCACCACCTAGCTACCACTATTTCTTCACAACTAATGCCTTAATTAGAACGAATCTAATTGAACACTAGCTAATCAATATGCAGATTTTTCACATTAAAACTTCGAGAAAAACTTTTGCAACTTATTAAAGCTTCCGTAAGCTTGACCCGATCACAGATACCGTGAATTGAGCTTTTCGTACGCGACACGCTGCGCTTTGTGTAAAAAATCGTTCTGTGAAAGCATTCGCCACTAATTGCAGCTTCTTTCTTCGAACACTTCTCACTAAAGTTATTGTAATTAGGTTTCAAGTACAGTACTCTTATTAACTTACTTCCATAATCTCGTCGATCTCATAAAACTTACATAGTACAGTTTAACCTTGAAATGACTGAAAGCTTTTTGATGAAGCTAACTTCTCTATCCACTTCACTATCTACTCATAGTAAATAACAGAATTTTAACGTATGCTGATGCTTGTAAATAGTTAAAAATGCAATAAATGAAGAAGACATCATTCCGTTGTAAAGCTTCCAGGTGGCCATGCACCGCAAAATAGCAAAACGAATGGTAGTTTCGGACTGAAATTTGGTACTTTATCTGTTAACTTGTAATTTTTTCACGATTTTTCCACTTTCAAACCCTCATAACTTCCGTAAGTGGTCAGTATTTCTATATTTGAATCCAGCTCATTTTATAGAGCTTTTTAAGCTCTACAAAATTNTTGCCTAGTCTTATAGTTCAAACATTGTTAGAGGCACCCTGAAATTTGGTACTACATAAATGTCCAACATTTTCTACTTTAGGACCGGTCAAGTTTTTTTATAACGGACGTATCTCAGAATATAATAGTTCATATGATACACAATTTTATTCTCTACAAAACGGTCACAATTTCTTCAATCAGTCCGCAATGAATCACCCCTCAAAACGGTCCTTTTCTGATATACCATCGGTATAAATTTTGCTCATTCAAGAGCTCAACCACTCGTTGACCTGCGATTGCGCATGCTCCTCGCTGACTCCGCCCCTGCGCTTAGACGTGTTACTATGGCCAAGTGCGACGACGCCGAAGGTGAAACGTAGTTGTGATAAAGTTGAAACTAACAGCAATTTTACCGTCTCACTTATCATATTTCAGTGATGTGTCTTCTGTGAATATATAAGCTATCATTTTGAAGAAGAAAGTAATGAGTGGTGACGGGTCAAATTCGAAGCTTACCCGGCGAGAAATCAGAAAATCAAGAATTGAATCAAAGAATGCAGCTGGCAAAGCTGAGCGAGGTGATACTCCACTTTTTTTAATTTTTGAATCAGCACCTTGAAGAACAAAGAGTCAGGATTTTTGTTCCTCATTCAATCACTCACGTTTGCATTCTGTTTTGAACGTCTTAGCGGTATTTGTGTTTTTTTATGTCTCTATTTGATCATGTCTTTCGAATTTAATATCGGTTAAAAAAACGTGCTCCATAGATATTTTGACTGTACACTTTTGAGTCTTGAACTTATCTTTCTTTTTTTCTTCAGATGGAATTGTTGCAGGGCAAAAAACCGTGAAAAAAGTGAAAGAGATAAAGAAGAAGGCGACTTCACCGCCAAAAGTGACACACAAAGAGGAGCTAGAGAAAATCGCCAAAAATGATCCGGAATTTTTCAAGTTTCTTCGAGAACAAGACGCTGACTTGCTTCAGTTTAACGAATCAGACGTTGAATCACTGAGCAGTGGTAATAGCATCAATCAGCACTTGTTACTGCAGTTTTTTGTGATATTTTGAATTGCTGCCTTAAAGATAGATCTGTCTAAATGCACTTATTCAATTGTGTTTTGTTGTCAGATGAACCTGATGAAGTGATAGATGCACCAGACGACGATAAAGTATATGATGAAGCGGATGTTACCAATATTCGAACTGATCATAATGGTCGTCGGATTGTGGACAGTCTGTCCGTTAGTGCACTACGCGAAGCGTTCATTACATCGGTAACTTATCTACATTACGACTTTTAATTGCCATCGAATTACACTTTCCGAATAATGTTCAGAATATTTTCAGTTAGTTAAAGCTTTTTAAGTGGCTCGTAAAAGAGCAACCTATTTGGTTGACATATTCCTGACTGAACAGTAATTTGAAGGAGAAAGTACCTCCATGGGCAGTGCGAACAGCAGTGAAAGCATTCATGGCGTGTGTCTCGAGAGTTGGTGCTGACATTGAACCACCTGCTTTTGTTATCAACGATAATAAGAGTTCGTTCTGACAGAATATTCGACGCTCTTGAAGTCATTCTAATCATGAAATGAATAGCCATCTTGCTGTTTGCATGTTGAGTTAAATTTGCAGTATTCGAAGAAATAATCCGATTATGTTTTCAACATCTTGGTCGTGCGTTGTTCGAAGTATTGGATCCAATTGATGAAAAATTATCGGAAAAGAACGGGAATATAGAAGAAGAACACACTGAGAACAAGACAGTCAAGTGTCACAGTGTGAACAGTTCGAAGTTCAGAAAATGGAAGAAATGGAGTGTAATCGTGAAACAATATCTTCATGCGGTTTTGTTAGTAAGTTATCTTTTTGTGCTTAGATTCATGATTCGCGTCTGATATTGTGACTGGTTTTATTTTCAGTTTCTGAATGAAGTGCAGAATACAGATGTGATTGTTTGCACGTTACGAGCAATTGCACAAATCGTTGAACTGTATGCTCATTTTGTGAAACTTTCGAAAATCCTTATCAAGGTAATTATTTGTTTGCCTACTTATTCAATGATTCGTTTGATTTCGGTCATTGTTGTTTTCAACGATTCAGAGCGTTGTGAGGATATGGAGTCGTAAAACGCTAGAATGTCGTGTCGCATCAATGTTGGTGTTATGTAAACTTGTGCGTGTCGACAAACTTCTATATCCAAGCCTTCTAAAGGTTTATCTCTTTCATTTGTTCATTTTCTTTTTCATGATTTTCTCAACTACTGCTTGACGTGGTTTTGAGAATATTGCAAATTCGACGATAAAATCCTGTAAAATAAGAGGAGGGAAGGTATTTAATTAAATTAAGGTGTTGGAATATGAGTTTTGAAATCGTTATGGTGTTAGTGTATTTGGCATTTGCATATTATGAATATGTGTATTTGAAGAAATTAATTGCAGTGTTGCTATTTTGCGTACGTTTCGAATGTACGTGAAGTCAGTGCAGAAACATGTCTATTGATATCGTTCATGCAAAAAGCATTCTCGGAAATAACACTCATTTATCCATCGATCAGTTATCCTTACGCATTCATATATATTCGACAAACTGCAATTCATCTTCGAAATGCGATGATCGCTAAACGAAAGGTTTCAGTTACATCTCTGACATAAATCTGTTCAGATTCACTCACGTTTTTTTGCAGTTATTTTAGTTTATTCGTTAGTGTTTTCATTTTCAGGATCTCATCCAAACAGTCTACAATTGGCAATTCATACAGTGCCTTTATTTATGGGCGCATGTTATTTCGCGTGCATTTTCTGTTCGTGACAGTAACGAAACTTCTGCACTGCATGAACTTGTTTATCCACTTTGTCAAATCATCATTGCCACAATGCGGTAAATTTGTTTAGTTTTCTGAAAAGAGAAAGCAACTCCACTTTGACTGATTATTTGATTTTCCGTTTATTGCTGATTATCGGTTATTGATTTTGGGTTGTAATGGAATTCAAAATCGTTGTTATTGTGGTTTTGGTTGTTACGCATTTTGCCTTCTCACTGCGGCTTATTTGAGCATTAATTGCTTAAAATGAGTTTGTATCTTTCCAGTTGTGTTGAGTTATCAGTGATTCAATTATTTAACTAATTGGAAATGAAGTCTTAATTTCTAGATTATTTCCATCAGCAAGATACGCTCCATTACGATTGCACTGTATCAAAATTTTGATGCTTTTACAAGTGAATTGCCGTATTTATGTACCAACTCTGGCACAGTCTATTCAGGTGGGTGCATATTAAATGAGGAACATTGTTTCGTCATACAAATTTCAATGATTCATTTATTTCTGGCTATAGAAGTTATAAAAACTGTAATCATTTTAGCTAATCATCGGTTTAGTTGATTCATTGTTCATTTATATTGTTCATATATGAGTAAAATTATTAAGTTGTTGGACGAGATAAAATTAGTGTTGAAAAAGAAACCGTCGAAAGGGAAAGGAACAATCAAATGCCTCGATATGAACTGCATTCTCAAGGTAATCGCTTTTTAAATGTTTTTTGTTCATATAAAATTGTTTTTACATTCTGATTTGCATTTGCACATTTGTATTTGCATTGTCATCAGTGGTACCAATCATTGATCACGTGTTATAATCTTCCAAACTATTGAAGGCATCAACTTCACAACTCGAAGATGCTGGCTTCAGAGAAGCAATGCTTGAGGAATTGTTCAAAGTACAGCTCGAAGCTGCATATTTGTTACGATCAAGTTGTGCGTTCTCAGATGTCATTTATCCACTTGATGGCCAGGTTATTTTTCTTATGTTCATTTACACTTGTTTGTGTTTATTGGTTACTGTCGAGTGCATTAATTAGAAGTATTTTACATTTCAGTTGAAACACTTTCTGAGAGATTGTCGTAATGCAGATGTTGTGAGATTGTTTAAATCGTTGCATAGTAAGTTGCTTGAGCATGCCAAATGGATGGATGTTATTGTTGAGAGCAGAGAGGTGGTATTGAACGATCAATTTTGCATGGTGCGTTTGTTGTTTTGATTGTTTTTTCGGAGCACTTGTCATCTTCATTAGCTTCGATGTATGGTATTACTCATACATAAGATGATCATTTGGTCGTATAATATATTTCATATCGTTTTTTATAATCATATAATGAATGACTTAGCCTATCGTATACATTGAGTGACTGATTATTGGTATTGAGGCCTCACTGGAAGCAACATTGAGCACGTCTGAATCACCACTAGCTAAATTCTACGAGTCATGGCATAAAATTTGGGCAATGCAGCAAAAAACTTTGACGCAGGTTAATTTGTAATTCATCATTATTCTATCATATCATCACACATGTTTTATAATTTTTGTTTATTTGTTAATTGATTTGATTCAAGAAGTGATAGTACTGAGTTGATTTTGCAGTTCAATACTGTCAAGAAAACGATGGAAACAAAAGTTGAGTTAAACAGCGAAAGTATTTCGCATAATGCGAGAACAAACGAGGACATTACTAAAGAATATAAGATTGAAGGGAATGTCGACGCTAAGGTAAATCTTATTCATTGATATTTATATTGCACTTCAAATGTCTGCGTTGACGTTACACTCATTTAATTTATTCTTTTGCTTTTGTTATATTTATGAATGAAATATTAACGCATCGCTTTCATTTAGGTGAAGAATGAAGGTAGTAATGTGATCGCAGAAATGAAAGTGAATGGTACGCAAAAGGTATCAACTCGCAAGAAGAAACGGAAAACGAATTTACCTGAAGAAAAGACCGAAAAAAGAGCAATTGGCACTGAACGCGATAGAGATGAACTGATTGATTTTGTGATGTCGGATTCGGATTGATAGTTCCATTTTCGTGGCCGTTGTTATTGTTATTCTCGTTTTCGTTGTTGTTGTTATTGTTTTTGATTACTTGTTTGTTTATTGTTCACTTGTCAAGTTTTTATTTGAATTTGAAGTATTACTTTGTTTATTGCAAATAAAGGAATTCTCGATGGATCGTTTTTATTTTAATTCAATCTGATAATTCAGATCTGCTCTCGTTGCTCAGACACAGTAATCTTACATTTTATTCGTATCGTCTTGACGATCGTCAACCATTTCTTCATTCGTTGGGCATTTCGTCGTTTCGCTGAATTCGATGCCTTTACATTCTCGTTTAGTTTACAGTTCCATTTTTTTGCATTCCTGCTGTTTGATCATCGTTTTTTTTTTCGAGTGGTTATCTCTTTGATTGTTGAACTGTTGACGTTCTCATCCTGTTGTTTGACAAACATTTATTTATCAGTGCGTTTCTTCATTTGATTTCCGAATTTGTCGCATGATTTTTGTTTAGAATTATTTTTCAGTTCGCCTCCTTGTCAATATTATCATTTTCGTAATTTTGTTCAATTATCTAATTTGAAGTCGTTTTTTATGAAGTAGGATTTGGGCGTAGGTAACACTTCTAGGCATTTTTGCGTTCTAGAAAAATATGAAACTGGAATTTTCCGTTCTCCTCAAGTCATTTTGCATTAATGTCAATCAGAGAAATGCGATGCTGTGCTCTGTTTTTACCGTTTCTTCATACACCTTTTTCCTACTGCCTGTAATTATAAGTGATAGGTTGATGAGTTGATTCACTTGAGTTGCGTTATTCAACAACTAGCAACCTCGAACAGGTCATCGTTGTAAAAACATTTCAACTGAATCCGTTTTGATTGGCTCCATTTCTCTTATATGTTTATCAATCACTCTGCTTATACTCCTATACACTTAAAATGATCTATTTTTTTTTCTCTCATTCGCAGTTCCCCACAAATATTTGTGCGTTAAGTTCGTCATTGCACCATTTGATAAATTGTGTGATGTGCATCAGAAGTGCGAATACACGTGGCAGATGCGTGATGATTGTTTGTTGAAAGTAGAAGTGTTAATGCATACGCATGGCAATAACAGCGATGTCAGTTGTTTTGTTGAGGAATCGCAGGTGGCTGAGGATGATGATCAGCAATTTCTATTGCCTGAGCACGTCAGTTGTCATCGTCGATACTACTAGTGCTGTTCGCCGTTGATTTTCAGTGTGCAAATGAATTTGTTGCAATTTTCTGTTACGCTTCTCTTCCACTAAAGCACTGCTTCAATCTCGCGTTTTCAAAACGTCAGCTGAGCGTTGGTTGCATCATCAACTCTAAAGTTTGGTCAGCATATCGCTCTGAATTTTTTAAATTCTTCAAAAACTGCATTGAGTTGAAGGTGCTCTTCGAACGACTCCAATCGATACAAGAAACGAGGAGTGTGTTTGGAGTGGTACAAAGCGACTGTTGATGAACAAGTTTCTTTTTAATAAGTGAGTTGTGATCAGCATTGCCTCGGTGCAATTTTGTTCGTTTACGGATCATTTGCCGTCGTTTGATTGCTACACTCGTATGGGGGTGGCGTCGCATTCCACATGGCTTACGAGAGATTAGCACAAGATTTTCAGTTGGTAAAGTTTGTGAAATATTTCGTGATTTTAGATGAAGAGTATCAAATTGGGAAATAGAACGCGGTGATTCGAATGGAAACCTTAAATTGGAAACGCAAACAACAGCTCTTAAGCAGTCTACTTGGCTGTAATGATCTGGTTCATAGTTGTTTATTTGCACATGGTTTAATTAATTAGTTCTTTGCAAATAAATCTTTTCTTCATTAATCCAAAACGTTTATTTCAAGTTTGGAAGAATGGATCATTTGGTGAAAGGAATTTGTGTACGAACGTTACGCAACGCGGAATGTAGTGTGAATTATTCGGCGGCGGAACGTGTTCCCATTTCGAGAGCTAATTCAAACGCATTGTTGGCTATCTTCAACAAATATGCGAGTGTTTCCAGAGATGGTGTTAATTATATGACCGATGACGATTTCATTCGAAAGTTGGTCACTTCTAATTCCAGCTCTGCGTTTCTAGATTTTTTCAGATACTGAAAAAAAATCTCTAGATTTTTCAAAAATCTAATTCCAAATTTTTCTTTTGTTTCCATTCAGATTCTCATTAGACTTTTTAATGAAACCGTGAGTGCAATAACAGTGATAAAAATAATTGGAAAAATGATAATATAATAATAATATTATTATCATCATCATATTATTACTATGACAGCATTAATTTATTAACGACAGTTGTTATTTGCAGGTATTTGGGTCTATACACAGAGGGCAGTTATAACAAAGAGACCGTACGCCTCTTGGCGAGTGCAGCAGACACCACAAAGGATGGATTGATTTCGTTCGAGGAATTCAGTGCTTTTGAATCAATATTGTGCAGGTATATTTACGTGATTCTATCAGCTCATCGCTTTCATTCTTATTTACAATCATTCACTCATTATCGTTGAATAAGCCTTCGATACAGTAGTCACGTGTGGTTGTTCGAAAAATAATACAACTTAAGTTTCAAGTTGTCATAAATAAAATGATGGAACAGTAAGCAAAGGTATCTTCCTTTTTTAAAGTCATAGTTTCATTCCAATTAAAGTGTGAATCGTTTGAGTAATGAGAAGTCGTTCTTGAACATATTTTTATGTTGTTCTTTTCAGTGCTGATGCGCTTTATTTGACCGCATTTGAGTTATTCGATAAGAATGCGTCTGAATCAGTAACTTGTGATGAATTCGAGAAAATTATCAGGCATACAAAGCCATTAGCTGAATTCGATTTCGACTTTAATTCGGATTTTATGCAACGATACTTTGGAAAGTAAGTGCGACAGATCATTTGTTCATTTGATTTGTATTCGTTTATTTTTTTTGTATAACAGAATCATCAAATTATTCAAGCAGAAGGATGAGAGAGACTGCTAATAATCATACGAACCGTTAAACGTATTCATATTTTGATTGAAGAGACAAAAAGCGTGCGATTGGATATATGGCGTTCTGTCAATTACTACATGAATTCTATGATGAATTAGGCATGCAAGCTTTCAAAAAGTGAGTTCCTTCTCGAAGATTTCGACTCTTTCCGTTTGTTCTTTCTCTTTGCCGCTGAATTTTTATGTACTGTAAAAGTGTTTGCTAGATTGTTTATCAGCATTTCAGTTTTTTATCCACTTGTTCAATTTGTCTTTCATTTGCTTTATAGGTACGACAAAAACTGTGATGGAACGATTTCATCGATTGACTTTCTCAAAATAATGACCACAGTCAAGAAGCATTTGTTGACGGATTTCGTACAAAAGAATTTAGTGGCCGTTTCAGCGAGTAACGCCACAGGTCATCGGGTATGCTCGTCCGACAAATCAATTTCTGGTTTTAATTGTCTACTCGGCACTGTAACATTCCTAGTCATAAATCTTTTGATCATTCAGGTGACTTACCCGTATTATATGGCATTCAATAGTCTGCTGTCACAAATGGAATTGATAAAACGTATTTATGTGAGTCTTGCACGTGGTAATTTATCACATGAAATGACACGACAAGAATTCCTGAATGCCACACAGAGTTATCCTCAGATCACTCCGTATGAGGTTCGAGTTTCATTATTGTATCTTCGCAGTTGTTTCGAAGTTTGCATTCATCGTTTCGTATGTGCATCTTTGCTAGTGATCATCGTTTAATACCAATAAGAATTTAAGGTTGAAATATTGTTTGCTCTAGCCGAAGCGGCACATCCAGGCAAGAGGACGCTGTCGTTAGCTGATATCGAAAATATTGATCCACAAAGACTGAAACGCATTTCGTATATTCCTCGACTGGCGACTATTAAAGCCGTTAAAACGAAAGAGGAACGCGGTATATTGGCAGCCGTAAGCCTTTTATCACGCATTTGTAATCTGTCAGCTTTGCTGTTAAATTATTCCATAAGAATGCGTCTTTTCTCAAGATTCTGGAGAGTGCGTATCGTTTCACAATGGGCTCTATTGCGGGCGCATGCGGTGCAACAGCTGTCTATCCAATCGATTTAGTCAAAACGCGTATGCAAAATCAACGAAGTGGACCATTAGTCGGCGAGATTGCATACAAACACAGTTTCGACTGTTTCAAGAAAGTGATCAAATTTGAAGGTCGTTTATTATCTGCCTTTGTCTTACTCATTTGTCTCGTATCCTCGTTGAAATGTCAATTGCGCATAAATTTTTTTAGTTTGTTTCAAAAGAATACGTTATCAAATAAGTCATTTAAAAACTGTAATAATAATGTTTCAGGGATTGTGGGTCTGTATCGTGGTCTTTTACCGCAGATTGTTGGCGTTGCACCGGAGAAAGCAATTAAGTTGACGATGAATGATTGGGTACGTGATAAATTCACAGTTGATGGTCGTATTCCGTTATGGGCTGAGATCTTAGCTGGTGGATGTGGTGGAGCGAGTCAGGTGATATTCACCAATCCGCTCGAAATAGTCAAAATTCGACTCCAGGTTGCTGGTGAAGTGAAGAATGCAGCGAGGGTGAGCAATGTCTTAATGTTTGTTGCAATCCATTCAGTGTATCCATCGAGTAGATGCCCAGGAAGTATGAATTTCAATTATAATTGAGTGTTGACTTTGTTCCGCTTCATTCATGGTTTCATTCCGTCAAAGGAATTTGAAGCTTTCAACAAATCACTGGTGATAAGTATGATTGCATAGGAGTTATTGTGTGAATGCAATGATTGTTGTAGGTTGGTGTATTGAGTGTGGTTCGTGAATTAGGATTATCTGGACTGTACAAAGGCGCTAAAGCATGCTTTCTTCGAGATATTCCCTTCTCAGCAATTTACTTCCCTGTGTATGCACACGCTAAACTGGCCACTGCTGACAGTGATGTAAGGATATTCATTTTGTGTTTGTTATGTGAAGTTTGATTGATTTAATTGATCAGTAACGAAATGATTTTCGGCTCCACAAACTTTATCAACATCAGCAGGCTTGCAGGGTCATAACGGTGCTGGTTCGTTGTTCTCGTCTGCTTTTATTGCCGGAGTGCCGGCCGCTGCACTCGTCACACCAGCCGATGTCATTAAAACACGATTACAAGTGGCTGCACGTGCTGGACAAACCACCTATGATGGATTGCTGGATTGCGCAAGGAAGGCACGTTTCTGATCGTTAAAATTTCGTTCCCTTTCTTTTTTTAGACTTTTGTATGGAAATATTGTGTTGTTCATGTTTTTGTTGAAGTGCGTTAAATGAATTGTTTTTGAAGCATATGCAAACAGTTATTCACATAATCATCCAAATGAATTTGTTGAGCGATTTTGCGCGAAGAAGCATTAATTCAACGAGCACTTGTTATGATTTGCAATCTAGTTTTGAATGCCGCATCTGAATGAGGACTGTTTTGCTGATTTCTTTCGTGGTCTTACAATATCTATCAGCTGGATTGCTAACGTTGTTGGTTTTTAAAGGTGATGAAGGAAGAAGGTCCGCTAGCGTTTTGGAAAGGAACCGCAGCTCGAGTGTGTCGTTCCAGTCCGCAGTTTGCCGTTACTTTGTTTATGTATGAATTACTGCAGAGGTTATTCTACGTTGATTTTGGTGGCAATCGGCCAGCCGGCTCCGAGGTTATTTTTGTTATTTGTGCTCATCAATAGTTTGTTGTTATACCATTCGAACCTTGGTCAATCCATTGGTTCTCTTCATTCCGTTAGTGATGGAAAAAGGGAGACATTGCATTTCGGAATGATCATGAACAAAAAGTTCATTTCTAAAGTGAGTAGCATTTTCAAGGTAATATTTCAATTTTATCCTATTTTTATTGTTTCGTTCATCTCTTTCTTGCTATTTAGGTGCCTGTGCGAGCTACTCTTACCGATGAAAGTTCAGTGAATCCTGATCATATTGGTGGTTTCAGTTTAGCTGCTGCAACTTTCAGCGGTATTGAACATAAATTCGGTCTTTTCATGCCGCGTTTTGAAACCTTGACAACTAGGAAATAGTATGGATGAGCCCTGCTTCACAATTGTAGACGATGATAGATTGATATGTGTTGTTTGCCTATTCATTCGTTTTTGCGGTGTTATTTCATTTATCTCCTCGTCTAGGTGCTCCATTTTGAAACGCATAAATGTGATTCACATTTGTTTAACTACCTCATTTTGTTGACATTTCATAGCTTGTTTTTTGTACTGATCAATCGAGTTATTGTACGAATACTCTTTGATAGGTTTTATCTGTAAGACGTATGTAGCGGCTCTTTCACTTGACAACAGTCATTGCTTTCAACTTCACCCAGACGATTTGTTTTGGTCTCGTAATTTTATAGTCTCTCGTGGTTGATGCAGTTTTATTTTCTATGATTGTGTTAATCAGTTGTCACTTTATTGTGCTTTTCTATGCACTAAAACTGTTATTCCTCATCCATTTTAACACTAAGATTTATTTGCTGAAAAATTATCCATCCTCACATAATTAATTTTTAACAGAGTACCGACAAATACAGTATTCTGTTATTGCTTAAATTTAGCCTAGATCTTCATTGACTTCAGCAGCTTCAACATAAGCCGTTTGTTCATCTCATGAAAAGGATTTGGAAAAGCTGGGCCAAATCACTTCGGATAGGTGACATTCATGCGTCAACGACAGTCGCTAACATTCTAGTGCATAATGTTCAATCGCTTTGCATCATTGTCGTTTTATGGTGTTTGATTAGTGTTATCGATTTGATTATCCATATCGTGTTTGATTGCCTTCTTTTTTTCTGAAATTGCTTTCTTGAACAATGCTCATAGCATAACGTCGTCATTTCGCATATTTCAGTCATGAAACAAATTGTTTGCGATTGCTCGCTCATAGGTATAAATTTTTTTAGTATAGTTGTGCTGTTTTGCTATATTTATCATGATTATTGAATACTTTAGTTCAAATTATTAAGTCTAGTAAATTCAACGAACATTTTAATGGGACATTTTTCATAGGAATCTGCATTTTTTGTCGTGCGATAAATAACAGCAAACAACAGCAGATAGCGATGAATAACGACAAGCAAACTTTTTGACGGAACGAGTATTTTGTTTTGTTTCATGTATCAAAATATTTGACAACGCTTGAACTTTCAATTTCACTGATTATTTCTCAACGATGAGGGAACCGAGTTACATGCGCGGTTACACGTATGAGATACGAGTGTTCATATGAGATGACAGTATTGGTGGTTTCGAAACAGTTAAGGCTGTACTTGTAGCAGGAGTTGACATAAATTCAAATGTAACATGTTTTACAAAGAACTGTTGGAATAGAATAGCACATAAATTAAAACTGTTGGAATAAATTAAGAATCGAATGGTGAATGTTGATCCGTTATGATGACTCTTTACAACATTTCATCAAGTGCATATCCGGTATCGCCAAATGCGAATGCATAGTGATATTCCTCCTCACAAATCAGTCATCACCTCACAAACATCAAGAAGCATCTGGATCAATCGTTATCGTAACAAATCAGTAAAGTTCAACAAAACAAATTACTGAGGATAAAATCCGTCCCTTTATCCGTGAAAAAGGGGACGAATTTATGTACTTAATAGGCACGTGTAAGAACGATAATTTTTAAAGTTCGTTTCTCCAATTACTGTGCTTCGAATGAAAGGGAAGAGATAACCATTCCAATCGAATTTGCAATTGACTCCAGAAAAGTAGGTGCAATTGAGTTGGACTTGTAATTAACTTCAGAAAAGTAAGTATGTATGTTGTCGACGGATTACACTCATTTTCGCAGATTATGCTGACTCTTCGAAGGTGTAACATATATTCGGCTAGACGCTCAGAGACTGGAAAGGTGCTCGTTGTTTTGATCACTATGAATCGAACCACATCACTATAAAACCTTGCTTGCACAACCGTAAGTTTATTGACAAAGATCCATGGATGATCACCACGAAAATTACCAAAACAAAAATATTCAAGCTTGCACCGCACTTACAACTGCGAAACCAAAAACGTTATACACTGCACTACGCGTCACAAATGCAAACTACTCAAATAGTCAAAAGAACATTTTATCAGCATAAACAACCGTTCAACCAACACATTGCTTTTGCCACCATTACAACAACAATAAACATAGCAACACATTCAGATACTGGAACAAGTTCCTTACAAAGGCTTGTTAGATTCAGCCGAAATTTTCTGCACCATACCACTCTGAACTATTTATCCACTAGGGCTAAACGTAACCTCTATAGAGCTATAGTAACGTATTGATATTGATCTATAGTGATAGAACGTATGTGAATGAGCGCCTTTGCGCTTGTTGTTGAAACAGCTTTATGAAAATAGCCATATCTCCTCAAGAAAGCAGAATTGGTCAACAAACTATATGTTTTTCTGAATGTGGAGGTTCCGCTCAATTGAATGGTATACAGAAATTCATGTGTTACTGAGCAAACCTGAAAGTACGGTAAGCTCGAAGATGACAAATCCTATAGCATTGAGAAAATAGCTATATCTCCTCATCTAATCATTATTACTCATCGTCAGCTAAATATATAATATTCTGAAACTAGAGGTTCTGAGGAATCGAACGGTGCACAGAAATTCATGTGTTACTGGGTGAACTTGAGGGTACGCTAGGCCTAAATATGATAACCCCTATTGCTTGAGATAACATTAAGAAAATAGCTATATCTCCTCATGTAGGCAGAACTGTTCTATAAAATTTATGTGCAGTAGCTACGGGGATAAGTGACTACGGTAACTAGCCACGCCCACAGTTAATGCAACCAACAGGAGTAGCACCTCCGGGGTTAAATGGCTGCATCAAACTGTCCACTACTCTATAACCTTGTAACAATAAATGATCAACGTAATTCTCATCAATCTCAAATCTAATCAATTCACATCTATGAAAACAACCTTCTTCTAAATACGATTGAAAGCAACGAATTCATTTTCTAGGGATTTGCACGTTGTTGTAAATTTTGGAGATATTCTCTTCAAATAAGACAGCATATAGTTTGGTGCTTTTCTTTGTTCGTTTTGTTTAATAGAACGTTGTTTCTGTTCATTTCTTGAATCATATTGTTGTTGAAATGAATAGAATTGAATATTAGCTTCCACACATGCTCGTCGTAAATATCAGAATTTGTCATTTCTGTTTGATGTTGCATATGTATTGGTTATGTTGTCTTCTCATTTTGTGTTTTATGAAGCGATTTTTTAATTTCATCATTGTTACTGTCAAATCAATATTATACATTATTATTATAACTGTATATTGTTATTATCGCTAATAAGATGATTCCTATCAACATAACTCTTCAGAAACCTCGAACGTTGTCTGTGTTACATTTTGCGTTACATCAGTCGGTAAATAATCAGTGGGAGTATTAGCGAATTGTAATTATATTATGCAGGAAATTTAATTTTGCAGTTTTTTCATCCTCTGTTTCCAGTAACGGTCGGTAGTAGAACATTCGGGTGAAGTATCGAAGTCGAGGAGCAAAACGGTACAAAATATTTAATCGAAAGTTGAAAGCAAAAGATTGCGAAAGGCGATTTCGATCCTTGCGATTTCATGGCAGTTTGAATTAGAGGATACGTCTTGCTGATAACTGAAAGGCCTGATTTTAGAGTGTTCAGTGAACTGAGAGCGCTAAAATACGAAAAATCCACGGAGCGTTCTAGTTATGTTTATTACTAGGAGTATTATTAATCGGTTCTATTTTGGAACTGGAATGTGAATATTCGAGGTAAGGTATTCGTAGTGGGATGTGCTTTTCCGTTCTGCTTGTTTTTAAATTTAAGAAAATTTCCGGGTTTCATGAGTATGAAAGCTCTAGCTGCGTGGTAATCCTGTCATCGATGGTGTTCTTACTGGCTGCTGGGTGGAGTGACCTGACGTTTCCAAGGCTCTTACTAAGGAAGAGGATGTAGTGACGTTCAGCTTCAGCAATTCACTATTTCAGTTTCCATGGTTCCATAGTTCGAAAACCCCTTGTGTTGCAATTGCTTCTCAAATTGATATTTCGAAAACCCCTTCAGTTTCAAGTTTTTCCTTTCTAACTACGATGCAAGCAATCGTGGTAAAATG